TCAATACACAGATAGAACACATTACAAATCGATCATTCTTATATATCTTTCATGCATGTCTCTTGATTTTTTACTACAAAAATATCTGGACATGGATGAGTGATTCAATGTATGGCACCGAAACAACATACCTTAATATCATACAAAGAGTCATTTTTATTAAAACAAAAAGAGTAAACAAAACTAAGTATATGATATTTGCCCTTTAACATTTTGGTGATTGGCACAACTTCTTTTTTGATACTTATTCTATCTTAACCATAGCGTTTCTATAGTCGATCACGAAGGCATCCAACCTCGATACTGTGTGTGCTTTTTGCTGTAACAAAATCCGTATTTTGTGTCGCGATATTCAAGAGAACGGCGAGTAGCTAGACATTCATTCGATCTATGTCAAGAAGATACATCTATCGAGATGATACAAAGATTTCTGCATCTTCAGTAAGTTGCGTAAAACGATAATTTAGATGATTTGGCCTCCATCTTTTACCAGAAACAATGAGAACTTTCAATAGGAAAGGGTCAACTCTGCATGAAATCGTTTTTCGTTCTTATGTTAGTTGAAACTTTATTGACGAAAACTGAGATCTTTTCACACTGCATTTAGGTAGTCTTTTGAGAATTTTCTTATTTTATTTACCAGATATATGCATCAAAAGCTATCATTTTCTGTTGCGATGATCTCGAGAACGAAGAACTAGAATAAACCCTTAAAAATGCTTTTTTTCTAAAGAACATATTTTTGAGGAAAAATCATCTAAAAGAACGGTCGGTTATGGAAAGATTTTACGATGGAATAATCTATTAAAATTCATCGATGTGGGTGGCAAATCAATCGATTTGAACATTTTGTCGTGAAAAAGCTTCAAAGTCTATGAAACAAAAATAATATATTTTGGGATTAAGATTAACAAACTCTATCATATAACCGAAAGAAGAGCTTTGAATGGATAGAACCTATGCATATATGTACAACGTTTGTCTTGCGTTTTTGTTGCACCTTTTAACACATGAATTATGCTTGTTTTGCACGTTGAAGTAGACCAGATCCTTTCTGATAAATGTTCATTGTTCTTCAAAGCCTCATAATTAATCTCTTTAAAAGACTTTTCTATGAAAAGAGTAGTTGAAGATTCTTTTTTGCAACTCTTGAATAGAAGGTCTGAACAGCATTAATCCCATATCTCCTGATGCCATATGCTGGCACTTTAGTTACAACGTTTTGGAAATCTGTTCCAGATTTTCTGAGAAACTTTTTCAGAAAAAGGGTTTAGTAAGAAGTTTATACTGCCAGGTGACAAATTTTTTACCTGTATAGGAGCGGGTTCGGAGAGATAGATGTTTCTGTCGTAGAAGACAAGCTTATTGCCATTCATAGATACTTATAGAATGTCTGCAGAAGTCTGTCGATAGTGAATGATTTTTTCAGGATTTCTAAGCCTACCTACTCGCATCTCTGTTGGGATCGAAATGAACTGAACCATGTGGTGACAATCATATATAGGGTGGGATCAGTCGAGATATGAACAGCCCGTCTGCCGTGCCAGCTTATAGTACTAGAAAGCATTTTAAATATACAAAATGAGTTACGTGTTAGATTTACCTTTAACCCTGAACCATGAAGATATCTAAATTTGCGAGTCTTACCCGTGATCCTAGTAACATCATCTGGGATGCTGGTAGCATTACCTCGGATGATAATAGGATTACATTAAATGATAGCAGCATTACCTGCGATGTCATTAGCATCATCGAGAATGCTATTGCCATTGTCTAGAACTCTACAAGTATTTCGTTTAAATAGATTGAAAAGTTAAATAAGTATACGAGGGGTAAACAACTGACGTGAGACTTGGGTATTGAAGTTCTATGAAGTCTCGAAGTCCGCTATTTCCTCCTAGCAATACGATGACAGTTTTTTTTGTCAAAATACTCGCTATTTCACTTAAACTCATTAAGGATTCTAATTGTTCTTATTTATGTTTTTTGACGTAATATGTTCAAATATTTGAAAGCTAAAGAGTACGTTAGTGGAACAGTACAAAAAAGGCGAACAAACTCACCTATCAGTTGAAAGTAAAGAACTTCTCTTCAACAGATATCGACCTTTGGAATGGCAATAAGTTTTAAAAAACTGTAACCAAATTGGTTTTTAATTGCCTATTGCTGTCTACTCCTCGAAATAATTTAGTTAAGAAACGGTTCATGACTTGAACGTTCTTCAGTGTATCATTGAAGACGACGTAGCATATTGAACTTATGCATTTTCGTATAGCCTTTTTTTCTAGATTATTTTTCGATTAACGTCTAGTCGAAAATACGTTGAAAGATCAATCAATGATCGAGTTAAAATTGACTCGACGCAGCTGGATTTTAAGATCTTACTGTTTCGTACTCCAAGAGTAAACACTAATAATGCGGATTAAACTAAAAAAAAAACAGTAATTTGATTTTCCACAAAAAAAAATAACTGCCGTACCAAAGAGTAGATTTGAACAACATTTTCATAGTGTATTGCAAGTTCGCTGGAAGAAATATATCGAAATCAGCACCTCATGTCACAAAACACAACATGTCTGTTGTTAGTGCGGATACATACCCTTTGTGATTATACATTGGCAAACAAAGTGAAAGCGAAAAACTTCTTAATTCATTTTTGGACAAGGGAGATTTTTTCGATACATTCGAAAGTATAAAGACAAAGCTTATTTTTTCTGATTTGGGTATGAATATTCTCTTCGCCAACACATGGTACTCAATACAGAGTGAATCTGTGCATTTAAATCAATGAAAACTCTTATTCTATCATTTAAATATTTACATAGTAATACGCAGTATAGAGTTGTTTTGAGTATTTCTAAAAAGAGACATATGTCTCTCACTTCTTTTTCGTGGATTTCTTAGCATTATTTGGTAGGTCCCGTTCAGATCTATCAATTGATATGACATCCGAAGTACACTGCAACTATTAGAGAAGAGTACTATGTGATATCATATGTTTATGCACCATTCGATNTTTCATAGTGTATTGCAAGTTCGCTGGAAGAAATATATCGAAATCAGCACCTCATGTCACAAAACACAACATGTCTGTTGTTAGTGCGGATACATACCCTTTGTGATTATACATTGGCAAACAAAGAGAAAGCGAAAAACTTCTTAATTCATTTTTGGACAAGGGAGATTTTTTCGATACATTCGAAAGTATAAAGACAAAGCTTACTTTTTCTGATTTGGGTATGAATATTCTCTTCGTCAACACATGGTACTCAATACAGAGTGAATCTGTGCATTTAAATCAATGAAAACTCTTATTCTATCATTTAAACATTTACATAGTAATACGCAGTATAGAGTTGTTTTGAGTATTTCTAAAAAGAGACATATGTCTCTCACTTCTTTTTCGTGGATTTCTTAGTATTATTTGGTAGGTCCCGTTCAGATCTATCAATTGATATGACATCCGAAGTACACTGCAACTATTAGAGAAGAGTACTATGTGATATCATATGTTTATGCACCATTCGATAGAGAACTGAAACAGCTTAATTTTTCATATAGATCGACAAAATAGATGAGAAAATGAATGGAATATTTTCCATGAAAATACTTTATAACTTAATCTTTTTGAGAACATAAAACAGATAAACCTCGATGAGTTCAGTCACATGGTATATACTACAGAATGTATTAGAAGATTTAATTTTATTAGCTTTTCTCTTATTATATTTCAATACTCGTGAAAACGCAATTAAAAGTACTTCCTCCTTCCCCTCCGATATCCATTTTCTGCCATGAAAACCAAATGTTTTGGTTTTTCATCGATATATATGTATATATACTTTGATTTGTCTCTATTGATCTGAAGAAAAACTCCATTTTTAACCTTTTTTCAAAGTATTTCCGCTTTGCGCTTAATCGCTTTGTGTTTATCTTAGTTGTAGCATATGATTATGTTAAAGTCTCATGTCGAAATGCATGGAATATCGTTCGATTTTAGTTTGACATAGTAGATTTAGTTTATTCAAAATACGACCAATTTGATGAAACTGAAAATTTTCGACTTCAGACTTATTTTCAGTAGTCTGAGCTATTTTTTATATTCAGATTCTTCCTAATCGCTTGTCGAGGAGTCAGTACCTTCAAACTAGTTTACTTTTAATTTTCAATTCTTTCATTTCTTCCATTAGTAATAAAAGAGATGTATAGTCAGCAACAAGTATATTATTCATGTGTATCGGATTATCAGCATCTCGCAAGCATTCGAAAAAGCAATCTATGAACGTAGGAAACTATCTCATCCAATGCACTCTAGTCAAAAACCTTAATTTGAAAGGAAAAGTGACAAATATCTGGAAGAAAGTCGACATTCAATTTTATTTTGCGTTTTTCTCAAAATTGAATTTTATACCAAAAAAATTACTGTTTCGCCTCCGTTTTTCTGAAACGCAAAGAGGCATCGAACTGAATTATTTTTCATGTATAGCAATCATTATTTGGCAACTGTTACAAACTTCATCTTAGTAGAAAAAAACAGCATTGTTTTAGGGTACCTCCGGTATTTTAGCTTTTTTATTGAAAAGACAAACAATATAAAGAAACCAAAAAACACACACGAACCTTAAATAGTGTTCAGTACGCGTAGGAAAACTTCTGAATTCAACCAAAGGTAGCACTTCGAAGAACCGAGAGGTCATCTTGATCAATTGTGAGCCTAATATCTCATTAAGAAACAGGATTCAAGAACCTCTAATTTAGGCTAACTGGAAACAAGGGAGATGTCCTTAATTAGAACATGTAAAAACAAACGCACACTTTTATGCTTTATTTAAACACCGATTGTCTTTTAAGAAATCTATACAACTACTTTATTTAGCAATATTAAATTTTGTTTTGATAATAATAAAAGAAAACTGAGAGACAAGAGATTCAAAATGAAAAAAAATTACATTCTTAGTTCATTTTTATTATTGAGATTAAATTTCATATTAATTTCCTGTTTATTGTTTTTCTTGTAAATAAGCTTGTTTTTCAGCTTCAGTTAAACCTGCTTTTGGAGGATTTTCAACATGATTTAATTCATATTTACCACCTTGTACTTCAAGTAATAATTTTGCTTGAGCTGTTGACAATAATTCACCTGGTGGTTCAACATGTTTTAATGCAAAATCTTGCTTGGCTACTTCAGCTAGAAGAGCTTTTTGAGCTGATTCAATTGAAGACATTTTATCGAAAATATATTAATAAGAATAATAATCTAAAATAAAAATTATCAATTTTCTCGTTTGTTATTGAGTAACTTAATAATGAATCATTTCTAATAGAATATAAATATTTATTAATTTATTTTTACCTCTTACACACACAATCGAATTACTTGTAACTGTAAACATCAGGATTGAGAATAAAGTTACAATAATATTCATCGATGTATGTCTAGCAATGTCTTACTTTTATTTCATGTTTTAAAAAGCCGACCAACCTTTTATTAATTTTTGTTTCTATATAAATATGAAAAACGAGAAATCGACATATTATATACTACTAAATAAAGTGCTTAAACGTAGGTGGAAGTATTCTTTGAATGTATTTCTTATCTATACAATAATCGACATCTTCTGAAAATATTCCCTACCTAGATTGAAATGTAAACGATACACAAAACTATGTTAATGCAAGAACCTGTTTTGATGAGAATTATGTAAAAGCACCTTGATCAACATTATTCCTAGGACATTTTCATGTTAAAAAATATGGAGACTTCAACAGTAAATTAACTGCATAATCGTATTGAAATAAAAAAACCTGTGACCTTATACTAACGATATTACTGACATTATATCTTAAAACAGTTTATTTTCGTCAGAGAAATATCAGCAATATAATTCTCTGAATAGTTTAATTTCTCTTGAATTGGTCGGATGTATTGCAAGAAGACTCACGTTTACAAAAACTTTCTGGAGGACTGTTAATATACTAGGTAATCACTCGGAAGTGGATTGACAGTCCTGTTCACATCGATGAGTGTCCAATAAAATGAAGAAAGTAATGTCAAATAAATATTCGTATTATACTATAATTTTAAATGACTCATCTAAAACGTACTGAAAAAAACATGTTATTCACATTGTTAAGAAAAAAAGAAATTCTTTTATAATAGAAACTTTTAGAGCGAATTAACTAATTATTCTTTTCAGAACGTAATAGCAGTTTTTAACGGTAAATAAAAATACAAAATGAAATAGTTGTTATATTGAATAATATTCTCTTATTTTTTTTTGTGATTAACCCATACTAAGTTTTGATTCATAATAACAAAATCGATCGTATTATTTATTTTTTCTTTTATGATTGGTGTTTTAGGTAAATAAAATAACTCTCATATATTTTAGAGAGTATTCTGTCACAAAATATGAATAATACATACGCAACATAAAAAAAAGCAAATATTTTGTATGCTTGTTTTCGGGTTCTTCTCTCTTCAATAGTGTTGGTATATTTGCAAAGATAATCAAATAAAAATGTTAATGGAAGTGTCATTAGGTATGAATAATGTACAGATATATGATTCAGTTGAATATCTATCAAAGTTTCACTGACATTATGAGGCATTAATCATGATCATGCATCATTTGACTGGCATAGAATCATATTCAATGTGTCAAACTAAGATATTCTCAATGAGTATTTCGGGTTTTTCTATACAGCCAAGATCTTGAAATTGGTTTAAAATTGATTTGATCATGGCATGCCATGTAACCATGATTAATTCGTATAAAATACAATCGAAAAAGCAAAAAAAGTGAAACAATCATACACGTGCTCTATATGCTAAAAGAGAAGAAGCAGGAAAATTTTCTTTTTTGGATTTGTAGTGCATCGCTATTTTCTTTAAAATTCTCTTCTAAAATTCAATCAACCTACTCGATCTCAAAAACTATCTTATAATATCAAGATCATAAAATATATTATTAAGAACTAATGTATCAAAACAAATTGAAAATCATGTTTTAATCAAATGAATAACGGGTTAACTTTTAATGCTAACGTACAAAATAAAATATAAGCAACACACAGCTTGTGATGAATTTAGATGTATTTTACTACTCATATTTTTCAAGCGATCTCTATTTAAGAAAATCAACTAAGCATCTCAAAAGATACTTGGCAAGATGGAAAAATAATTGTGTCTTATTCTATTAGTTACCAAAACACAAGTTTCACAGTCAGCAATGTTCTTAAGAAATTTCGAGAAAGTAAAAGGGAGCAAAAAAGAGAGTTGAGAATCTTTTTCCTATTTGTCTTATATTCATATTTTTATTGAATTCTCTACATCGCTATTATCTTTCACATTGTTCCGTTGGCTTTAAAAAAAATTAATTTAAAGAAAACCTATAACTGTTGTATACAATGTTTAATTTTGAATGTTTCTAATGGGTAGCGTTTAAAGATTTACCGTCTCACGAAGTAGCCTTACTAACTTGAAAGCCGATTTTGATTTCGAACTCTATGCATAAGATAGATTTCAATGAGGTATAAAAAACTTCAAAAAGATAACTACCTTTAGGTCTTCCATACAGAATTATAGCCGTTTTATTGACATTTTATTTATAGGTAGGTCTACTTGTAACTAGAATGTTCTCTTCACGAGAAATCGAATTACCAGAAAACACGATATTCTCGAATCTTTGATTGAATATGAGTGATTTTTGAAAATTTCATATCTCGTAAAGAGAATATTCTTTTGAGCTGAAATTTTCAGTAAAAAGGCTATAACTCTGTGAGGAAAGTCTAGGTGCTCTTGTCATTTTTGAGTTTTTAATACTTCATTGAAGTCTACGTTATTCAGTGAATATCTTCCTCTATTTTCGAAGTTTTGACATGCATATTGTTTTTGTAAAAGAGCGCTCGTGAAATTATTTTCAAAATCCAATGCAAATGACTATGCGAAAGACTAGATGAAAAACTATCCGATCAGTAATTCTACACTTCAAAAAGATCCATTTTTAAGCTACTGCTTTGGCTTTTAACATTTCACGTCGATTTTTTATTACATATAAAAAAAAAAACTGTATACATCATTTTATGAGTCATGAAAAGCTCCCCGTGTTTTAGGAACTTTTCATAGAAGTTCATCAAAACTGTGATTTAATTGAAGTTCAGTACATAATTAATGAGAAAGGAAATAATTAGTGTTGTAAAAAAACAACTATATTTGAAAGAGAATTTGCTTTTGGAGTACACCGGTGCTGACCAGATAGAGTCTCCAGTTTATTTTTTCGCACATTCATTATCGTTAGATTTTGTAGACTTCCACTAAATATCTTTTGAAAAAATGTTCAAGCTAAATTTACGCGCCATTCGCTGTCTGTGTTCATTTGATTTGTAGACTAAACAAACTATCAATCTGTATTGCATGCCTTGACTATTCTAGAGAAAAAAAATACCCAATATACGATTTTAATTGAAAAGAGATAATCCCATGTCTACTTCAATATCAGACAAAAAAAGGAGATATACATAGTTTATTAGAATAATGTATTAATCAAATTGAAGTTTTTCGTAGGTTTTTCTTTTTAATTAAATTTCCATGACACGATGAGAAATAGCGCCATCTGTATTAGGTTTTGAAAATGATTTGATCTCGACAATTCACGAGCGACATCAAAATCTTTATTGGCTTTATTGGCGACTATAAACTTCTTGATTGGTAAATGATTTGAGATATTCTAATCCTTCGACAGAACGCGAAGATAGTTTGGGTAACAAATAAAGAAACAATCGACACGAAATTTCTCTAATAGAAAAAAATTATAAGAATAATTTCACTTCTTGTTTAGATCTTTATTGATTTACTTTCATTTATACATATCGAAAATGGTTTTCTTTTTTACAAGCAATGGTAAAATATTTCCCAGCAGTTTATAATAAATTTCACTTCCTTTCTCACATAGTTGTCGATTCACCATATACAATCTATATGGGTCGAGATAAATATGAAAGTAAATTATAAAGTTTATTATTTTATCGACTAACATAAAATTATTCTTTATTAGATAATGAATTATTGAAATATTGTTGGCCAGAAGATTTATGGTTCGTAGATAACTATGATTTTTTTTATTAATCCTGAAATTCTGATAATTTAAGGTTTCATGTTAGTAAATTATCATCGGCTCATGTTTATTTAAGACGCCAGAAGGTAATTATCGAGAGTTATAATGTTTAATAAAGATCATTTTTGGTTATTTAGGGTGAAGCTATTGATAATATACCTCCGCTTGTTCTAGAAGATTGTTGTCAATTAGTTAAAGCTAACAGTATTGAAGGATGTAAATTAAATAAAGTTGATATTGTTTATACGCCTGTTGATAATCTTCGGCAAACAAATGATATGGATGTTGGGCAAGTTGGATTTCATGTTGATAAGAATGTAAGGTCATTGTAATTGTCTCAAAAATTATCTTGTGGGTGAAAATAAATAGATTAGTTTTTATTCATAATTTTATACGGCATAGTCTCTATAATATATATATTGGCTAGCATACAATGAAAATACGTTATGAAATTTTTTCTAAACAAACAAATGTCTAAATTTTAGAACAACATATGTTATATAATGATCAAGAAAGATTTAAAAGGCATTGTACTTTGTAAGTAACAGATGGTCTATGTAAAAAATCATCGACTCAATAGCTTGTTGATACCTTTTTTTCCAATTTATTGCTTAGCCTTAAACTTTTTCTCCAATGCAGTATGTAAAAAAATTCTGCACAAAATGATTTGTTCTTACACATGATTCTATAGGATGCATTGAGTTACTTCGAAAAATCTCGAATATTAGATTTCATCAGAAAAGTCGTTAATTTTTCATATAATCGTGAACATTATTATGTTTTCGTGTTTTGCAACATAAAATTAACTAGAAAGAAAAAAGCAATCTTAAAATCACTTTTTTCTAGCTAATTTTGTGTCGCAAAACAAGATAATATAATAATATTTCACGATTATATGAAAAATGAACAACTTTTCTGATGAAATCTAATATTCGAGATTTTTCGAACTACATCAATGCATCCTATAGAATCATACATAAAAAGTGAAAAAAAAAATTGTGAAAACTTTGAGTTATGGGCACCTTAGCTTATAGTTTTGTGCAGAACTTCGTTCTATTTTCTGCATAGGCTATCCATTAGTTACAAAGTACAATGCTTTTGAAGTTGTGTATTTTTTATAGAAAATTTCATAATGCATCTTCTCGTAAGATAACCAATATATATTACAATAAAATCTCTCTATTGTACAACACCATCGGCACCATTGAAAAGTGTTCACTGTAAGGAAGTATTCATTTTAAAGAGTGGAAACATGACCTGCTGTTAAATGAAGGAAAGATTCCAGAAAATTTGCTTCCATATTAATCAAAGATACATCCCCAGCTTTTTATGCTTTTGTTCATCTGTTTTCATCTGAATCATTTGAATTGAAAGTATTTTCAAATGCAATACAAAACTTCATTGTTTTTCAAATGAATTCTCTGATGTTGTTCATCTTTTTGCTTTTGAACTAATTTTTTTATACCTTTTTGTACAAACCATTCTTAGACTTGATCGCCTAAATTTTGTGCATTGAGACATTTTAGTTTTCTTCTAATACTTTGATTCTGATTTGTCTCATAATCATTTCAATATTGTGTTTTATGTTTTAAAATATTTGATACATAACTGATCGATTTCTTATAATGTTCAGACAATTTTTTTTCTTGCAAAGTAAGGCCGTGTAGTAATGTCATCGTTTACATTACACGCACATTGGTCGAATCATACACTAGATGTATGTAGTCTTAGTGCATAAGAAACAGGTGACAGAAAAGAGAAAAAGGTCAAAAAAACGTGTTTATATTAGAAAGATTATAATAGCAAAAGGGATCGTGAAAAAGGGTTCTCTGTCCAGAGTAAGGAAGTGTTCACTAGTAGAGTTTCTACTGTATAAGACTATAAAAGATAAAGTTATGAATAAAAAATGATCTATTTATTATGGATCACCTGCTATTAATGTTTTGAATTATATTTTATAGGTAAAACAATATGTTGTAAGCAAAAAACAAAATGAAGTTGTTAATCGATTAAATAAAACGAAAATTGAACTTTCAACAGAAGAATTTATTGTATAATATTTTTCTTTTAAGAAAAATCACTTCGAAAATTTATTTGCTATGTAGACTCAACGAGAACAACGTGATAATTTGGAACGAGAAGAAAAGAAACGTTTAATGAGAGAACAAAAACAACGAGATAAAGAAGAAGAAAAACGTCGACAAGAAACAGCTGAATTGAGGTTAACAAATAATGTATTTTTATTGAAGAAATAAAAATTTTTCTGTCTTGTTTTTCTAGAAATTATACATCACTTATGCATACAGATAAGATGCGAACAAATAAAGTATGTTTTACCGTTAATGTTCAAAAGAAAAATATTTCAGGAGTACAAATTCTTTTAACTTAGAAAGTAATAATCATAGCCAAGATGTGTTTCTTTTGTAATTTGATGATTAATTTTGAACAAGTTTATCTTAATGATTTTAAAGTATTGAGGATGTCGTATTAGATTTCAAGGACGAATAACTAGTAAATGATTCCTTGTTCTGAAAAGTTTCTCACAAAGAAGTCTCTCCAGGTGTCAAGTCGGTTTTCGATTGAGACGATGCTCATTTGATCAGTCATAGAAAAGTCTAAAATGGTTTGGTTTTCGTAGCTTTCGTTTTTGAAATGTCGAAGTTTTGTTGGGTTTTTCAATAAAAAAAAAAAAATCATCGCATGGAAGACCGATATTTCGACTATGAATTTAGTATGAACAACGTTCTCAATCGAATTAGTTTAATGGGCAAGTTGTAACATTTCTAATATCTTCTATCCTGAAATATTCAATATTGGAAATTCTCTCCGATGTAAAAGTAAATTTACATGTACAGAAGAAAAATACTAGAAAAACTTAAGTTTACTCAATAAACTTATCTCATTCAGAACTTTCTTCAGGCAAAGTTTGAAGTCGAAAGTTGATTTTTCATGTTACCTGAGGAGGACTACAGCTTTTTTTTGAAAAACTCAGTAATGTTTCGATAGTTTAATATCAAAGACTTGGAAAATCAAACCATTCTAAACTTTTCTATTACTCACTAGTACTCGTCAAGTGAATGTCGTCTTGGTTGAAAAGCGATTTGACACCTGCAGAAGTTCCCTCGTCAACAAATTCAATGACACATGTATTGATGCTGTTTCGGACGAATTCCAGCAAATATCTTTTAACTATAATCATTCGCTTTTAATCAATATTTTAGATATTTCAATAAGAAGTAGAGATGTTCGACTATCACAATCGAGATGCAAGTAGCTTTGTATGAAGATGAACTTTTATAATTTGAGCAGAGAGCCCTACACAAAATAGTTTAGTTACGCTAGAGGGAAAAATACTGGACACCAAGAGATTTTATGAGATGTTAAGCTCGATGTCTCTTCTCTTCTTCCCTTGGTCATTTTCTATACAACTGCTGAAAAGTTCTTTTGATGCTGACACTAAAATATATCCGAAGCACTATAATATGTGTTTCATTATACTCATGTATGAACACCAAATTCCTTGATCACACCCATTTCATTGAAATTATCAGGCATGCCTCGAGATCATCAAGCTTGGGCCGGAGGAAGCGATTACTGAGAAGGTAGGGTTCACAACATTTGTGAAGTTGATCCTTGTGGTCCAGATTCGTGAGCAACAAACAACGAAGAAGATCGTTGAGTTTCGCTGGAAAAAAAAACAAAAGTCTTCCACGATTGAGGAGGAGACAACTCAGAGTTACACTCAGTCTAGAAAAGTTGGACCGATCCGATCCAATCGGTCTAGAAATAGTTTCAGACCGGTAGAATCCAGCCAATTCACAAAGCTTTTTTTATATGGTAAAATTGGTGTTAGAGCAAATCTTTGATCTAAATGCTTACAGATTTTTACTGATGAGACAACAGCTCCTCTTTATAATTCAGTTTATCAATTTTTAATAAAAAAAACCTATGTAATTGAAAAACCAAAATATCTTGTAATCAAAAAGATTTGGTTTCGAATGTTTTGTGCCTTATTATTAAAAATTTTTTGTAATTAATTTAAGTCTGTATGTGGAACTTGGTTATTAAAAACGACGTTTCGCACATTTAAAAGATAAAGTCTACCATAATAATCAGAAAAAGATGTTTTTGATTCTTCCGATTATTTTGATTTCCCTCAAATTTTTGGTTACCTTCATTTTTTTTTAATTGAACTCATCATATTGATTTAAAATTGCGAGAAAATAACAAAATAACAATGTGCTCTTGGTTTTTTGATGAAAAACATTCCATTTAGTCAATTTATTAAAAAAACAACTGATTTCAGCTTTTCTCCTGGTTATTTACGCTGGTCTTTTCTGTAACACTTATGTTCCAGCAAGCCTTATTCCCAATTCGTTTATAAGTTTCGCAATAAGAAAAATACGTAATAGCTCAAGATTGTAACCGATCGAGATTGTAGATCTTGCTCGACTCACAGGTCTAAATTTTAGACTGATACGGTTTGACCGCTGATGAACCAACTCAAAATACCTTTCAGATCGATGAAAACTATCAGAAAGTGATCTGTTTACTGTACCATTATTAATTAGCTAAAATAAATGACTTCAAAAACAATCATTTTTCTTTTTTCGCTCCAAGTTTTATAGACCACCAGCAAGGAATACCATATCCTACTCCTTCGCATCTGTTTGGTTTCTCAAAGATAAGTATGTGAAATATTTATATATACATGCAGTTTGAAGAAAACGTCATTTACATATCCGTCGATTGCCACACTCCAAATCTAGAATTTCTCTCAATCAATCTTTGAAAACAAATCTCATGTTTCGATTTGAATGAATATCCAAACCTAAGTTTTATCCTCAACAAAAAAATGTACGAGATAAGTTTAACTTGATTAATAGTTTTGATTGTACTTTAAAAAAATGAAATGTACTTCGATTAAAGAACTGAAACAAATTGACAAAAAAGAGAAAATAAAATATAATTTGTGAAACAAAACAAGTCGGTTATTTTCATGAGAGCATTAAAACTTGCTCATGACAAGTTTTGTCAGAAAATCGGTCGGTCTAACCATCTCAATCAGTCCGGTTCGGTCCGATCAGATCGGACCGGTTTCAACTCTAAGACAACTGTCAGCCTTCAATCACTCGGGGCACTACCACAAATTGCTCGTTGTCCTTGTATACCTCATCAACTATCAGGAATACCAAATATCATCATTCATTGTTTTTTAATGTTAGAAAAGTCATACTTTATTTGCTCTCATAAATTAAAAACCACATTTGATGGTTTATACGAACTGTTGGATTTTATTTATACTTTTGTACATAATAGACAATCTAACCCGACAAATCCGATCACCTACACGAAAATATCGTCTGGATAAATAAAGCAAAAAATATGATTGTGCATCTGAGACAGAAATAAATATTTTTTTGCGTTCTGTGCAAAAAGGAACGAAAACATGAGTCACATGTTCCATTTTCACAAACTTGAATGTTTCATGGAAATTTTGACTGTGTCTGCTAGTTATTTAGTTGTAACAGAAAACTAAATACATAATAAACATTTGACACTCTATTACAATTTCTTTTTATAGGATGGTAATGAATCGGATGAATTCATGTAATTGAACTTCAATTTACATTGTAAATTGCTTTCATTTTCATTGTTTATCATTTTTGTTTCTTGTTTTCCTTTTTTTGCTTCATTTATATTAATAAAAGATTTTTCTTGTTCTTACTTCTTATTTTTAGATGAGAATTTCTTGAGTATGACAACTAATCATAAACCATTATCAATCATTGCTAAATGTGCATCATGTTCAATGAAAACAGAACTATTTGTTTGTTCACATTGTGATAAAGTTATTTGTCAAATATGTGTTGAAAAACATCAATTAAAACTTAATGAAACACTAAAAGAACAATGGGATTTATGTAAAACAAAATATTTTAATTTATTTCGATTATCAGGTTTAAATCCAAAGCTCGAAAAATTATTTTGTAAATCAAATTAATTTGTTTTTTTATATATAACTAGACAACAATGCTAAACATATGGAAAATATTGAGAATGAAGTTGATCGAATACGTTTATTAATTAATCAACGATCTATGGATTTAGTTAATTTAATTGAGCATGAGAAAAATAATTTATTAAATAAAATAGAAGAGTATATGCAATTAAATTTATTTAAGTGAGTTTTAAATAATAAATTTATTAAGTAACAATATTTTGAAAAAATAAAAATAAAAACAACAAAATAATATTTTCTTAGCGTTAAACACACAGATCTAAAACAATTATTTGATTCGATTAATCAACGACTTAATGTTATATTTAAGTAAGAAGATATTAGAAATATTCATTAGTGTATTTATATATATATATATGTATAGAGATCCTAATGCTTCATATAATATGGAAGATTTTCTTTTGGAAATTGAACATTTCAATACGCTGATGTACAGTCGAGAAACGCAGATAAATACAAATTTACTTAAAGTATGTTATTAATAATTATATTCTTTGCTTAGTATTATTTGAAAAACTTATGTAGAAGACTATCCAAAGTGGCCTTTGGCACTGAGTTAAGACTGGTCTACTGAATTTTCGACCCAGTTTTAAGTACTCCTAGGAAAATCGAATAATGGTGTTTTGTTCCGAAATTTTGCCTATAGATAGGTCTAATGATTGTTAGAATATCCTGAAAGTTTCAGCTGAAAAGAATATTTCTTCGTCGACTTATTGAATTTTCAAGTAACCTCTATTTTTGTGACAAAGAGCTATTTTTGGAAATTCAATATCTAAATAAAGAAACATTCTTTTCGATTAAAACTTTCAAGATATTCTAACAGTTATTAGACCTATCTATAGGCGAAACTTCCGAACAAATTTCTGTCATTTAATTTTTTTGAAACTACCTACTCGAATCGATCCTAATTCGGCGGCAAAAGTCAATGCTGACAAACCGTTGTAAGCTTTTATTAAATCCACTGAGACCTGTCTGTGGATCCAATATGAGCTCAAACGACGAGTATCAATTGGAGTATTTTCCTTGTTAATAACACTGCTTTAAGTGTTAAACATATTAGAGTGATGATGGTTAACTTGCTCAATGCATTGGCTGTTTGCAGAGTGAAAAGTGTTTGAGTAATTTTTAAAAAGTTAATTATTATCATTGAATCGTAAGTGTAAAGTGTAGAAAACAATTTTCTAATATATTATCGAATATTAACGAGATTAAGAAATACGGATCATTTTCAGTCGGAAAAACTCTTGGAACTTGGGAGCAGAAGTTCAGCAGCTGACTCTGTTCGAAACTAGGAAAATTCAGCCACTGGATCCGATCATCGAATCCTTGTTTGCAAGTTTCTACCATTTTTCTGGTCGAAAATTCACAAATTTGACTGCCAGTATCGTTCACTTGAGTAGAAGATGCATAGATAAACCTATTTTATTTCTTTATAGTACCCTTGTTTATCCCCTGCGAAATCGATGAGTATATCTGATATATTTGGTGAATTACAATGGAATTCTACACCAATGCCAAATCAAACATTGACTAGATCATCAATTATTGATAGTCTAAATTTAAAATCAATAATAAATGGACATATTCCTACTGAGACTATTAATGGATCCCAAGAGGAATCGAAAATTGTGTCAGAGAAAACAACATCAATGCCTGTAAAACAAAGACAAAAACAATGGACAATAGATGCAGCAGGTGTACCTCATTTTCTATGTGTACTTTCCAAGAAAAATCATCTCCTTTTTGCCTGTGATAAATTTGGTTCTATTGATTTATATCAACTTGATAGTAATGAACCGAGAACTAGTCCTCGTCATTTACGACAATTTGAACTGTTTCCTGGAAATGCGACTAGTCAACAACCACAAATTATTGAAACATTTACTGTTTATACACCATTTATTGCAGTTGCTGCTCGTATGTTGAAATTTAGAGTTAAATTCGAAGAAAAAAAATTCTTTTTTTTCTGTCTTAATCTAGATTTAAATGATCAAGCTGATACAAGTTCAATATATTTTTTTGATCATCGTGGTTTAAAACAAGCTGATACATGTTTACAAAATTTTCCAGTTCGACAACTTTCAGCAGATGTTGCTTTTAAATGTTTATGGGGTATTGATCGTCATCAACATGCAAGTATGATGCATTTTTAAAACAGTTTATTGAAATTAACATCTTTGTGCGTATTTAATACTAAACGAAATTTTTTTTCGAGATTTTGTTTCAAATTTAGTTCGATCATAAAACTGTCTTTTGGCGGGCGGTTGATGACACATGTACAATCAATATTCACACCATATCCACAAAAAACTCTACTCTCTAGTGTCATATCACAGTAAAACTTAACTTATAAGCAATGTTGAAATAGTCAACTTTGATTGGACAAAATTTTTGACGATTGTTTGATTGAGTTATTGTTCTCCAACGATGCTAAAAAAGAACTGTACATTAAGTAGATCAAAATGAACTGTAAATACTTTGAAGAGAGTTCGTGTTCTTAACTTATTGCTATGGTGATATTGCAATTTTAGGATGTTTTATAAAATAAATGTCGTGGTCTTCTTGGAAATACAAGGAAAACTCATTTTCAAATTTCGACTTGAAAATTTACATAGAAATCGGTCTCAACGAGAATAGTTTGTTGTCAATTTTTTAGGTCTTGCCGCTGTTCCTATCTTAAGATATAGCTATGGTAATAGCGTGCCTTTTACATCACTCATGCAAACCAGCAGATGCATTGTCCGTATTTCACGATAGAAGTAAATTAAAAGAACTGAAACTACTTTTGGTTAAGACCTATCTATATGTAAAATTTCACGTGAAAATTCGAAAATCAGTTTTTCTGTTTCAATAGCATTCATTTAAAAAAATAACGTGAAAGTACAGTATCATCGCAGCAATAAACTATGTGCGCGAACTCTTGTTAGGATATTCTCATAGCTCATTTGGATCTACATAATGTACATAGTCTCAACTCAAAAGTGATTGAACAGTTGCAAGATTCACTTTATCAAAAATGAAGTTGTATGTAGATATAGTATGGACATTAATTGTACTTTAGATATAAACTGTATGATAAAAAACAATTCTATGATAGAGTTATACTTAAAACAAAATCTTTCTGATTTTTTTTGCTAATTTTTATAGTTTATTATAATCAATTACCAATGAATGTTCAACAAATTCAAACTTACATAGAACATCGTGAAGAATTTATGAAATTTAATCGAAGTTTTGAACCAATAAGGTAACTTTTCAAGACCATAAATAAATTTAATTAAAAAAAAAAGAATGAAAAAAACTTCATAGAATAGCTCAAAATCAAACATCTATCGCTATTGTTGAACGTAATTCTCAACGCGCACATATATTTGATAAACAAACAAAAAAACAAATAGACGAAGTTGAAAATATATTACGTACAAAAGGAATATTTCGTTTATGGAATATTCTAGTAAGTTTAATTAATTAGAACATAAAATAATTCTTTTTTGTTTTTGATTTATCTAGCTTCGTGATGATAATTCAATGGTACTTAAATTGGATGAAGATTTACCTCCAAATAGTCGACCACCTTCAATAAATCATCTTGTTCTTGAGCTTGATCCTCAAGGTATCCCTATATCAAAAATTGAACGAACATCTGTTTATGGTCTTGCTATTGGACCTAATCAAGAAATTTTACTTGGTTGTAAAAGACATCAACAGAATGGATTAATTGAATGTTATATTTAAATATTTAATTTTGATTGTTAAGGTATTCGACGAACTTAATTTCTTTAATTAATCAAAGTTAATATTGAATCTTTTTTCTTTTTAGAAAAACAAAATATGATTAGAAAAAGTATTTTAAAATGTTACGTTTATCGTAATTCTGTAACAATTTCTTATTTTCAACACATATTTTTTTCATTACTCTTGACTACACAACAGTGTATCACTTTTTTTTCTTTTCTTTTTCTAAGAAGAATGAACGAACACACACGAATGATTGCTTTTATTTTTATGTAAAACGACCACTTTTTTTTAGATGCATATGTTTACTTAATTTCATTTTAAAATAAAATGTCAAATTCAGAAAACTGTCCAAACTGGTAAAATTACTAATTATATAAATATTCTCATTTAATTATCTTTCTATATTTCATCTAGTGATAATATCTATGGTAATGAACCACGTAAAATTCCATGGTAATATTAAATTTAAAAACAAATTGATAACCTATTTGCGTTGTTTTGTTTTTCTTTTCTTATCAAGTGGTCATATTGTCTGTCATAAGTGTTGTCTGGATTTATTTAATAAAGAAGATAATACTCTTATTTGTCCTGTATGTAGTGACATACATACATTTAAATCAAAAAATACATTTAAAAAAACTTTACAACAAGTAGCTCATTCTGGTTTTGGAAAAAAGACAGCAATACGTGAAATGAGTTTTGCATCAACAATGGTAAGACAAGAAAAAAACAACAAGAAATAGTTTATCATTGTTATTTATATATATGTATATATATGTAGCCAGTTGAAAAAGCATCTGGTGCAGAAAAAGCAGCTAATAAAGAAGTAAAAAAAGCAGTTCCACATTTACCAACAGCTCCACCGGGTGCTCCACCAGAAATTTCATCAATACCTCCTCCACCGCCACCATCATCACAACTGGAGCCTTTTGTTGTTGTTACTAAAACATCACCGCCTCCAATGCCACTTATGCCAACTAAACCTACAGTAATAGATAGTGTACCAAAAGTCATAAAACAACAACAATCTACGTCGAATAATACAGTTCTACCTTCTTTACTTAATACAATAGTTTCACCACCATCATCATCTATTTCTGATGCTGTTATTGCTCGTTGCCATAGTTGTGGCAATAAATGTCAAGTAATTGTAAGTTAATAAAATTTGAATTGTTTAATGTTTCTTTTTAATAACTAATTTTATTAGGTTTGTGAACATTGTGATCATTTTGTATGTCTTAAATGTGCTGAAGAACATCGAACAACCACTAAAATTGATGCCCAAGAATTAACAAATAAATGGCATGAATGTAAAAATAAATATAATATTTTACTTCAAAAATTAAGTAAATAATCTTTTCTTTTTTTAATAATATTTAAGAATGTGTAAATTTGTGGACCGTAGTTTCAAAGATGAGTTCTTTTAATTTGCAAAAATTCATTATAATGTCACTTGTTTTTTATAACATTACCGATCAATTTTGATTTTTCTATTCAAAGGTATCGATTAGTAACATATTTAACAGCAGTATCTCCATTTGTTTGAATTAAGATAAGACTAAAAAATAATAAATCTATCTTGAATGCAATTGATTTTTATTGAAACAAATATTCTTGAAATATTGCACGTTATCTAAACTTCCTTGTGCATTCTTTTGAAGAAGATTATCATGAGTTGTGATAGTACGAAAAATTTTTGTCTCAAAGAAAAAAACACGAGATCTTAATGAATCGACATCAAGATAGTTGTATGCTGCTAGCGTATTTTCATTTTACGATGTTTCCAGAATACGAAAAAATTAGCGATTTTTGATCAGATTCTTTTGACCAATTCTGCAGCTCATTCTTTTAGATTCGGTGAAATCTAATGATAGCCTTGGATAGAGCAATCAAAATTGGTCGGGATTATTATGCAAAAATTGACAGAATAATAAATTCTTAATACTAAAAAATCTCATTTTTGAAATTATGATCCACGCATTGATGCATCTTTAATAATAATGATTATTCAATCACTGTTGTCTTTTTGTGTTGAACATAAATAGATCAATATAATCGTGATAGAATTCAAATTGAAAGTGATCTTGCTGCTATACGAGTTGCTGTTGAACAACGTTCACGAGATGCTATTCAATATGTTGTTGATCAACGTGATTCTTTGTTTAGTCGTATTAATGAACATATGGAAAAAGAACAAACAATCAATAAGTATTAATACGACTATTATGTTTTTCTTTTTCATTAATTCTTCCATTTATTAAGTATTAAACATAATGATCTTGCTAATGAATTTCGTCAAATACAAAATCGATTTGAAAGTGCTCTTAAGTATGATTTCTATAGAATTGATCTAAGACTTTTTTTTGTCTTTTTATATAGTGGAGAAGATATTGGTTCATACACTCAAGATGATTTTTTGCGTGATATTTATGAACTTCAAAATCGAATGAACAAACGTAATAATTTAATTGAAACACATATTCTACAAGTAAAGAAACATTAAAAAAACTTCATAAAAAACAAAACCAATTAAATCAAAGTTAGTCAATGTGTTTCATTGTCAATCTATCTCCGAGAATCAAAAGCTTCGGCTCTTCTATTATTTCAGTCTTCTAACATGAGGAGGAATTTATTTTGTTCACTTAAAANCACAGGGTGGTCCATAAATAGCTAAGTAATAAAAACATTCAATATCTTTAGTTTGATTTTAATTAATCGAGCTAGGTATTTTTGCTCTGTCATAGAGAATCTTTCAAAGTTTTTATTCACGAGGAAACCATCAATGAATACTATCTTGAACTAACTGTACCCATGTAAAAAAGCAACAAAATATCTGATTTTAATCGATTACCTTCTGATTAAAAATCAATTAAAACGGCACGATTTTAAACAGATTTTCTGATTTTAATTGCTTTCATTATAAAACGCGTTTTTCTTCAGTTTTCACTTAGAAACTCTAATTGTTGATTATGTTTTCTGACTTCTCATGTTGACAAATGGTAGGTGTAGTACTAGCCGTATGTCTGATACACTTTTACATAAGGCACCAATTTATAATTAATCGAATAGGTCGAAACACTGATGATTTAGATTAAGATCGTTTAACACCGATTAAAGTCGATCAAAATCGATTAAAATCAGATTTTTTTGTCGTTTTTTTCTGCATGGGTACAGTTAGTTCAAGATAGTATTCATTGATGGTTTCCTCGTGAATAAAAACTTTGAAAGATTCTCTATGACAGAGCAAAAATACCTAGCTCGATTAATTAAAATCAAACTAAAGATATTGAATGTTTTTATTACTTAGCTATTTATGGACCACCCTGTGCATATCTAAATTTTTAATTATATATATATTTGTTTTTTTTTAAGTACCTAATTTTTTATGCATGACACCATATCCAACACCAAAAATTTTTATTCTTGATAAATATGGTAAAGTTTCTGTATGTAGTATTCCACCAAAACCAATAAAACCATTTGAATCATATTCATTATTTCCAAATGGTAATGATGAATTGATTGAATCTGCTGCTGTTTCATCACGTTTTCTTATTGTTTATTCACGAAAAAAACAAGATACCATGACTGGTACAATGTATTTTTTTAATCATGAATGTAAATCTGTTTTACAAAATGGTATTCATCAAAGCATTCCAGTACATCATATATTATGTGATCAAAATGCAAATCGTCTTTATTGTCTTGATCGTATGCGTTGTACAATCTATTATCATACATTACCAAATAATTTAAATGAAATTGAAACATGTATGAAAACACGTCGTGATTTTACACAATTCAATTCAAATTATGGAGCTTTTAAAATGTTACAAAATGATGAGATTTTAGGATTTTATGAACGAAATGAATGTACTGTTCATTTGTATGACAAAAAAACAGCAGAAAAACTTGATGATTTTAAATGTGAACATTTTATGGATAAATATGAAAGTTGGGGAATTATTGGTTTGTTGAAGTTTGAATTTAAAAAATTCTTTAAAAGGAAAAGATAGATATGAAAGCATAATATTGAGAGGTTTCTTTTTTAATTTAATTACACTTATCAGACGGCTTATATTATTCTGATCGTTTAATCGAGTAGAGCATTGTAGAAAACGATCACTGTTTGGCAAGATAATGTCACTGAATTCTGTATTAGTAATAAACCATATTTAACTCTTTATTTTGCACTATCCTCATTGGCTGACTGCGGATTGGTCTTATATCAATATTGATTGCTTCTTTTAAAAATGAGTTTGATCTCAAAAGTGAATCTGTTTCTTTTAATTACAAATCATTTTTAGCCATCGAAGGATAAAAATTGAGAGAAAAACTTTCTATATAGACATATGCAGAGTTACCCTACTCTTCAGGATAAGAGTAGAGGTTTTCCAGGACAGAATAAAAGTAAAGGTATTTCAGTGTAGAAATAGCTAAGGATAAGCATGTTGCAGGGTAGGGTGATAGTTAAAAAAAATTTCCTCGATCAGGGTACAGCAGAAGAAGAAAAAGCTTATCTTGTACATCTCTATTCCAAAATATGTTTAAAATTTCATAAATTTACTTTCTTAATAAACATGCAGAAAGAATATATTTAATAATATAATATTTTTATTTTCTTTGCAGCTATTCGAAAAGATAATAATAGTCTTATATTCAAAGTGGATGAGCGTGATGATCATGATGCTGCAAACCGTCAACATATTGTTTATGAAGTTAGTCGTTCAACAAAACAAATCATAAGTCAAATTCAACTTAATTCAGTATTTGGTATGATAATTGGACCAAATAATGAAGTTATTTTAGGTATTCGTCAAACAAAAGATAGTGGTATTATTCAATGTTACATTAGAAAATAATAGATAATTACATCAAAAGACCGGTGTAGATGACCAAGAATAAAGAAACAAAAAAAATTAGGAATAATGTGATTTTTTTTCTGTCTGTGTTAAACAAAAAAGAAAGAAAAAGTGAAATGTCATCTATTATTGTATATTTTTTTTTGCTACCAAGAAAAGATGATAAATTACTGTGATTATTAGTGAGAATGCAAGTTTGTTTCGTTTATGCTGATGATATACTTTATAGTTTTCTTTTTTTTCTTGTTCATGATTATATTTGTCTCTAGTCAAGACAAAACATGACTTTTCATTTTTTCACTGGCGTTGAAAAAGATATATTGTACATATTCTTTATTCGTTCTTTCTTTCTTCTTTTTTTTTTTTTGGTTAATTTCGTCACTTTATTTGGTTATTTCTTGTGATATGGGTGAAAGACGAAAGAACATTAAAAATAAAAGTTTACATTTTAGAAAAACGAACTATTAGCTTAATTTTCGTTTATGCTTTTCTTTTTTCATTTTATGTCCATGTTCGTTTGTTTTTTTTTTCTACTGGTTATTAATAAACATGATGATTATATGTCTAGGATGTATTTTATTCTGGCTTTTCAACATTCATTTAAAGTCTTTCTTGTAGAATTCAATGAAATATGTCCATATCACGAAATATTCTTTTATGTACAGTTTGTCAATCATTATTTAATGTAAGAATAATTTTATTTTAATTAATTATATTTGTATAGTTATTTTTTGATAAAAGGATGCAAGACAATTACGATGTGGTCATTCATTTTGTTATAAATGTATTGTAACTCAATTTGATAAAACATCAAATAGAATTGTTTGTTCGAGATGCAAGTGAGTTGTATTGATATGTAATTAGCTTAGAGTGCACATATTAAAAGAGAACAAAAGAAAAAGAGCATTTTTAATTTGAGAATTTTTCTTAAAATAATAACAATCTAATTGAATTTTTTGTATGCAAACAATATAAATGTAAAGGTCATATATGCTTTTTTTTCCAAATAAAATCTTGAATCAACCTAAAAAAGTTGAAGAATGAAAAACTAATTCAGTTTTTTTTGTAACGATAATTTGAAGTAAAAAATACAAAAGAATATTTTGGAAACATGTTTATAATAATTCCACTGATCAAAAAACCTTATATACTTTTCGATTAAAGGCGTAAAATAAGTTTATTCCTTTCTATCGTTCTAAAGTTCATCATTAATGTAGTCGTGTTTTGACGAAATAATACCTAAAATTCAGAAATCTTTGACTTTAACCTAATTCTCAAAAAATATTTTCAGTTAAAGTATGGATAATAATTTCTACTAAAAAAATGACAGCACATAAATATCAATAATACCATTAGCTAATTACTATTTTTTCTTTTTGTAGACGCATTCATCAGTTTGAATCATTTTCACATTTTGAAATGAGTTTAATTGTTGATGCATTTGTCATGTCATTGGTTATGGAACATCGACGTAAAACTACTATTCAATCAACACCATTATTAGCATTTACACTTGAACAAATTCTTGAAAGAAGTCCTGCACCATTTCTTATTGCAAAATGTTCTGAATGTGCAGTTCGAAAAGAACTTGGTATTTAGAAAAAAAAACTCTATAACATAGTATTGCAAAAAAAAAGCAAATCCTATTTTGTCTTTCTTTTAAGTTGTTTGTCCTGAATGTGAACAAGTAATTTGTTTCGAATGTATTTCTCAACATCAATTAGTTGTAAATAATCGTGTTCAACAAAATTGGATGACATGTAAAGATATATGGAATACAATTTATGAAAAATCGAGTAAAATCTTTTTTTCTTTTGTTTTTCTACTTAAAAAGTTTACTTTGTAGTGTTATTCGATGAACAACAATATGATCTTAAATCTTATACCGATGAATTAAAATCTCGTATTGAAAAGCGTTCAAATTTTCTATTTGAAACAATTGACAAGTGGCGAAACATCTATGAAAATAAAATCAATCAATATTCGGAGATATGCAATATTATTCGCCGAGAAATAACAACACAATATCAATCAATTGATCAACATATTCAGATATTTCTTAAGTTTGTTGACAACAAAAAAAACAAAGTTCTTTCAATTATATTTATATTCTTAGTTCTAAAGATCCCGATCCAATCAAAGCTGAACATTTTCTTCAAGAAATTAAAGATTTTAAAATAAAATTATGTCGACAAATAAAACAAATTGATGAATATTCACATAAATTTCCGACGTATTCAATATCAAATTTTGATTCATCTATACTTAGTACCATATCTATGCAAACATCTGTGGAACATCTTAAAACTATCATTGATGATGATAATAATGAATATCATATTGAAATAGAAAATGATACGAATAATAATGAAAGTACAAATTCAGACTCAGATGAAAGTCAAGAAACAATACATGAAAATAGTAATAATCAAGAAGTCAAAGAATGCAATAGTGAATCTCCATTGACGACATTAGAAAATATTCCAAATAAAAAACTTCTTTGGTCTTTACATTTTAAATTTGTACCACAATATATTGCACTTTATCGACAATCGATTTTATTTGCATCAGATCGTTGGGGATTTGTTAGGTACGGTATTGTTTTAAGAAGTTTTATTAAATTCAATTTGGTTTTGGTTTTCTAGTACATGGACTTATACAAATGCACGTACAAAGCCAACACCGAAAAAAACATTTGTTCTTTTTCCACAATTTCGAGTTGGCACTTGGTCTCGTGTCTATGTCGAATCGTTTAGTGTTTGTAAGTTTTGCAGAAACAAACAACATTATTTCTTTCTTGTTTTAATAGGTTATCGAAATGCTAGTTGACGAAATATTTGTTCATAGAAGTTTTCAGAAAGACGACTATAACTTTTACCGATGAATTTTGACTACAGAAAGACTTGTTCTTATAGTGTACGCATTAACAAGTTCCACTGCGTATCATCTAGATACTAGTTTTGTCTAATATGTTGAGATGAGAAAACCAAAAATCTCTTATTTGCATGTCAAATATGTTTGTATTAGTAATTTTTCACGTTCTATTGGTCTGTGATGCTTACGAAACAAAAAAAACAGTGGGTGAGGGCCGGAAATTCGAAAAATCTCAATTTTTCGTTATTTTCATACCATATGTGGTCTACAGTTCACTGTCTGGTAGCCATCATCATCGTCATTGCTTTCGTTATTTAAAAACATAGGTGATGCATATTTGAAAAACTCAGTGTAATTAGTTGAGAATTGCTGCATTTTTTAAGTGTCATGGGATATCAAACCTAAATACGTGAGAATTAATGCTACATAGTTACGAGTATTGATCGTTACATTTTCATAAGAACATTGTCAGCAGCATTCTAGAACAGTATGATAATTATATTGAACAGTAACACTATATCTTTTTATTTGAATGTCTAGATTGAGTTCTGCTTTCAATAAGCCATGTGTTTGTGTTGACACCATAATTTTGTAAAATCCGTCGTCGTTTACATATTCATTAGTATAGCTTTTTAGCTTGTTTTACTTGAAATATCCCAAGCGTAAATTTTTCTAATTGTGCCTGCAAGAGGATAGGAACATCAGGCGCTGCTTCGGCGCTCTCTATTCTTTCCCACTTTTTCGTATTTTGAAATCCATTATCATTAAGCTTCGTTTCATGAAATTTTTTTTATCCTCTTGTTCGAGTAGCCTCACCATGATTGGCGGTATTATGAGTTAATGGTAAACAAAAAGCAATTAGACTCACACAAACAAATCGAAGATAGTCGAACACATAAGGCAGAAATGGCTTCAGTATGAGTTTATCAAAATATTTCAATTGTTTCACTCTTCTGCCTACGTTTTCTATGATCCAGGAGATCTTTGTTACGAATCCATGACGATGCACTTCATGAAAAAAAAGATGGCATGTATTTATTGAAGCTAAGAGATGATATATATTCAAGAATATTTCGAAAGCAGATCTACCATGAAAGTATCTTTCCGATTAAGCCAGTTTAATACCTTCTCTTCATTAGTACGAAAAATATGGGACAATCATCAAACACATGTACCCACCTGTAGCAACACACATCATAAGTTTTATAAGTGGACGTAATTGATACGTGCTAAACAATCTACATTGCAGCGTACAACACATGCTCTTTTGCCAATAGACATAGGTCCCCTCGACAATAAGAACAGCTACAACAACAGTGAATTAAAGAAGAGAAATGCACCACAATGGTTCCAAGAGGAAAATGAACAACAATGAGTAAACAGAAAAAAATGTGCGGCAATAGTTCAAAGAGGAAAACGAATAACCATAAGTAAACGGAAAAAAATGTGCAGCAATTGTTCAAAGAGAAAAAAACAACAACAATGATTAAAAGAGACAAATGAGCTATGACAAGTCGGTTATTCTCTTAATGTCTAAGATCAATATATATGATCGTTCTTCACAGCAAGTACGTATCAATATACCATGTACAAACATATACTTAATAATAATAGACTGCTCCGTCGGGCTGTATTAGTCTACTGATTATAGAATATGTCTAGAAAAAAATCATTTTTATCCACATGGTATAGACTATTGTCCTTTTCCTATAACTGTTTCTTGAAAGAAATGATGTTCTTTCGATCACAAAGTAGCTCAATCGTAAAAATTTGTCAAACAATCACGTAATCAGTAAACGTTTTTAAAAAATCCAACGATTACTGATTATTGTTGTATACTGTTTTGATTTAAATAATGAAAAAACTGAAGTTTTAGAAACTTTTGACTTTGACGCACCGCTATTGTTTTGCTTTTTAAACATCAGAAATCAATAGAGAATGAAAAATACATGTAACAAAAAATACGTGACGCTGCTTCTAGTGTCTTTTATGAGATGATATGAATCCAACGATTACATATGACATGAAAATATGCGACTTTGGACCCCTTATTTTAATATATTAGACAAAACCAGTGTGGACAAATATTTTTTGTTCATTTTTAGATAGAACATATAGTTTTATGTATATATAGTGTAAATTTGTCACAGATCCGAATGATCAAATAGTCGATTGGAAGGTTTAAAGCCAAGTTTTTAGCCATAAGTCTCATTTCAAAATGTTAAGACTTTTCAACTAGCAAAGCATTTATGGACTTTCTAATATTAATATTCGTAATCAGCACGCTCGACTCTACCAATAAGTATACAATTTATTTGAATCAAAAAGAAAATTTTTTTTCAGCTGTTTCCAAATTGACCTATGACATATTATCAGGATCCATATCTAACATCATTCCAATAGAAAAAAAAACTCGATTTGATTGGGAGTAGAAAAATAAATGTGCATTTCGTCAAATTATTTTTCAATAAGTTGTTATTCATATTATTCATTTATCTTTATTTTTATGTTTGATTTAGATAAGCCATATATATGTGTTTTTGTTAAAGGATCTGATGAGTCACTTGCAAATTTTATTGCATTTTTTACTCATAGTGGGCAATTACAAATGAAAGTTGAATATGATCATCGATATACACTTCGTCAATTAATTTGTGATGAAAGTTCAAAAGGAAATTGCATATGTATGTATAGAAAATAGATATTTCTTTGATTTATTTCTTTGTTTTTGTCTTTTTTAATTCCAAGGGGCTGTCGATCGAGGCATGCATTGCATTTATAAACATGACTTACCACGAATCAATAAAGAAATTAAACCATTTTTATCAACACATAAAATAGCAACACGTTTAAATGATCGAAGTTGTGATGTTATTCGTATGGCTATTAATCAAAATATTCTCGCTTTACTTGGTATGTTTTGTAAAGTGTGTTCATAGAATTATTTAAAATATAATGTAATATAAACAGTTATAATAATTATTTTTGTTTTTCATCTTTAGATTCACGAACACAAATAGTAACACTTTATGATAAAAATACTCAGAAAGAAGTTGGTATTTATTCAGCTGAATTTTTACCTACCGGTGAAAATAAATTATGGCGTGTAGAAATATTTCCTGATAACAGTCTTCTTTTACGTTTCGATGATGATGAACGTACTGGTGATCGGTCACAAGTTATTCATCATATTGTTGTACATGTTAAAAAAAATGAAGTAAATAAAAAATATGAAGCTATATCACAAATTCAAGCAACTAACGTTTATGGTTTTGCAATTGGTTCTGATGCAGAAGTTATTGTTGGTTTAAGAAAATCAAATTGTTTCGAAGGTCTCATTAATTGTTATGTTTGATAGAAAATTCGAAGTAATCTTATGTCTGATATTTACATATATATATATATTATTTTTTTTTGTTTTCTCATTATCATTTTATTAGTTGTTTATATTTCATATAAATCAGATATTTAATTAAAAAATAGTCACATTCATGATATAGTTAACTTTTGTTAGATTAAACTTCGAACATATTGTAAATAAAAACTTTATTGAACTTTGTTTTCTTTTCAGATTTCGTTTAAATTAATGCTACCATAAGATTTGTAAAGAAAGATTTATTGAAATATGATTAATGCTAAACTTGTTACATGTGGATTGTGTCAGAATTATTATGCTGATCCTCGACAGGTAAATATTCTTTTTCTCTTTGTGTGGAACTCACATTATGTTTTTCAAAGAAAAATACAATGAGTGTCAGTTTTAAGTCGAGGCTTTGTATGTTCCTTCTCGTAGCACCAAGAAACGGAGAAGGTCAACTATCAATGCATATATTTCCGTAGCAACCGAAGACAATAAGTATCAGACTCATTTTTCAAAGTTTTTTAACAACGGAAGAAGGCACTGAACGACAATAACAACAAGATTTAGACTCCCACAAAGTTAAATGTGTGGAATAGTTTTTTGTGCAAATAAAAATTTCTATTCAAGATGTCAAAGATAATGAGTAGTGATGCATTACTCTGCCACAGTCGCATATAATCAACATAAAAAACATGAACTGATTACATTATAGCTTTGGACAATAATCAATATCAGTGTTTCTGGCCTTATCAAGATATATAATCGAGCGTTGAAGCTTGCTGTAGATGCAATGGATTCTTCTGGCAATAGGGAGCTGTGGACCCTTCCAGACCCGGACCCGACCCGGTTCGTGTCCAAAATTTAATTTTCTGTCGAATCTGGGTTCAGCTCTAGATGAAACTTCAGATCAGGTTCATATACAGCTTTGAATAGATGTAGAAGTGCTGAATTTCACGAATAATACTTTCTTCCTTCATTTTGAAGATTTTTTGTTTCATTTATATGTTATAGTCTCGTTTACATACATATAACTAAACTATTCCATACAGGTGAAGATTTTGCTATTACAATTGACTTAACGGTTTCTAATAGCGAATCTTTTTTTTATCAATCAACCGTTTAATTTGGCTTTTTTTAAAACATAAAACTGTTCTGAACTAAGTCAACAACTTAAATTTTCTAGACTTTCAGTAATGTTAAATGAACACTGATAAATAACTACAAACTGACTTTTTTCTGAGACAGCCAATGAATAGCTAAAACTTTGATCCTTCACTTGTTCATATGTACAAAGGGTGCCAGATAGTGATTGATAAATTTCGGATCTGGAGCCAGTCGGATTTGGGTCTAAGTTTTTATTTTTTTCAGGCTCTGATTCGGGTCCAAAAAAACGTGAATCTGCAGCTCTCTATCTGGCAATCGATTATCCTTGAAAAACAACTATAGTTTGCTAGAGACTATTGTGAGACACAATCCAAAAGAAGTGTTGAAGTATATAGGGTAAAAATCTGTATCAAACCCGCCTCCCACATATTGTGGCAGACGTTACTCAAACACGGTATATCAGTAACCTGTGGCTATAGTATATGAACTAATTCCTTATTGCATTTCTGAAAGATGAAGTAAAGAATGACGAACAAATGTGTTCCAAAATAGATAGAATAAAGCAATGCTCCCGTGATTATCAAGAGCAGTCGCATGGTGTTTCATATTTTAATTCTGCAGGAATTGCACTAAAAGAATATATTTTGTATTAGTATTATGAAGCTAAAGAACATAGGTGATATCCATATTTTAGCCTCACAGGTGCTATACTGACAAACTTTTCTTTTCAATATGTTCTAAAAATTAAATCATTTTCATTAAATGTTTATTTAGATTCCCTGCTCACATTCATTTTGTTTTGATTGTATATCAGGTCGTTTCAATGAGGAAACATTAACATTAATATGTCCAAAATGTGAAAAACTGCATCAATATAAATCATTAGAGGAATTTCATAATCGATCTATGCGTGATGGATTTCTTGCAACAATGGTAACTCAATTTAAGCGAAATCAAAGTCGTTTATCAACAACACCATCAGTATTATCATCACGTCCGCCATCATCATTTTCACATATATCAACATTTTCTTCATCAACACCAATACCTCGTATACGAACACACGAAATAGATACAAATCATCATGACCAATCAGGTTCGGAACGTTCAACACCATCAGTTTTAAATCAACAAGGATCCTCATCTGTTATACAACCAACAACAACACGTTCACTCGTTGCTAAATGTCAATCATGCAATATACGAGGAGAATTAATTGTATGTAGTCATTGTGATAATGTTATATGTGTTAAATGTGCTGATGAACATCAGAGTGTTATTAATGATGATGTTAAACGAGAATGGGATCTATGTAAAACACTATTTCAAACAATTAATGAGAAATCAAGTATTGAGTTTCGTTTTTTTTTGTTAAAGAAATTATTTTCATTATTTTGTTTTAGTGCGTTTCGATAACAATGAAGAGGAAGCTAATAATAAAGCACGTAGTCTCCAGACATTTATCAGTAAACAAACCGATAAATTAATACAAACAGTAGAAAATCAAAAAAATACGTATATTGATGTTATTGAAAAACATCTTCGAACTTATAAACAATCGTAAGTTATTTCATTAGCATGAAAATAATTAATTTTTGTATTCTCAAGGGATTACTATCGAAGAACTGGAAAGATAAATGATAGGATTTTGTATGCACAAGAAAGTGCAATACAAAAAAAGTACATCGCAACCGACTAGTTTCCACATGATCGAAAACTAAGAAATCTATCATTTCTTTTTATTGTATTTAACATTCGTGCCCTAGTAAATGTACTGAGTTCAAAATGCCTGTGTATTAGGTTAGTTGTTAACAGGTTACCGTTTGGGTACTCACCAGAAGATACCCGCCAAGGTACCTGTCAAGCTTCTATAGCATCCTACGAAAAGTTTTTCAACAAGTTAATAGATGTGAACATTTGGAAGCATTTTGTAATCAAGTGCTAAGTACTCATAAAGTAACCAAAGGTTTCTGTAACATACTGGTACCTTTTTCTCGGTTTGAAAAAAATATTTTCATTTATGTTTGAGGCTAAAAAAACCGACCTTATGATGGTGAAATTTATTGTTTGGAAGTGTATTCATGAAAAGAGTTAATCACTACAACATTACGGTATCGTAGTCAGCGGCTGTTTTTTAGACTGACTGCAAAAGGTAATGTTTATAGCTTTCATGACAAAAGAACGTGACTCACTAATGCCAAACCGTAGTTCAACCTTCGACGATATTATAATTATGTTTGATTTCGGTAGATGACTAGAGCCCGTCGGGCTGGTTCTAGACTCGATCGAGCTCGGATCTGAACATTTTTCGTTAGACGGATTCGAAAAATCTGGATCTAATGGGTTCTACTGACGACTACCATTTGTTTTTCGTCATTGTTCAAAATCAATGACATCTATTGATGCAGAGTATATGAAGCCTAAAAGAAAATTCCAAATATGCTGAATCGTTTTGTATTCTAGAAACATTCTGCTCAACTTTGACCAAGCATGGTCATTTTTACCTTAGCAAACAGTAAAACATTTTCTTTCTATTTAGTTTTGCTCATGAACAAGTCGTTGATGAATATGAATCAATTGATAAACGTGTTGCAGATTTATTTAAGTACATTATTAATATTCATATTTTTCTTCAAAATAAAATCTTATTTTTATTAGATCTGCTGATATCACTAGTGATAAAATTAGTGATTTTTTATTTGAAATTGAACATCTTGAAGGTCGACTAGATAGTTTAAATAAAATTCTTGATTCAAATCAATTAAAAGTATTTAAATTATTATTTTTCATTGATAAAAACAATCATATTTATTTTAGTTTCCTTTACTCACATTACCTGAACAAGTCAATATATCATCACTTTTTGGTACTCTTGAATTTGTTCAATTAAATACTGAATCAACTACATCTGATCCATATGCCGTACCACTTACAAATGGTTATAATGATTCACAATTAAAATCTGAAGATGAAGATTATGTCCTTATTAATTCATTTAATCATAATTATTCCAGAAATATTTCAACCAATCCAATCGAGCAAATTCCATCATTATCAGCTATTGCAAATATACCAAAAAAACAGCTTTTATGGCAAATTGATTATTTTTCTGTTCCATATTATGTTCGAACATATGGAAATCAATTATTTATTTGTGATAAATATGGTTTGTTAAATTTACAACACTAGACTAGATTCTTCTTATGATTTTGTTGTAAGTGTAACTACATAAAAAAGTGTCCTTTGACATGCAATTTTCGCTAATATTACAGTCATTGTCTGTGATATATCCACACAAAATTTTAACTCCGAAAGTTTACTCATACTGGAATGGGACCTATAATAGTCCAAGATAATGAGTTTTTCATACAACTTTGAAGTCAAATATTTTTCTCTGAAAATCTTTAGAGAAAAAAACCAAAATTCATTCGAAAGAATAGGAAAAAACAGAGGAGCTACCAGGGTTTATTGGCTTTATTTAAATGATCAGGCTAACCTATTGATAAAATATCATGCATATAAACTGTATCAGAAGAGAGCAATAGTTCTTTTGAGTCAGCTTTCACCCTCCGTTGATCGGCAGGCAAAAGTGCCGTTTTCGCTCTCAAACTCGGCTAAGTACCTACCTTCAACTTAGTTTCTTTCGTTTAATGAAAATATATATAGTAGGACATGTGGAAAAATTTCCGAAGCTGCTACGACTATCTTTAAAAACAGAGTCTTATTCAATGTAAAGGTCGAGAAGATGACGTCTCTCCAAAGATTAGGTTGTCCCTCTCAGAGTTTGTAGCTCTTCTTCCATATATTATCTATCTGTGCTCTCAAAAATAGGTGTTTGCCCTGCAGGAGTTCTAAATTGTCTGTTTAGAAGAAAAAATTTAGTTAAAACACTGTTCAAAACAGAGACACAATCGAACCGAGTTGTATTCGTTTTATAATTGCCCACAACATTAGAATTTTGCAAAAAGAATGATAGTTTAATGAATCATTTTTTCTATACGTTTGCCTATATTAGCGGTGATGGTAGGACTTTTTGTCAGAGGGGTTGAACGTCCCTTAACCCTTCTATGAGACCACCTTTAGTAATAGCTTTAAATATTTTTCGGGAGAAAGCTCGGTCCTCTTTGATTCTCTGTGGCGTCACTATTAGCCTACATTCATTTGCTTTTCAAAAATTAGTTCAGGTTTGATTCGCTTTCGGTCTCTGCTTCGGAATTATCCTCATCAACATTATTCCAATGATCTAATGTTACAGTTCAGAGAAAGGTTTCTTCATATAAATATGGAAATAAAGGGTTGACATGTGTATCATGTCATATCTACCGTGAAGTAAGCAAGTTGCCCCATAGAAAGTTTTCTTCTGAAAAGTTTCAATTGCCAAAATGTGACCCGTGCTCTCTTCTCTCTGTCCATATAGACTCTAGTTTTTTTCTGTAAACATTTTCAGAGAAAAATAATTTGATTTGAAAGCTATACGAAAAAGTCACCACCTCGTACTGCTATAAGTCTAGTTCAAGTACAACTTAACTTTTTGAGTTAAATTTTTATGTGAATATACTACAGATCATGACTGTAGTATTGAGAAAAATTGCATGTCAAAAGACAATTAGTTAATGTAGTCACACTTAAAAAAAAATTACACGAAAAATTTTGTTTATCACTGTTACTTTAATAATTCTATAAAAAGAAATTTTTTCCTTTTTAGGTTCATTGGCAATATATAAATTAAATAAAACTAATGATATCCGGCAAAAACCAATTTTAGTTCGTGAAATAAAATTATTTAAAGATTATTCAACATTAACAAGCGTCGATGATGATCAAACAATAATTGATTCATTTGTTGTTTATAAATTATGGATAATTGTATTTAAACGTAAAAAAAATGAATTACATGGTACAATTTATTTATTTACACATGAAGGTAAAACAATTCTAAATGGTAAATGTATACATAATTATCCATCACGTGAATTAACAATGGATACAGAAAAAAATTTACTATGGTCATTAGATCAAAAACAATTATGTCTTTTTTATTATGATTTACCGGATACAAAACCAAATAATCCTGAAGAATATTTTCAGAATCGTCATTCACATGTACAATTTTCTAAACCATTTGCACCAATACATATATGTGTTAATAAAAATGTTTTAGCTGTCTTAGATAAAAATCGACAAGCTGTACATGTTTATGATAAAAAAACTAAACAACAATTATATGAACATGTTAATATATTTGGTAATTCAACACATTTTTGTTGGGACATGGCATTATTTTCTGATAATAGTTTACTTATAAAACTTGATGAAATGAGTACATTAAAAACGGGACCATCAAAACATATTTATTTACAACTTGATACAACAAAAAAACATAATATCATTGGAACAATTGAAGAAACCGATGCATATGGAATGATGATAACGACAACAGATGAAATTCTTATTGGTGTTAGAATAAATACAAAAGGCATTGTCAAATGTTATATTTAAAATAACTAGAATTTTATTGGGATTTATTTGTTTGTTTGTTTTGTCTGTTGAATTGACTTTTTATTTTACATTAAAAATGATATGTAGACGTTTTCGACAAAAACAAAAGAAGACTAATATAAGACGAACTTGTGTATGAGTTACGATATCTATATGTACTTTGATTTATTCTAGAATATAAATGGCTTGTTATCTTCCTGATCATCTTGTTCGATGTTTAATATGTAAAAATTTGTTTTCTGATGCACGTCGTCTTCGTTGTGGTTGTGTTTATTGTTATTTATGTTGTTTACAGCTTATTAAAAATAATACATTATATTGTTATTGTTCCTATACACATCAATTTAATTCACAAGATGAAATTGAAAAGGTGAATTTTTTTGATTATTATCTATGAGAATGAAATCTTTTTTAATTTTATAAAAATTTTCCAAAATAAATTAGAAAGGTTTTAATTAAGGAGTAAGCCAAAAGTTTCTGGAGAAAATATTTGGCTGTTTTTCGCATATTTAAATGCATTCTTAGTATATTAGAATCAGAATTGTGTGCTCTTTCAGAATATATACTTAGAATTTTTCTGTGACTGTTGACTACTGAGCTATAAGTAAATCTTGAAAAGACTAAAACAAAATGTTTTTTAGAGAAAAAGTCTTCAAATTGAAGTCGTTCGAGATATGCCACAAAATTTTTTCAAATATGTTGAAAAATATAGAAAATAATTCTTTACAAAGTGGCAGAATTTTTGCAAACTGTTGAGGTGAAATAAAGGTTTTATTATCAAGTGTATTGCAAGAAAAATGGCTACTGTTGTTTTTTCAATTCAAAATAGCCATTCGTCGCGCTTCTGCCTTTTTTTTTAATGGATTAACCAAAACTCTCTGCTGTTGCATCATATTGTGCAGTAGAGATCGCCTTCAAGTACGACATATTTACAGAACTTATTTTATGTAAAATTGTCTTCAGAAAAATAAAACTTTTATCTTTCGAGAAAATGTTTTTTGGAATCCTATCAAGATTCATTTATAGCTCAATGATCAAAAACCACGGAAAAATTCTAAGCATATATTCGGACAGAGTACAAAATTCTGGATCTAATATACTACTACTCACTCTTTTCCAATACATTTAAATATGCGATAAACCGTCAAATATTTTCTCTAGAAATGTTAGACATACTCCTTACATTTAGTGGAACTTGCATGTTTTTTTTTTTGAAGAAAATTATAGTGACTATAGAATAAAAACGGAGCAGAGACCGGTGATCATTAGGAACGTTATAATAATCGAGAAAAACACACATCAGACGCTTTTCTCAGAGTTTCTTAGCAACAAAACCAGGCGCTAAACATCAGTAACAACAAGTAATATTTTCCAACATCCGAGTGGTTGGAATATATTCTAAATAGAGCAACGTTTAGTTTTTTTTATCAGAAAAAGTGTACATTCAAGATGTCAAAGATGATGGATAGTCATATAATGGTGTACCACAGCGGTCCTATGATCAATATAAAAGACGCGAACTGATCTAGTGCTAACTTCGGAAAATAAGCAATATTAGTATTTCTAAGCTTATCGAAATATATTATAGTGGGTTGAGACCTACTGAAGATTTAATGCATATTTTCAGCAGACTTATTAGTCAGTTAAATCAATGGTTAGAACAATAATACGAGCAGATAGCTACAAGGCAAGCAAAAACCAGAACGCCAATAAAAAGAAAAGAAAAAGAAAAATTTTCTGCCTGAAGTTCAGAAATAAGAAAGACAGATCATGTTCCTAGCAATCGACTATCCTTAGACAACAACTATTGTTTGTTAGAAATCTTTTACTTAACGTATTTTATATTAGACAATAGAACTAAATAATACATGTGAGTTCCACGTTTTAACTCTACAGGGTTTGTAATGGCAAGCTTTTCATTTGGAAAAAAAATATCTCTACATATACTGAAAAACTAGTTTTATATCATTGGAACATTAAGCATGCAACATAGATTATTCTGTAACAAATGTGAACATTTGAAATAGAGTGTAAAAGTTCATTAATAATCAAATTTATGCAACTAGTTGTTTCGATTGTTTGTGATATATTTTTCAATGATGATTAATAAATTGAAAGACAAAGACTGATTTCGTAATTGTCGAACTAGATTGTATAAAAGAACTATGCAAAATATTCCGAAAATCCGGCTGAAACGTTTACATAAATCTATCTTATACAATTTAAGTAATTCATTTGCTTTTTGTTATGATATGATCGTATATTCTTTTAAGTTTTATTTGATTCACAAAATATGTTCACAATAATAACTATCAATTAAAATACATAATTTCAATCTTTTCCAAATCTTTAAACAAATACAGCAGAACGCTTATTTTCGAACTAATTTACTTCTCTTATTCATTCTTATACAAATAGATTTTCACTTTATATTTATCGATAAATCATATAAATAAAAAGAGATTTCGTACTGAAAGCAAAAACGAATTATCACGATTGTTGATATTTTGTAACATTAGTATCAAAGTGATAGTATTTTAACTCAATCTTGTAAAACTTCTTTGTAAAGTTGTCAGACAAATTGCATCTCACATGGCTTCATTCGAAGATATTCAATCATAATTCGGTCTGTTATTATTCGGCAAATGAAGCAGACTGTTGCAACAACTCAAAACTGTCGATCGGAGTGTATTTTCAGAAGCACCATGAAATTTGTCGATTTTCTCTTATATAATTTTTCAAAATCTTCCAAATTTTTTTACTGATTTACTACTATGCTGATTTTCGCAAAACTTTAAAGAGAATATCTTGCACAGTCTATGCCTGATGTTGATATACCCAAGTTCGACTTACATGTTATCTTTTGACAGCGATAGGTTACTGAAATCTGACCATTAACAAAACTATTTTAATATTTATCAGCACAGATATTCATCTAAAGATATACACAATGAAACCTCAAAGAATATAGAGTGGTCCAAAAGTTACCGGACAGCTTTGATTGCGAATAACTTTTGATAGGAACAACCTGGAGAGCGGCGGTTTTCCCCGTTCAATTCTAAAAAATTGCTGGAAAGGATTTCTTATAAAATAAGAAAAACACACAAGGGTACTTTTTTTCAGAGAAATGAATAGAAAAATCGGCTCAGAATTTCTAGTAAAATACCTATAACTTCTAAAGGAGTAAATTTCAAAATCTAGGCTTTGCAGTTTTGTAGGTGTCCGATTAGCGATTCGAATGCACACCTAATCATAACAAATTCAGTATAGTCACCTTGTGGATTACTTTGGTTTTCAAAAACATCCGTTTAAGTCCTTGAAAAAATTTAAGTCAAATTATCTTATAATATATGGTTCTATGCGTGTTCATCTCCTCTTTCGAATGGTGAAAATCGTTGCTCTCTATCTTGTTCCTATCAAAGTTATTTACAATAAAAAGCTGATCGGTAACTTTCAGACCACCCTGTATGCTGTAATACCATAAAAAATAAACATCAATCGCTTGAACTATTTAAGAGGCATTAACGTAAACCTTTTCGCAAGGATACGTTGAATATCTTGCAGATGACTACTTTAAATAGTCTTTTCTAAGCTAATCACAAACAAATTCATATCATTTTATTTTACTTCTTATAAACATTCAAAATAAATGACATTAATTGAAACAGCTAATCTTTCATATTTTCTGTGATCTAGTCTTTAGTTATCGACACTGTTGTCAATGATCTTGTTCATCAACATATAAAACAAAGACAAGCCTCATCAAAAAAATTGGTCGATTATGATTCAATATCAATATCTTCACCACGAACTGAAGATGATGTAAATCCAAATGATCAACAAACACCTTTATCAATATCGTCATCTAGTCTTCCTCCAACTGCACGTAAACAAGTTGCTGTTGCTCAACCACCATGTACAATATGTAAGAAAAAATCTAATATGATTATTCTTTGTGAACATTGTAATTCCGACATATGTGAATTATGTATGGAAAAACATTATCAAATCATAACAGATAAACTTAATGATAAATGGATACAATGTAAGGAAAAATTCGATCAAATTAATGAACACGTTTGTAAGTACATATATACAGTAGTGGACAAAAATCTCTTCCCTACCTCTAGTAGAACTTTCCGTAACACTAATATAAACAAGCAACACTAGTAGAGCCCGTTGAGCCCAAAATTTTCCGATTCGAACCCAGTTTATTAAATCTTTTTCGGACCTAAACACAGTTGATTCAAATTTTTCGAACGCGAAGCCGAACTCGAATCTGAGATCAACCCGATGGATTTTAAGCACTAGTCAGCTTCTGATAAGAATCACTGTTCATTCTTTTGCCATTGTTGTCAATCATGAGTTCTGATATACCTCTGGCATATGGCTTTATCAGTGCACTAGTAGTACGAAACTATATTGTTATCTCAACATTCGTTGAGTCCAAAGCTGAGTCATGCATCTGTGACAAAAGCATTCCATTGTAATGCGATTCACCTCGATCCAGTTGATCACACGTAACGACTCAAAAGCACAGGATCAATGAATGATTTCAGTCGCCAAATAACAGATGTTCATCATCAATCGAGATATTGCCAAACAACTGAAGCAAGCAACAATGAGTCAGTAGTCAGTGAGAAAACGAGCGAAAATGTCTTAAGAAAGAAGGCACAAAGTACAATCAATCTATGTCGAAGCCATTGCTATGAAGGGTCATCGAAAGAATCGTTTAAAATGAATGCTAAACTACAAGGTTATAAACTGGAATCAATTGATCTTTTCTGATGAGGCCACCATCCGCCTGAATTCCGTCGAAAGACTAATTTGGAACTCACAAAAGAAAAAAAGAGGTCGTACACACCACAAAGTATCCTATAAAAGTCAATATTTGAAGTTGCTTGTCAAGTCGAGGTTTCGGTCGTGCAATCTGTTTCACGCAAGATTGATGTGTGACATTTACAAGAGTGATATCTTGTCAACAGCTCGAAAATCATTTGCTTGCGATTCGACGTTGTGGAAAGTGTAAGAAGACAACGATTTCATGCATTAGCAACTTCTGAGAATGAAATTACAAAGGAAAAAGTCTCAGCTTATCGCTCGTTGACTTCTGCAATAAAGCAAAAATGGAAGGGTCTACTACTGAAGATGCTCATTAAAGTTGTACGTACTATGAATAATAGAAATTTTGAAGTTGATGAAATTCAGGGTGACTTTATATTACGTTAATAATCAGAGTATCCTATGTATTTGTACATAATTAAAATGTTTTCATTTGATCACTTGATTCGATACAGTTTATATAAGGGAAAGACTTTTGTTCGGTACTGTTTTTCTTTCATTTGTACTAACATTCAAACAGAAATGTTCAAGAAAAAATGTATATTTCTTTTCTCTGTCTAGTTTTATCTCATCAAAATAAAATGACTGCAATATCAAAACTTGACGCTATAAGAAAAACAATTGAAGAAAGAAGTAAAAATTTAAAAATTACAATTGATAATCATCGACAAACACTTGCAAAACATATTGATAATCATATTCAAAGTCTTGAACAAATGTAATTGTATTTCAAAAACAAACCGAATCTTTTTTCTTTATTAAATTTTATGTTTATTTTGTATTTTCAGAATAAAAACAAATGATGTTAACAATGAATATGAATCAATAAGAGAACGTCTTCCAAAAATACTTGAGTAAAAAAATTTTTCTAATTTCATTTAAAGAAATTATATGAAAACATTTTAGGGAAGAAACCAACACGTCAAATTTATTATCATTTTTCGAAGAAACAGAAAAACTTTTACAACAATTAACAATACGTAATAAACAAGTACAAGAAATTGAAATGAAAGTAAGACAAAGTAATATTCTATTTTTTATTCTACTTTTTTGTTTTTCAGATTCCTTATCTATCTCAACCGGATCCAACTTCAATTAATCTTAGTCATTTAATTGGTGAGCTCAAATTTGATGATCAATCAACTCAAGCATCATCAGCAACAACATCAACAGTCAATCATCATAAGCATCAAATCAATTCAAATGATAATAACTTATCATCATTAATGTCAATAACCACGGAACGAACACGTTTTCCTCGCCGGATGCGACCGTCTATTCGATCACGAGGGGGTCGTGGAATGCAATATTCATCACATTTGAGTGGATCCTATCCTCGAAATAATCATAACCCTAGGAATAGCCGGTAGGTATTCGAATATTTTCATAGCATATAAAAAATTAGATATCTGTAGTGAACGAGGAAATTGTCCCAAATGATGAATCGTTTTTGAGTCAAGACTACATGAATTCTCTAGAACTAGATGAGCTATATGAATATTCTGAAAACAGCTCAGACCCTAGGCGTATTCTTACTGAGATACTGCACGTTTATGGTAGTTTTTAAATGAATGCTGTGATCTCCTTACGAAGACTGGTTTTCGAATTTCAACTTGAAACTTAGCAGAGAGATAGACCTTTAAGAGAATAGTTACTTTTGAATGTTTCCGTTCTTATCGTTCTTGTTCTTATCTTCAGATGCAGTTACGGTAAATATGAGTGATTTACATCACTCATATATAATGGCAAATTTGATGTTCGTATTCTACGATAGAAGAACATCAAAAAGATCCGAAACTTTCATAACAAAGTACTTTCGTCAAGGTCTGTCTTTTCACAAAGTCCCAAGTCGAAATTCGAAAATCAGTTTTTTTGAAGAGAACTATAGTATTCATTGAAAACAATTGTATACATATGATATTTACACAGTAATCAGCCAGAGGCTCGAACTCTTTTCATGATATTCAAAACTCATTTGAGTTTACATGATACACATAGTTCCGACTCTACAACGATTTATTAATTGAGGAGGTCTTCCCTTGAACAAAAAAACATATTGAACAAAAAACAGGAAGCATTGTCTGTAGTTTTGTTCTCGTCTTTATTATTACACATCTTCAGCTCTCTGTTTTGTTTGTCTTTAAATAATTGAAAAAAACCTTTGTTTAGATACAATGGTAGTTATCGAGCTCGCGGTCGTGTCTCCGCACGTCCGCATCCTCCACTACTTCAACTAACCGAAAACAATTTCGACATTGTTCCTAATAATAAATATCAATGGTCAATTGATTTCAAAGAAATTCCATGTTTTCTTGCCGTACTCGATAATCGTAATCGAGCTCGTCATCCTGATACGCGTTTTCATCATAGACATGATTATATGCTATTCATTGCTGATGATTATGGTCAAATAAGTGTTTATAGTCTTCCAAAATCCATGAGTAATATAAAGCCCTCGATTCTTGGTACAGGTGAATTATTTCCAAAAAATTCACGTCTACTTATGGAATCATTTACTGTTTATGAATTTGCTATTGTTGTTTATGTACGTCGTTTTGAACAAAAATCAAATGAAATAGAACATTCAAAGTTAATTAAAGCTGGTTTACCTATAATGAAAGGCGAACAAGTTTGTTTTTTTATATATTTGAATTCTTTTTTGATATTGTATATAGTACTTTTTAGGGTCGTTATAATGATCATGGTGGTATGATTTATTTATTTTCACATGGTGGTGACGAAATTGATGGTGTCTATCAATCACATCCTATTCGAACTATACTTGCCGATCAAAATCTTGGTCGTCTTTGGGCACTTAATCCAATGCAAAATAATGTTTATTGTTATATGACACCATATAATAAAAATGAAATTCAGAAATATTTGCAAGATGAAGAAATTGTACTTGATTTTTCTGATGAACAATTCGAACCATCAATAATGATACAATCTAATCAATCAATCGGTCTTATTGATCCAGAACATGATTCATATCGTTTATATGCTAAAGATAATAAATTTCGTTTAATAACAACTTATCAAAATTTACATAATCAACAATGGAAATTAACTGATGGAACTATTTTTAAAGATAATCGAACTTTACTTAAACTTACGGAAGATAAATATTATGATAATAATTCAAATGAGACAAATAATAACAATCGAAGTAGATTTCATAATAATCCTCGACGTCGTCTTATTGAATTAACTTCTGATGGACAAGAAAAACGTCAAATTCAAGCTGATACACTTTATAGCATGGTACTTGGTAAGTGCTTTTTCATATACTAAAAACCAAAGACAAGGTCCTGTAGGATAAGATAACCACTGCTCATTTGAAAAACCACCTATAAGGTTTTGTAGAGCAATTTGCGTTGTATCAAATGGTATACAGAATATTATAGTAAATGTCGATGATATTACCGAATACTCGGACTCAACATGCCCACAAACCAGCATACATCAAATTTTATTTAAAATTACTACAATAATTTTGTCTGGTCTTCAATCGCACAGTGGCAACCAGGCGGACATGACCTGAAATTCTATTTTCCAAAGTTTAAATATTGGAATGAATACGTCTATGGTTAGTTTATTTTATCCTGAAACTAGATTCCCAGAAATCAATTCGAAACATGGGAAAGCCCATCGTCAAAAAATTATTCAAAAATCCGTAAAGTATACGGAGACCATTCCTTGGATCAACTAATCAAAATATTTTTAAATGAAAAACTATCTGAAACGAATGATTGGCCCATAAGCTATATTGTGCGAAAAATTATTTTGTTTGAACCATAAATGGAATAGAAAATAAGTGATTACTGAGCCGAAAATAGGTCGAAAAATCAGTCATATCGTATTTTGTGGACGCCACAAAGAGTTTCAATCCGATTGAGCTGAATTTTTCATCAATTATTCTCCCATGTGTGATTTATCGTTGGTCATAGCGCCGTGTTGCATCTGTGAACACAGGTCGAACGAGAGGTATCGTGAAAAACCAGGCTTCTGCCCAGGAATCCATAGTTTTCAGAATTTGAGAACATTTTGAGGCAAAACTAAGTCAATATTCGAATTCAGCTCGTCAAATTGCATCGAATCATATATAAGAGTAAGTGTTTCTGAAAAAAAAGTCGGTGCTTGGGCAGTGACAAGGTTTTGAAAATCACCCTTTCCGAATTTTTTAAACGCTACAAAGAGCTTAAGTGCGATTGGTCTCAAACTTTCGCTTATTATTTTCCCACATCTGGTGCATCGGTGATCATAGCACCACTTCGCACCCATAATCACAGCTGGTGCTACGGGTCTCCCGAAAACCAAGGTTTTTGCCCCCAAATCTCTATTTTTTTAAAGAAGACATCATTTTAGTGCAAAGCCAAGGTGATATTCGGAATCAGCTCATCGAGCTGCATCGAACCATATATAATAAAAAGCGTTTCTTTGAAAAACATTTTTTGACTATTACGCTAAAAATGTTCCTACAAATTGGCTTTCTCAATTTTGTAAACGTTACAAATAACTTCAATGGAATTCAGCTCAAACTTTGAGTGAATATTCCTCCATGTAGGATCTCTCCTTGTCTATACTGTCAAAAGGCAATAGTGAACGTCGACGAAGTTATGGATTTTCCAAAAAACCCTGTTTTTTTACTCTAAATCCCTATTTTTCCACAAAATAACTTCATAGCGAAAAACTAAGTCGATATTCGCAGTCAGCGCGTGAAACTACGTCAAATGATGTGCGGAGCATTATGTTTCATAACAAAAAATGTTTTTGGAAAAACGTGGCAAGAATGCCCTTCCCTACGGATAATTCTTGGGAAATGTTTTTTTTTTTAAGAAATAATTTATTTTCTTAAAGGTGATTTTCTAAGTGATATATAATCATTTCTGAGCAATAAAAACCCATTTGCCGAGCACGAAAATTCCATGTCCGCCTGGTATGCGAAAGTTGCCCACTGTGAATCGTGTATATCTCATAACACTCATAATAGCTTTCTTTCTACCTAAAACTTTAACACTTTCACTAGCTCTTTTTTTTGGCTTTTATAATGTTTTAAATTCATTGATGTTATTCCTAAAGGTAAAGGTAGCTAACCGCGCAACTTTTTTAGACACTGTGTATTACCAAGCTCTACAATTATATCAATTGATTGTCCTCTGAATTGTTGTGTGTCATGATCAAATCGACTAATCAATGTCTCAAACATGCCAATTTTTCGATTCGTAAGGACAAAAGAGTATATCAGCTCTATGATAAATATTTTTGAGCGAAAAGGTTTCTATATATTAATAATAAATTCAGCATGCTCTATCATTTGACATATATTGATCTTGTGAAGATGACAAAAAATTTTCCAGTTTAGACTTCTGCAGAGGGATATGACGATGTGTCAAACTTTTAATTCTCATAATAGATCAAACATATATTGAATCTAATAGAGCTCTAAACTCGAATCATATCCGGCTAATGAAAATCTAAATTCGTAAGGAACAAAATAAAAAAAGCTAACTTTGGTAATAGTTAGTCCATTCCCGCGTTCTTCTTCAGTAGTTTGTATGCGAAACATTCTTTTTGCCATTTTCGAAAGATCTATATATGTCAAATGATAGGGTATGATGACCTTATTATGAATAGACGAAACTTTTTCAACTCGAAAAGTATATAACACAAAACTCATACTTTTCCGTTCATATGAATCGGAAATTGGTCTTTCTCAGGCATTAATTAGCCCATTCGACAATGACACACAGTAAAATTCAGAGAACAATCATATTAGTACATTTACAGAGCTTGGTAGCATACAATTTCTAAGAAAGCTGTACGATTGGTCGCCTATGCTCTTAGGAGTAGTATCGAACAATATAAAACATTGGAAAAGTCGAAAATTTCAGAAGATAATAAAAATACTAAGATCTTTGGTACGAAGAAAGCTATTATTAAATATATATGATTGAAGACCAGAAAAAACTCTATTGAAGTAGCTTTAAACAAAATTTGATATAAATTGGTGTTGGAAGACATGCCGAGTCCTAATATTTGATCATATCATTCTTAATCGCTACAATATTTCTTAAATGGTATGTTGCTTCTCAGAACAGGAAGACTTGATGAAAATACAATTTCTTATGTACTAGTCGATACAACACGAGTTGCTCTACAAAACGTTAGAAATGGTTTTTCAAATGCAGAGTGGTTATCTTGTCCAACAGAGTCGCTTATTTTATAAATTTTTTTATAGGACCCGATGATGAAATTATTTTTGGTTTTGCTGTAAGGGGTGATCGTGGTTTGATTCATTGCTATTAATTTTCTAGAATTCAGTAATTTCTCTTTGTCTCTTTCATGCCTTGTAGCAAAAAAAAGTGATCACTTTCTGGTCAGATATTTTCATGGTATGTGAACTGAGCTTTTTGTAACAATTCTGATTTGATTTTTATTTTTAAATAATATATGTTCAATTCGTAAACATATATTTTGTTACGAGAAAGAAAATTTTCCTCGATATTTGTTGTATTGTTATTGTATATGATTAGATCTTTTTTGTTTTTCTATTTCATTTTCAACCAAAAATATGAACATTTGTGGTGTGATAAACTAGTTGTTAATATTTTTTTTCCAGTGTATTTGCATTTTTCTTTTTTGATTTATAATCATCTCTATTGTTTTCTTCTTTTGTTTTTTGTATTAAATGAATAGAAAAAAAAAGAACAACAGTTATGAATTGAAAATAAATGAAATAAAGAACAATTTTCATAGTTTAATTCATGTTTGAACATTAAAATGAAATAATGAGAAAATATAATTAGTCGGATGTTTGACAGAAGAGCGCTTCATTATTTATTTTCCACAAGCCTCAATCTCCAGGCATGTGATACAATCAGACACAGCACCACGCAAGAATAAGGGAGGTATATGAAAAATGAAGATCTATATCATTGAATGGATATTCTACATTTCGATTAATTATCGTAGACCTCATAGTTAAAGTTATTATAGTGATCTCAAATTCGGTTTAATAATGATCCTTCTTCTCTACGACGATGTTTAATGACAAGATATAAAACTACTATTAAAAGTATTAAAATATTTCTAAAAAAAAAACACATGTATCATGTTTAATAGCAATGTTTGAATTGAATGCTAATGATGCATCATTCTAAAAAAACGGACTCATTTAGACTGTCACTAAAGAGAATTAGTTTTAACGCAACATTATTATGAATTTTGATATGACAGAATATGAGTTCTTAGTTGCGAGGATATACAAAGAAATGACTAATAGGTGGGCTTTTCTAGAAACCATTTACATTCTCCTGCTTAAAGATATTATGTTCTTAAAGATTCGTCACCTGTTTTTCAAGCCAATTTTTCTGAAGTATCTGGAACTATGTCTCGAATGAGTTTTTAAGTTTTTCGAAAACTATCAATCTCTTTCGATGTTTAATTAAAAAAGTCGAGATTGATATTTTTCAAAAAGCTTAAAAAAACGCATTTGAGATTTTATCCCAGATACTTCTAGAAAAATTTTCAGCCCGATTGGACAAAGTAAGATCGAGATCATAAGCAACCCCGATGGTTTTTGATGATTGGTCCAAAAACCGCTGAAGATTTGCTATAAAAATTTTTTCCTCGAATATGATTTGCTCAATTTTCAATAATTTAGCTGTCGTATAAATGTGATTTTTCGACCGATGGTACTCTCGCCAAGAACCAGAAGTAGTTCATAAGTGAGAGATTACGATTAATACAATCATTCTTATCATTTCTAGATAAGATTTAATTATCCAATACACAAGAGCATTTTGATAGTCTATGGAAATTTTATCTTGTTAAAAAACTGATCAATCTTATTGCAGATGACTACTACTCAAGAAAATAAATGTCCTATTTGTTTAAAATTATTCAATGATCCAAGACGGATGCCTTGTAATCATATATATTGTTTTAAATGTATACCAAAATTACGTCGTCGTGATCTTGATACTAAAGATCATATTGTATTTGTATGTCGTATTTGTGAAATGCAACATGGATTTAATGATTGGTCAACATTGAAATATTATGTTACATTACATTGTGTACCATATGTAACTGCTTTACAGTTTGATAAACCATCGACATCATCTGCTAAATCTTTATGTTCTACTTGTTTTAACATGATTAGTAGAGATTCAAATATTGATCAACTTGAATTCTGTATTCATTGTAATAAGAAAGTATGCAGTGAATGTCTTATTGATCATCGTATGGAATTGAAGAAGAGTATTCTTCATATTATTAATCAATATCGTTTTCTCATGAGAAAAAATCAGCAACTTATTCAACAGACAAAGAATAAACTTGAAAATATGAAACTACATATTGATTTATGTGCTTTTGATTTCATCGATCAGGTTTGTTATATTTTTATATTAATCCTATTATGTATGCAAAATCATTTTGACTAAGTACATCATAGATTGACATATATTCGGAGTCAATATTTGCTCAAATAGATGAACAAAAGTAACAGATAATTATATTTAACATCACCATCATTTTTCACTATTGCATAGGTTTCATGAAGAAACAAACTCAAGTTCAGGTTACGAGTCACTAAATGAACAGCGATGTTCCGAGTGAGTTTTCATCGATAGAAAACTACGAACGTACATTAAAAAAAAACAATATTTGATTTAGTTTGGATTATGATATGAATCAACAATCAATTTTACTAAATAATATAATATTAACGGAACCATCAGTCATGCCTATTCATTTACTTGGTGAACTCATTTCATCAGACACTAGTTTATTAAATCCATTACAAAAATCATCAACATCTCGACTTCTCTGGTCACTAACTTATTCGTTTCATCCATCTCATATTGTATTTGAGTCTGAATCATCGAAATTATTTATTTGCACTGAACATGGTTATGTATCTGTTTATAGTTATACTACATTAAATTTATCACTTATGAATACATTCTATTTACAATACAATGAAAAATCACAACCTGTTATCATTAAATCACTTGCAGCTTCTAAATTTTCTCTCATTGTTATTTTCAATTCATCCGTAGATTCTACTCTTCATTTTTATTCACATAATGGTCTTCTTTTACATTCTTTAATATTATTTAATGAATATATTAGTCAAATTCGTTTTGATCATAATTATTTATGGTGTCTTGAATTAATTTCTTCAACACTTTTCTATTTTTTACTTCAATCAGACAATATAGTCAATAAAAATCTACCTGAAAAAACACAATTTATTTCATTTAAACAACAATCTTTTAATCCATATAGATTTGCATCTAATCAAATAGTCGTTGCTATTATGGATCGAGCATCAACTGGAATAATTCTTCTATTCGACAGATATAATGCATCTTATTTGAAACAAATCACATCACCACTAACTGATTTTCAACCATGTGATATTGAACTTACAAACCAAATGTTAATCTATCGTTTTCCTCACATTATATTATTAACACAATTAGACAATGAACAATCTATCGAACAAATTTATGCAAAAAGAAATTTAAATATAACTAAGGGCAAATCTGATACAGAAGTTCTTGTTAGTATGTCAACCGATGATAAGAACACATTCATCATTCAATGTTATGTCAAATAATATGATTATATCTCATCTAGTCACATATATATATATATACAGTATTTTCCAAAATTATTCGATCAGATCTATTTTCAACCATTTTTTTTCACTGCTGTCAATGCTAAAAAGAATTTAAATAGTTATTGGTGCGAAGAAGTTTATTTCCAACATGCATTTTTCAAGGATAGGATCCCGCAAAATCGAAACTCAAGTTTTCACTATTCGGAATTTGCAAACAGAATTCTTTTCACAAATCAGTATTTAGATTTATATTAATGTTGACGGTCGTGAAAAAAAGTTGAGCATAAATCTGGTCGAATAACTTTGAGAGACATTGTATATATGTATTTTTTTATATTTTTTAATAGTCATCTTTCTTATAACTTATTAACTTTTTATTTTGGTTTTAGATTAAAATTAATAATGCCATTATTTACACGTGATTTTGTTTCATGCCATGTTAAACCATTTGAATCACATTTATACAATGATCCAGTTATGCTTATTTGTAGTCATGTTTTTTGTCGTTCATGTTGTTTAGAATTAGCTAAAACCAGCAAGAATCAATCAAGTATGTTTGTTATTAATACAGAATGTCCTATAGAAATTAAGAATACATCATTAACACACTTTTTCTTGACGTAGAAGGCTGAAATTTTTTATTACATATATATATATATATATTTAACCAAGATGTTTAATTTTCCAAAGCTTCAGTGATCTAACTAAAACTAGTGCTGAAATGCATGGACAAAATTAAAATAGATGCATTTTTGTATCTGATTTTTTGTGACATATTTATTTCTTGATCAGTGATATTTATATGACTCTGTTGGAAAAAAACTTTACAAGACTACTTTTTATTAAAACGTAAATTATAATAAAACTTAATGTGTATAAACAGTATACAACAGTTCATATATATTAATCTTGTCTATGTATTTCAGTATTAGTTTTAGCTAAAGAATAGAAACTTTGGAAAATTAAAGATTTTGATTAGATATATATATGATAAAATTTTCAGTCTTCTACATCAAGAACAAGTATGTTAACAATTTTTCCTCAGTTAGTATGGGACATTCTTTACATATAATGAATAGAATATGTTGTCTTAATTTTAGTTATATGTCCGATTTGTTCAACTCGAATTTCATTTGATAATCTTGATCGATTTGCTAATAGTCTGATATCACATGGTACATTAGCAACTATGGTTAAACAATATTTACGAGAAGAAAATAATCATCGTATTTGTGATTCATGTAAATATAATTATGTAAGTGACGATAATGGAAAATTATGTAGAAAATGTGAAATAGATAATAATAATATTAAAAAGAAAATAATAAACACAATAGAAAATTGTGAAGATTTAATAGCAAATCAAAAATTAATATCATTAGAAAAAATTCACGAACAAGCAAATCAATTATATGAAATAATTGAGCAACAAACAAGATGTTTTCATAAACAAATTGATAAATATCAAGAAGAACTGGAAAATTTATTAACAATACAACAAAAAGCAAATGACATTAATGCGTAAATATATATATATATATATGAATATTTGATTTATTTTGTTTTTCGTTAAAAAATAATCATTTCTAGGTTGAAACATCAACGTATTGATATTAACACAGTATGTAAATTAGTTGAACCTCGATTAAATGCTTTAAAGTATACCGTTTTTGTTTTCTACAATATGTTTATTGATCGAGATTATATTACATTGTAGGAACAGAGAAAATTTTCTTGAAAATATCAACGTTGAAAAAGAAATCAAACGATTAAATGATGTAGCTGATCGACAATTACGATTGCTCAAACATAAAGCAGATATAGTTAGTTATTTTAATCTTTTTCGAAAAAGTTTGTGGTCACTACTCCTTTCGGATTAAAATGTGGAACTCGCATGTCTTTTTTAGCCTAATTATATTAATACAAAATACGTTAAGTAAACAATCTCTCGCAAATTACATTTGTTTTTCAAGAATAATCGATCGTCAGGCAAGCAATCTGTCTTATTTTTTACTGAATTTTGAACACAGAAATTTTTTTCTCTCTTCACTGGTGTTCGGCTTTGCTTGTCTTACTGCTTTTCATTATCATATTTTTTAATTTAACATTATTATTATATTAAACATTGATTTAACTGAGAAATACGCCTGTTGTACCTATATATTATATCTACAGAAGGTTTCAGCACATTATAATATATCTTGAGAAGCTTAGAAACACTGATATTGATTATTTCGCAAAATTATAATATGATCAGTTCATGCTTTTTTTGTTGATCATACGACGACTGTGGCAAATTAATGCATCTCTACCTATCATCCATCCTTGACATCTTGAATGTAAATTTTTATCTGCTCAAAAATCCCAATTGCAGTATTTAGAACATATTTCAGCCATTCAAATGTTGAGGAAGACTTTGGAATGTTTTAGAATAGTCTAAATCTTGTTGTTAATGCCATTCAACGCATAGAGATGCAATGGTGATAGTACACCGTCTACCGATGGCACCAGTCTTATATACAACTTTGTATTGGTGTAAGCATGTACGTACAGACTGACGGTGAATGCATGATAAAACTATAGCAGTCTTGGATTATTTCCGATTTTTTTCGTTGAAAAGATAATTTCAAGAAAATAGCTAAATCTTATCAAAAACAGGCTAAAGGTTTTCACGGTTAAAAAATCCGAATCTAACGGAAATTTTATCGAAATTCTCGCGTTCAATTTTCTCGCTCGAGAAATACTTAGTTTTCACCATTATTCTATATGTGCATGTCTAAACAAGTATGCCGGTGATCATCGTCACCATTGCGTTCCGATCAGCACCTTTTTCCGTTGCTAAGAATCTGATGCCAGTTGCTATGAAAATGTATCCAATTATTACTAGCTTTTCTATCCTCGGGTGCCATTAATGTGGGTTCCACGAAGAAAAACAAAATTATCATTTATGCAAACGCTTCTATAAGAAAAATAATTTCTAAATCCTTTCAGACAAATATAATTCTATTTTAGGTACCAATACTTAGTGCTCCAACAGAAAGTTCATTAGGCAATATATTTGGTGAACTTCTTTTTAAATCAATTGAATCCAAATCGAAAACATCCAATTCATCATCTGATCAATCAATGATAAATACTTATGGTGATACATCACTTCAATCAATTCCACCAAAATTACCAATGTGGACAGTAGTTATTAAAGCACTTCCAGCTCATCTATGTGTTTATCCACTTGGTAAATCAACATTAATTTTTAGTTGTAGTACAAATGGTATTATATCACTTTTAACATATATTTCACCAGTTACATATGATTCTCCACGTTATATTCGATCATTTAGTCTTTTTTCTGAACAAACTCATATTATTGTACAATCATTTACTGTATTTAATCGTTTTATGCTTTTACATGTTCATCAAAAACATGATAACGGTTCACTTTTTTTCTTTACACATGATGGAATACTTGAACATGGACCTGTTCAATTATCAATTCCTATACGTCAATATCTTGCAGATGAAAATCGTCTGTGGGCTATTGATTCTATAACACACACAATATTTTTTCATGCTCAACCATTGTTTACACATGAAATATTGTCAATACTTTCAAAACGTGATAATTTTATTTCATTTGATAATAAATCAAATTTTATTCCATTTCGTATTGCATCAAATCATCAATTATTAGCTATACTTAGTAAAGATTTACAACAAGTATTTATTTATAATAAAATATCTCGTGAACGAATATTTACAAGTCATTTCAGTGCTGGTACAAGTATGAATATAAGGGATATTGGTTTATTTCCACGTGATAATAGTTTATTACTTAAATTTGATTGGTCATTTGATGGAACTGTAAAACGTTCTTTATTTATACATTTTAATACGAAAAATCAATCAGTTGGACGAATTGAAGGTAAATACTGTTTAGGTGTAGTTATTGGACCTAATAAAGAAATACTTATTGGTTTTAATCTTAGAACAGGTATAATAAGATGTTATATGTGAATTTATTTTTTTAGAAGAGTTTTTTTTTGTTTTCTTTTTTCATCAATAGTTATTTTTTTTGTGGAATTTATTATTGTGTATACATTTATATTGAAAATAAAATTAGATAAGATATTAGGAATCAGTTATTGGATTGCTTATAGAATTTCGAACTTCAACAAATAGTTTGTCCCAATCCCAAGGTTTTTGTTCCTAAATGAAATACATATTTAAAAAAGAAGAAAAATTTAAGAAATGATAAATTTTTACTTCAGCATCAAATTCTTCTTGTAAATGAAGGTTATGATATAATATACCAATATCAATTTTGCTATCCTAGTTACCAAAAAATGAATACATAGGTTTGAAATATTTATATGATGATTATATTTACGATGTATTGACTAGCACGTTCACGAGAAAATTCATGTTCAATTTCTTTGAATGAAGCTATTTGATGAACCGAAAATCTTTAAACAAGGAATTTTTTACAAAATAAGGAAATTATCAATGTATGATCATTTACTCGGGAGCAACAGCTATTTGTGGAGTCATATCAATTGTATCATCACCATCAGCATCGTCCATAGGAATTGTAGGAATATCTATTTTGAATAAATAAATGAATAGATTAAGGTTCAGAACTCGATATGAACCACAGAGTCAGTATTTTATTTATTCTTTCAAGAAAAACTTATCGTGTAAGAAAGCAGAAAAATTGAACAAAATGATATCTTTAGTTGAATGTAATAATAAACTAATTTTTCAACTTTAAAGATAGATTTCATTGAAATTTAATCATCTTAATCGAAAAAACTACATTAATCGATCCAAAAACATTAAATTCGATTTCAATGAGAATTGAATAGTCCCATTTTAATCTGTGTATTAAAAAGAGTAACCGATCCGACTCTTTCAAAATTGATCAGCGGGCATTCTATTTGTGACAACTTATCCTAATACATGATGGTCTTCAAGAAGTTGAAGTACCCACAAGCACACCGTGATTTTTCAGTTCAATATATATGTATTTCGACTTATCTTTCATGCAGGCTTCTCAAGCATAATATTGTCCAACCTTATTCAACTCGTGACTACCATGACAATAAACGTTTTACATTACTTTAATAAAGGACTGCAGTGATTATGGAATCTTATGGTACAGAAATCTTTTTTTGTAAAAGAAATATACTTTTTATAGTGCTATTCTAAATTGAACCTGTGCGGGGACCATCAAAAAGTGACCCAATTTCGGTGCCTGTTAAATATTGATTTTGTGTTAAAATTACCTGTAGCAATGATTTCTTCTGCTGCTCGACGAGTACTTTGCCGAATCATAGGAGGTTGAGAAGGAAGTATAGTCGAAATATCTCTATGTTTAATTTTTTTTAACATAACAAATTAAATTTTATCCTATGTAATAAATAACATACAAATTGCCATTTTCATCATTAATATCATTTGACCAACCGCTTGCTGCTTCAACATTAGGTCGCCGACTTGATTTTGATTTTGATGATGTTGTAAGGTTAGCAGACTATAAATACAAGAAAATCTCTATATCATTATTTCTGTAGATTAATAATAAAATAAATTTGAAGCAAAGCAAGTATAATTAATTTCATTTATTTATTTCTAAATTGTTATGATATTAGTACTCACAAATGATTAAGAATGCAGTGCATTGATTTATTGCATACATATTCAATAAAACTGAAACTAATTTTATTGATATGTTATATTAAAAATAAATTTTTATATAATGAAAGCACTTTTATCACCTTTGAAGCACTTTCGAGCAAGGTATCAAATGTATCATCGATTGGTTCCTCGACTACACGTGCTGCTCCTTTTGATTTCTTTTTAGACTAATTATTGAGGTTAGATGAATTATAAATAGACGAAAAAAAAATATATTAAAAAGCTTACGTTTGTTGTTGGCGGTTCATTATCAAGCCAATCGTCACTTGACATTTTTTATCTAACAGAATAACTATACATTAATATTAAAATTGAAAAACTTCACACCCAAAATCAAACAATTAAAAATTTTATCCCCAAAAAACAAATCTACAGTTAACTTGTATACAAAAAATGAAAAAGATATTATCTGACTCTGCCTATTTATTGCAAGTATATCAGTCTGAATTTAGCATAGCCATAAATTCATCAAAATTAACTAGAAAAAAAAAGTCACAATTATTAAATATTGAAACAAAAAATCTCATACTTTCACCATCACCATCTAAATCGAATTCATCAATCATAACTTTAAGTTCTTCTTCATTAGCATTATCACCTAATTCTCTATAAATAATATATCATTTTATTGCAATCGATCTATTTTCATATTTTTTATTTGTTTTACCGTGCAACACGTCGTAATTTTTTCAATGAAATTTTGCCAGTTTCATCATCATCAAAAAGTTTGAAAGCTTTTAGAACTTCCTCACGTAAATCACGTTGAAGTACCATTTCAGCAGCTTAATTAAAATAAGAAAATAATAAACAAGGAATTTTTAAATCGTTGATTTGAATGTCTGTAAGGGTATCCTCTTCCAAAGAACGACTCACCAAAAAAATTTCAAATTTTTCGGGGTAGGCTGATCTTGACAAGTAGAGCGAAAATTGGCACAGACTCAAAGTTCTTGGATGCTGTCTTCTATAAGATACTGGGATCACAATGGCAAAAAATGGTTTCAACTTTTGTCACTGTTTCTCATAGACGCTATGCTTGATCGAGCTAAAAATTTCTTTACAGGCATTACTATCCCTTTCAAAATGTAATGTGCTCCACTATTTTTTTTTTGAATAACTCTTGACAGGAGCACCATAGAGACCTGCGATTTTCACCATTCAAGAGACAACACTCAAGGTCATTGAAATATATCGAAATTTGATTGGTCCGATATTGACCAATCAGGTGAACTTTTAGTGAAGATTTTTGAAAAGCATATTATAAAGGTATTTCTCTTTCGATCTACACCAGGCCGACACTCCTAGCTAGTTCTGTTCGAGCGTTGTTCCTGAGACCGTCGGTTTCAGCCAATTGACCTGTGATCACTCGGCAAAGTAGCTAATCAGAGGTAACTTAGCACGCTGAATCGAATGATGATATTTGCTTTCAGTTCGAAATGGTCTTGAGATAAAAGATTCAAATCATCTTGAACCTAAAAACTTATATTTCCAATATGACACAGTATGATAAGTGATCCCTACTTTTTCCGGTGATCATAGGTCAATTCGCCGCAACAGGGAGTCTCAGAAAAAGTCTTATAATTCTCGAATGGAACACGTTTGAAATATCGATCTTGCGTAGATCGAAAGAGAAAATTTTTTTTCTATCGCTTATTCCTGTTACAAGTTTAAACCAGAATGAAAATAGTTTCAGAACATGGTTTTCAAAAATCTTCACCAAGAACTTATCTAATTAGTCAGTTGTTGACCTATCAAATTTCGATACACTTCGATGACTCTGAATCTTCTCATTGAAATAACGAAAACCACAACCCTCTATGATGTTGCTATCAAAAGTTATTCAAAAACTAGCGGAGCATATGATATTTGAACATGAATCTATAGACTAGAGTGCGGTGGTTCCAAAAAAATCGAACCAATAACCAAACTGGATCCGCTTTTTTCTCATTTTTACTGCCCGAAACCGCCGAACTCTATTACAGACATTCTTTACGAAGGATATCTTTTGATTTTTTTGTTTTTCAAACAAAAAAGCCAAATTATTGAAAGTGCCCTAAAAGAAATATGGTTTTTGTTTTAAGAGCCCCCAAAAATCAGTAGAATAATATCTGTTGAAACAAAAATAATAGCCCTCCCAAACAGTGTATAGAATATGTAAAACAAAAGTTTCAGCTCTATCAAACGTTCTAGGTCGAAGAAACGAGCGTTTCTGAACTAAATCTTTTTCATGAAAATGTTAGTTTAAGAAAAATGCTCTTTGCTACTTCCGTTACGTAAATTTGATTTCATCTGGATTTTTTAACATGTAATGACAATTTTTGGATCCCGGAATGCTCTCAGTAGATCAATATTACTTCACACAGCACAATGGTTACGAAAAAAGACTAAAATTTTGAGTGACGAAAGGGGAGGAGGATACCTTCAAAATGAATTAATAATTACCAACTTCATGAAAATCATGATAAGTTATTTTATTCGTTCCTTGTCGATCATAATCACGCATGAGTCTTTCTACTTCTGCTTTATGAATATCAAAACCTAATGCACAAAGTGCGATCTAGTCCAATAAAAAAAAAAAGATATGCGAAATTAAAATTAAATTAGAGAACTATACTTTGAATTCATGATAATCAAGTTCATTATCTTTATCATTATCAAACAATTCAAATACTTCTTTAATTTCATCATTTTCTTCTACAGTTAATTCCGGACGTCGATCTTTAGATGGTTTTGTCGATTTAGGAAATGTTGGACTGGTAAAACTAACGAAGAATAAGTTTCAAATTCAAAAAGATCTTAATGAAAAACAAGAACTTACTTCAATTCCATATGATATGCGTTAGAACAATAGGCTAACAAAGTATTAAATGAAATAGTCAATGACCATAGACATAGAAACAAGAGTAAAAAACTGAGCGACAACCTCTCTCTGTCAATGCAACTTGTATTTCATTGGTTGATAATAAACGTATTGTATATGAATAACTCAACTTGAGCAGCATTTCAATCAATGAGCTTTTATTGGTTAAGAAATTTAAAGAGATAAAATCAGCTATAAAATTTTATTGGTATTAGTTCTTCGATAAATGGTTGATAATAGCAAAACAAAATGATATGTATTAATATTGCAATAGGAAATTTTTTGTAATACGACAAACACTTTTCTACGGCATTTTCTTTTATGAACGTTCAAATTTAAACATACTGTTCTCCGCCATTCTCGATTCTGCGTTGTGGAGATTTTTTTCTTGAAGTTAAGGAAAAATGTCTTGAAACAAGAAGATACAACTATGTGTAATAGAAGTAACATGCTAATGTGAACCATTTTTTGAAATATAAAAGAAAAAGTAGCTACTTGTTTGGCAGGAACTTCATGCGACACATGAAAATTTCATCTCAAAGAAGGGAGCTCAATAGTAATTGATAATCTATTCCTTTTTGGCAAATATTAACAAATGAATAAACTATTTTACAGTTACTTACTATCTTCACAATAGAAAAAGTTGCTTTTCCAGCTAGCAGCTCGAAAAAATTCATTTGCAAAATGTTGATAATCATTGTTGTTTATGGTTTTAGAGAGTGATCAAATAATAGCAAAGACATTTGAGAGATACAAACCAAATGTTGTTTTTTTTTCTTTCTTGCCGTCTGAATAAATATACAGAGAAAGTTTGAAAAAGATTGTAATATTAATGAATAATAATGGAATAACTAAAGCTTCTCGTAATTCAATGATAAGCCTGATCAAGAAATCCTTTTTCTTTCTTTCTGAAATGTAAAAATTATTATATGAAACCATATATTATTTATTTGTCTTATTTTGTTTTATGTAAAATCTTTTTCTTTCTTTTTTAATAGGTTGCATGATCGAATCGACAGAGAATTTATTTTATACATTCTCTATTACAACTATGAAAATCAAATAGAAACTTATAACTCAGCTATGGTTATAGATATAGTTAGTTAATTGATTGAAATGAAACAGGAAGTAAAATAGAGCCTTCTTAATGACATAAATTGTTGCTTTGACAATTTATGTATGTATCTTCCTTTTTTGAGAATCCAATCTATTGTCATTGGAACAGAAGTAACGGTAACAAATATGTAAATTAATGCTCATTTAAATAGCTTTAAAAAATCTGTGTTGTATGACTATGATAACGAACCAATCCTTTTACCAAATTGTTGTCTTCCTTTTGTTCCATATTAAGACTGTTACCATGAGTTTCTTCAGTACATCTTTTAATCGGACATATATTTTCAAACACAGTTATTCAAACTGGTAACAACGTTCAAATCGGATTCTATAAAGGAATTAGTATTTTTTTACAAGATTCTATCTACTCTTCGTACACATATTACAGACTGTTTCAAATGAAATAAAGATATCAACTTCATTAGAATGGACCATCTACATATATGTGATAATTCTGAATCAACTTGCAACTAATTTATGAATGTTCCTTACGAGACTGTGTGCATCTGCTTGAGAATGCTGGTCATGGACCAGCATTGCTCTCTATCTTCATCTATTTCTTTTCTTTCCTTATGAGTCATTGCAAGAGAGAAACGATCAAACTGCTGGTGAGCTGCGCAACCGAATTTTATGTCACCTGCTCTACGCATAGTCAATCTTGTAGCTCATCTTCTTTTACCTAGGTGCTAACACTATCCATTCAATAAAACATCGATATCTCGAAAATGGTTTATCCTACACGCGTGAACATTTTATCAGACATATATCCCAACATGCTCTAGGCGATCACATGATTAAAACAACTCCGTTCCACGAAATTGATTGTTTCAGTATTTCATCTATGTTTTGAAAAATTACTTTCGAGAACTTAGAACTATAAATTTTGCACAGCATTTTCCCCAAAAGAACACTTACTTAACTGTATCTATCAAATGATGCAAGAAAAAATTCGGAACCTGTAAAGAAACCATCAGAAAACTTTTAGCAAATTTAATGAGATTTCTTTTTATCTACTTTTTTTGCATATTCGCGTTTTGAAAAAATATCGTTGATTGACAATTAGACTTTGTTTTCGTCGCAGTAATAATCCTGTTTGTTAAATAACAGCTGTATACTCACGAATTGATGTAGAAAGTGGCTCATACCTACAAGATCACGAAGTCTACCACGATAAAACGCAGAGTCAAAAAGTGGTGCAGAAAAACCACTTTTATGGACCTCAATATACTTCAGATTTCTATGTTAGAATCACATAAGGGTTGGTTTCACGATGTATCTTAAATGATTTTTCCACGTCTATAGTCCTTCTGAAGGTTTTACAAAACATTCTAGTATTCTTAAAAGTAACCCCGTCCTGAAGACTTTTACTGATCTATGTCATCCCAAACTACCAGTTCTGTATAACAAAAGCGAGTAGTGAATAAAAAAAAATACGATGCATCTAAAACTATTACAAGCATATATTTATTTTTGTCAAGTCACCACTGACATCTTGAAATGTCTTTTTTATCATTGGTCTAATTTTCGAGTAATTCTGTTTTTTATTGATGACTGAGTGGTAAAATTTAACAAGTCAGATCTGACTATGGTTTCTATTTCAAACGTAAATAGATTATCAATGACTCAATCTTATCTATTCACAGTAGTTATTACATCCGAGAAGATATCGTTCTGTCGTTTTACATTTTCTTTTTTCTTCAATGAACTAGATCATATCCAAAAAATGCATCATCAGCATGATGAGCTACATGTTACTGACTAAGCGTGTTGTTATGCCACTATTTGTTGTTTTGAAACGTGACTCTGTTTTTATCATTTATTTCTTATGAAAATCTCGCCGCCTAATAGATAGATACTAATGGAAAAATTAACTACATTAGTCGGTATGTTTTTTTGAATATAAATTAACCGCAGTCAGTCAACTTTTGATAATCATCTTCTCTGATAGCTATATTTACATATGAAGCTTTTCAAAATTGAACTAATCATTTTATATTCAATTCGATTATGAGTTTTATAATATTGTTAAATTTAGGAACAACATTAATATTTAATTTGATCGGTTTAATCTCCAATTTATCGATATTTTAGCATATCATCAAACAAATAAACTTAATTATTTAATGAAAACTTAAGCTAGCATTATAAATTGATTCAAATGACTTTTTTGATATACTGAAAAAATTTTCATTATAGTGGAACTCAATTTATTTGTTAAATAACATCGCTGGTCATTCTTCATATGTGAATTGTGTCATATTGTCATATGGTGTGGTTTCCCATCGAACCAATTCATAATAGAATCTGTCATCTTTTGAAATAACACAATAACTTTATTACCATAGTCCAATGAATAAATCACTTTGACTTAGTTTTTTCTGTTTAAAATGAGAATTAATCTATTTTTCTGTTTTGTCTTTGACACAACAGTAGAATTCGATTATTTTAAAAACGGTAAAAAGGATATCTTTTATTTCTTTACTTTTTTTTATCTAACCTCAATTATAAGACAATTTTTCACTAACAACTATGAATTTTACAAATTTGTTTAAAAATCGATTGATCTTTATTTAGTAAGTATCAAAATTTATTATATTATAATTTTAAATCTTTATTTATTCAGGTCTTTTGATAATAATTTGATGCTAGTTCAAAAATGAAAACAAATTATTAAAGATTAAGCTCAATGATTTCTTAAACTGAGCAATAATCATGTTGAGAAAAAATATATTGTTTAATGTATTATTAATACAAATAATAATTTCATACTGTTAACAATTATGCGTCAAATTTCGAGACTACATTCAAATACTTGTGATACATCATGGACATATCAACATCAATTTTTATACATTATTATGCAGAATAAGCGACGATTAATGAAACAAATCTAATATGTATACAATCAGTTCATAATAAAAACAAAACTTCAACTGCTAAATAAAGATTTGCATTAGATCATAGACAGTCATACAAACAATGATGAGAAGTGAACTTGATTGTATATTACTCTGATTTGAATTAATAGTTAATCATGTATAAATATGATGTTGAACCCCATCTTCAATATGAGTAAGTTGTTCATAACCAAATTTATGATAATGAGTAAGCGTTCGTAAGGTAAGTGTACTACTAGTTGGTACTCTTATTCTTGACTTTTGAAGTAATATCTATTAACCTATATATGGTTCTATATTCAAAAGATTTTTATAAAAGTTTTAGATTTTAATACCTTAATTATGAGTACGATAAAACATGATATCAACGAAATTGATCAATTAGACGAGTCTCTGCCAGTATGCTTATTTTATTTGTTACATTGATAACTATGATAAGAAAAAGATTTTTTTTTAAGATTAATGATCATCAAATAATGACAATGAGTGTTAAAGAATTAAATACATTATTAAAATCAATGAAACCGAATGAAGCAGCGACTATTAAACGTCGACGACGTATTCTTAAAAATAAGGGTTATGCAGCAAGTAGTCGTCATAGACAAACATCAATGGTGGGTAATCTATCTGTTGAACGAAGTGAATTATTGGACCAGGTAAATAAAACTATTAAAAAGGAAATAAAATCTTATTCATATATATTCATTCAAAAGATCTCTCAATTGCGACATGAGAATGAAGCATTATCACAAGAATTACGTGGTTGGAAGCAACGATACTCTGATCTTCAACTATTAACATCACCACCTGTTGCTACAGTACCTCAAAATACAACGACAAAACCAGTTACTGTAAAAGAATCATCCCACTGAAAGAAAAAAAAACGATTTTTAAATTTCGACTATGAATTTCTGTGATTTTGCAATAATAATACTTTTTATCTTGCAATTCTTCAATTTATAATTGATAGAATTTTACTGAACTCATATATTATAGATAATGGACAGATTTTTTTTCCCCTTAACTAAAACTAACAAAAATCGATTCTCTATAAAAGCTCTGCAACGGACTTCGGAAACTCGACTCTGGCAGATCCGGAGTAAATTGTGTAAACTTTTTTTCGGAAAAAACATTGGAGTTACATTAGTAAAACAATCAAGTGCTTTTGCTTTTACATTGTAGCAACTTTATTCTTTACATGCTAAGTAATGAACAATAATACGCTACTTTATAGATACATAAATTTCAAGAAAAAAATACGCTAGTCAAAAACAAAGTTTTGAAATCGTAGACAAACAGTTCAACTCCGCAGAGATCTATGCTCTTTCTATATAAATATGTATTTCAAAAATAATTCATAGATAATTTATGTTTTTTCTTTTGAATTGCTCGCAATATATTAGCAAGACATTCCTACCTTTCATTTGACTTTCATTCTTTATAAGAGTCATTTTTCAGAATAAATTCTTTTAACGTATATCTATGTAAAAATGTTGGCTCTCACATAGATTCTTCGACAGAAACTGTATCTATGGTGAAATTTGCAGCAATACTGAACTCCAAAAAACTTCCTCTGAAAAAACCAATTTTCTAGAAACTCTGAAGAGGAATTTGTACTGTTTGGAATCAGTTTTGAAGTTCTCATTCGGCGATAAGAGTATTGCTTCGTATAACGAAACGTAAATCGATTTTTTTTAATAAAAATCTATGCATGCTCAACAAAAACTTTGGATAGAGCTTTTGTTGCTTTAGATATTATGTACAGAATATATTATTTAGTTCTCAAAAATGCTGCGTCACTTCAGAATTTTTTTCTAAAGTAAAATGTGTGAAGCTAAAGTCATTATCCATTTTTGTTTCACGTTACTAACGCTAGTTTTTTACTAATAACTCCTGAATAGAGATCTCTAGTGCTGGTTTTTTATCGGAATATCTAGAGTAACTTAATATATAAAAAATAGCTGCAGGAAAGTTCATTATCTCGAGATACATGTTTTTTTATTTTGCGAAACCACATTGCTAACGAATAGTTCTGTTCATAGTGCTAAATCATTTCATCATTAAGCAGTTCAAAAAATAATTTATTTGCTTGATTGAAATAAAAAAAAAAAGCCAAGGAGATTCTGTACAAATAAACTGGGTGTCAATTGTAACAATTGAACATGAAAATCAAGATAAAAAATAATAGAGCACTAAAAGTAAGACACACATATTTCTTTACTATCTAAAGACATAGTTTTAAATAATTTTATTGAGATTACTATTTCTTTCCAATTGATCGTGCTCGAATTTCGAATTCTAAAAATTCACGAAAACTTTTGTCATCGATATATCTTTTTAAGACATCATCTATCACTTCTATAGATGAATGAGGATAACGTTGCGCAACTTCTTCAGCAAATGAAATCCATACACCTAAATTTAATTAAAAAGAAAATCTTTTTTTTTTTGTTTCAAAAATTAAAAAAAAGAAAATATTTTATTTACAATTTGCACAATTACTCATACAACATGTTGTAGGTGGTATTAAATCGGAATATTTTGGATCATAAGACGAAGCAGATGATTGCCATCGTCGACAAAGCGAATATTTTAGTAATTGAAAAGATTGTGTATGAAATATACGTATGAAATCATTGATCATCTGGAAAAAAATCGTACTATCATTTTCGAGAAAAGAAAACAAAATCACGTATTAATACCAAAAAAAAAGAACAAAGCGGGCCTAATTTGTGGAAGAGAAGAAAAACAAAAAAAAATACATAACAAAAAATCATCTAAGACTCCATGATTAACTCTGAGTAAATATAAACGATCGACGGATTAATTTTAATAAAGTATCAAAAGTCATGAATGATACTCCAACGGATATAGGCCCTTTCAGCCAATTCATCGTCACACCTTTATATAAACCTCGTCTTATTCCTTCTTCACGAATTATTTTACGCGCTGTTGCTATAGCTCCAAGAGATGCTTCTTCAGGTCGAATAACTGCAGCTGTTTGCAATCGACGTCGAATAACGTCGAATGGATACGATGCTGTTTGACCAACAAGGCCAGCAGTAGCACCAAATAACATTCTTTCAATTTTATTAATAGGACGATGAGAATCATAATCTTTAATATAAAACAAAACTAAAAAAAATTTCTATATTTTTTTTTCTTACTTACCTGTACGCATATGCTTCAAGGTTTCATAAGTAAAGAACACAAAACCAGAATAGGGTAATACACCAACTATGGATAGAAGTGCTCCACGATATAAAGCTGTGACACCTTCATTCCGTAGAATGCTTAGAAAGACAGAAAATAAATTACTGTACCTAAAGAAAAAAAAACAAACCCTATTATTTAGTTATGAATATGAATATATAAGCAAAAAAAATCTATATTTTTAACAATTAATCATACATAGAAAAAGCTATTGGCACAATCCTTGCGAGCTTCAAATGTGAAACAAGATCTAGTTGCTGTTGTCAATCACAAGGAAATCGCTTTATTGTATCTATTTTTAAGCACATTATATTCACTATATCGTTACTTAATTCTCCAAAAGTGCAATAAGAAACTGGTTCATATATAACAACTAGACGCTAATGGTATACTGCCTGCTATCGTATATCAATGTTTGTCACAGTTTGTGATGATCTCTGATTAACGTCTGTCATGGTCTGCGAAAAAGAGTCCAAATCTTTGTCTATACACTTGGACAATCCTTTTAGATCGTGCTTTACGAAATATGAAACTGATAAATCATTTTTAAAATACATACACGGACTTGTTTGTTACAGCCATTCGAGCCCTTGCTAAATCAAGTGGATAAGTGGTAGTTGCAGACGTAACACCTGCTAGGGAACCAGAAATAAATCGTCGACCGGGAGTTTTTCTATAAAATGATAAAGAATTATGAGCTTTTTGTTATTATTAATCATTTGATAAGCATTTTACTCATGTTTATCTGTGCCTAGAACACGTTTCCATTGTTCATGTGCTGCAAAATTAATAGCTGCAGAAGGAATAACACGAACTAAATTGGCTGAATTTCCACGATACCAACTAATAAAACCTTCATTTACATATGATTCTCTTAAAAATTTAAAGCAACGACGATAACTGAATTTATCGGCTCTGACTTTAAAAAAACACATATTATAAAATCAGAAGAACGTTTTTAATTAATTTACCTTGAAAATTAATTTTAGCTCGATCGAATGGTGCAATAGTGGTCTTTGCTACAGCGCCTAAAAAATAAATTATTACATACAAAATCTTATTTATCAATCATTACAAAACTCTATTCTCAAGCAATTTTAAGATTAAGTGTAAATTTTTTATGCTATCATAATACCTGCACAAGCACCAGCAAACAATGAAGTAACAACTTTTTGTGAATTTGAAAGCTACAAAATAAAATAAACCAATTTAGAAATATAAATTATTTTAAATAGTAAATCATACGTTTGCATTTTCATCTTGTCGATTCGTCATCTGTATAGAAATTATTCATCATGCTTTGAAACAAGAGACATTAATCACTAATTTTTTTACAATAACAGAAAAATAAATGTGTCAAAAACACGGTGATAATCACCGGATCAGAGTGATGTCTATCTAGAAAATAATCTTATTTTATAGTACATGAATATCTTTATCAACAAGAATGTCTTCTTGATTATTATAATTATAATTATTGGTTTTGTAACAAAAAATACTCTTGTTGTGAATTTGAACCTTATAGAAGTCTATTTCAGCTACTACTATATTATGTTGGTTGCAGGGTTGGAACACGTTGAGAAATAGTGAGCTAGTCCGAATCGACGGGTTGAAAAATTCTACCGGTCCGGTCCAGTCGGGGAAATTCCGATGAAAATCGGTTAAAAACCGACGGAAAATGTGCAATTTTTTTAAAAAACGATTTTTAGAAAAAATCGCTTGAAGTATGATATACTTTAGGGGCGCATGTAAAAGACACTTATCATAATGAATCTTTTTAAAGAGAATCTCAAAAAAATAATTAATATAACATATTTTTTTTGAGCACTTTTTTAAGCGTTCTCACAAAAAAAAACATGTGACATCTTAGTTTTTATGGCCAAAAACAGTATTAACAAAGAAAATTTTCCCAAACTTTCAACCGGCAAAATTTCGGTATCTACCGGGCCGGTTGACTTCCTGAACCGGTCCGATCCTGTACCGGCCTGGCCGGATGGACCGGTTCCAACCTTGGTTGGTTGTATTTGCTAAAAAACGTTTTCAATTGATCAATCGATTTTGAATTCGAACTCTGTACATAAGAGAGGCGCCAATGATATATAGAAAACCTCGAAAAGGATAAGTCCCCTGAGATCTTCTATCCAGAACTATTGGCACTTGACTAGAATTTCAGCTTCTGGCATGACATATACCAAGAAATCGAATAACGGTATTTAGACTTAAGAGTTTGCCCACAGCTAGATCCACTTGTCAATAGAATGTTCTGAAAATTTCACCTCAAAATAATGTTTTCTTTCAGAGATATCAAAGTTTCAAAAAACAGAAAATTCTAGCATCTTTCCTTGGAATATCTGTAGTTTTCAGATTCACCTATTGTAATTCGATTTTTTAGTATATACCATGCTAGAAAGTACAATTCCAGCAAAATGCCTATAATTTTGGACAGAAGGTCTAAGAGAATTTATCCTTTTTGACGTTTTGTGTATCGCACTGGAGTCTATCTTATGCACAGAGTCCGAATTTCAAATCGATTGATTAATTGAAAACGCTCCCTTGTTAGACATATACACGTCTCAATACTTTGTAATCTATTTAAAGACAACCACGATAAAATTTCAATTAAAAGTGTATGAGACCGATAGGTAATAATTATTAAAATGCTTCGATGCCATTAAGATAAGTCTTAATTGATTTTTTGTTATTTAGATTGATATTTACTATATCGATGTTCGTTGTTTGGCATGGACTCGAATAATTTTCTGTTCTGTTTAGTTTGTACGTGTTTTAAAAATGTGTTATTTTTGTTCTATAGCTCAAGTATAAAATCATACAAATAAAACACGAAATATTTTATATCTATAACCTTTCAACAGAATTCACAGACATAAAAACAAATGCTAAAAGGAAGACGGACAAGTGCAGAAGACTCATCTTCTCTATATCCACAAATAGCAACCACTACTATCGATCCGTTACTACACACATTTGATGATCCGCATGATCCACCAGAATATTACAGGCAACCATCATCTGTCTTTTACGTTCCAGCCACAGTTACATCTGAATGTGATAGCGAAAATATTAATTCATATGAAAAATTCAGTCTTTTTAAAAAATGTTTTCGTTATTTGGAAAGATTTTCTGGCATTTTTTATGCATCATTATCATCATTATTATTTACATGTTCAAATTTTATTATGCAACAACTTGATGTTATTCTATTAGATGTATTTCTTATTCGATTTTTCCTTCAAGGAATTATATCATTTGGATATATTATTTATAAAGGTTATCATCGATTTTTGTTTTCTAATGGTTTACTAGTTTTTATTCGATCTCTTATTGCTGCTACAGGTAGTCTTTGTTTTTATTTTGGTCTTGTATTTCTACCTTTACCTGATCTAATCACATTACGTTATACACAAGTTGTTTGGACAGCTCTTCTTGCTTTAATTATATTTCGAGAACGAATTACTATACCAATAATAATAGCAAGTATCTTCACACTTGTGGGTGTTATTGGTGTTACTCAACCATCATTTATTTTTACAAAATCAAATACTTTTAATGAAACACTACAAGTATCATTAACAAACAAAAGTGAAACACGTTTATTAGGTATATTTGTTGCATTATTATGTGCATTTTCTATATCAATGGGTATTGTACTAGCTAAAAAACTGTTAGAAAAAAAAGTTCGACAAAGTATAATTTTGTTTCATTTTATTTTAATAACTTTTATATTTTTATTAATAAGTCAAACATATTATTGGACATATTCAAAAAGGTGTCATCAAAAATTTGATATAAAAAAAAATTATTTAACAAAAACGTTTTTCTATGCAACAATGCTTGCGACATTACAATTAATTCCATTGATCTTATTACAAAAGTCAATTAAACGTGAACATCCATCTATCGTTACAATTGCTCAAGCATCTGATATACTTTTCGCTATTATATTACAAAATGTTTTTTCAACTATTAAATCAAATACATATGCATTAATTGGTTCAACATTTGTTCTAACAAGTATTATTATTGTTGGTGGTCATAAACTTTGGCAAGATCGAAAACATCGTATTTGTCTTCCAACATCAATAGAAGAAAAAAAATAATCTCTTTTCTTTGTCTTTTTTTTAATTATTCTAGTAGATTGAAAATAATTTTCAGATAGTTATTAATTGCGTGAAACGTATTACGGACACACGATAGTCCGAATAGAATTTTTTCTATATGACGAAATTTGCTCTTATTAATGATAAAATACATACACACAGTCATTACATGACTCCGATTATAGTTCCAAAGTACTGAGAATATTAACTAAAGAGCAAAAGAAGAAACGAGGACGCCCGATAAGTTCTGAGAATCAAAGTCAGTTGTTTTGCCATTACTACGCATATAAAAGAATGGAAAGAAAAGAAGAAGAAAAACAACAGTTGTGATACTACTATAGAAAAGAAAGAAAAACAAAGTAAAATAATATATTCTAGAATATGAAGCAAGAAACATATACCGTTGAAAGCGATATTCTTATTGCTACTACTACATCAACAACGACTATCTCAACAGATAATGATAGTATTAATAATATTGATCCTCTTATTGAACCATTAATTGATGCAGATGAATTAATAGCAACTATTGACAATAATGAAACACTTCATCGACTTGAACAAAAATGTTCATCAATTCTTACACTTCATTCACATAAACATCATCGAACAAAATCATCTTCTGAAATTATTGGTCAATGTACAGGCATAATTTATGCTCTTATTGGTTCATGTTTTTTTACATGTTCAGGCTTTATTATAAAACAATTACGTGTCGATTTCTTTGATGCACTTCTTTGTCGATTTTTCTTACAAACATCAATATTAGCTGCATTTATTTTCTATAGAAAAAATAAATTAATCAATGGTTCAATTAATTTAATTGTTTTACAAATAATTCGTACTATTTTAGCAGCAAGTGGTTTACTTTTATTTTATGCAAGTTATCGTTATATTCCTCTACCAGATTTAACAACATGTCGTTATACACAAGTTGTTTGGACAGCTATATTAGCAATGATTATTTTTCGTGAACGTATATCAATACCAACTATTTTAGCGATTATATTAACACTAATCGGTGTTACATTAGTTGCTCAACCAACATTTTTATTTAATAATCATCAATTATTATCAAATACAACTAACATAATAACTAATGAATCAAAACATTATAATTTCGAATCGGATCAATCTTATCGTTTACTTGGTCTTTGTCTTGCACTTGGATGTGCCTTATCAATATCATTTAGTATAGTACTTAATAAAAAATTACTTATTTCAAAAATTCCTCAAAGTATAATTATGCTTGAATTTTCGTTATTAAATTTATTGTTACTTATTCTTTATCATATATATAATCGTTTTATTCTATATAAATATATTAATCAAACAATGTTTACATGGCAATTTTTTCTTGCTGCATCTGTTTCATTAATGCAAGTACTTTCATCAACATTAACACAACGAGCAATTAAACTTGAACATCCATCAATAATATCTGTTGTTCAATCATCAGATATACTTTTTGCAATTATATTACAAAATTTATTTACAAATGTAAAATCAAATTGGTTTGTTTTAATTGGTTCGTTATTAGTTACAACAAGTATTTTTCTTGTTGGAGCTCATAAATTTTGGCAAGATCGAAAGAAATTATTAGAAAAAAATAAAAATATTAGGAAATAATGAAATTATATAATAGTTCAATTTTTGGTTGAATAGAAAAGATTCAATAACTTGATGTATCTAGTAGATAATTCAACTGTTATTATTAACTTCATCTGCATTCTAATCAAAAGTAAAAATCAATGAACTTATAACTTTTTTTTCGCATTAAAAATGAACGATTTATATTTGATTGAAAATTTGTAATAAAGTTTTAATTTTTTAAAACTTAATAATAGCTTTCACTGCAGCGGAAAGAAAATTTCCATAAATTCACAGAAGAAACTGCTTTTTTCGTATTTTATACTGTAAATAAGAAACAAGCGATTCGACAATATTCAATAAAAACTTTTTATTTCTACGAAAGAAATCTTGTTTCTCTTAATCGTACGATGGAAGCTCTGAATTGATTAATTGCTCGTGAGTCGGAACTATGTACATCATGAAGACCCGAATGAGCGATGAATATCTTGAAAAAAGTTCAGGCTTCTATCTCATTATTGTTCAAATGCTGCATTTATATGAGATTTTTTTTAATTCAACATCGTAGTTCCCAACAGCAAAACTGATTTTTCGAATTTCAACTTAAAAATTTTGTATAGAGAAATGTTTTAACGAGAATAGTTTATTGTAAAAGCATCAAGCCTTTTGATTTATTTCTAACCTGACATAAGAATATCGAATCTGTTTGTATATATATGAACGATAGAGTACTACAACCCGCGAATATTGAAAATTAACGATTTTTGGAGACATGAACTTCATTTTTAACTGTACAATTCATAAAAAATTTAAAAATATGTGTTTTTAATGCTGCTCTTTAATAGCGATCTTCTTGATCACATAATTGATTAGTCGTTGTGTGAAACGATCAACGATGTGTTATAGTAATATTACCCACAAGTTCGGCAAAGGTTATTTTGATCCTTTGGTTGGTCGATATGACACAAGATTCATTCATCGCAAGTCAGTTAGTCTCTTTCAGTTCATTACACATGTCCGTGTCATGAATAGATATCGATGAACTGACTTTAGATCGAAACTGAGTCGAGGCGATTTCGGATTTTTTTGACACGTTTCGGTCTCTAGTACGAAAAGTTATACTAGTGCAGTACTCTAATGAGTGATGCACACAACACGCTTTTTACCATAGCTTTATCTTAGGACAAGAATAATAAAAATATTTGAAACTTTTCCAGTAAACTATTCTCATTATGATCTGTCTCTACGCAAAGTTTCAAGTGGAAATTTACTTTTTCTGGTAGGGACTACGATATTGTGTTAGAAAATACTACAAAAATGTAGCATCTCCATTGCAATCAGCTACGAATTCGAACTTTGTTTTTCAATTTATCCATAATCCATTAGGCTCTACATAACGCACATAGTCTCAATTGATAAAGTAATTGAATTAGTTAGAAGACATCTTTCATTAGTCTTCTATTTTATTGAAGCAAAAGTAAAATACGATGCGACAGATTAAAAATTAAATTCGCTTTGAATAAAAAACAATTGTGACAAACAAAAGTAATTTTATCCTACCTCACTCATAAAATTAAATTTCCCATTTTCAATATTTGACTAATTCCATTTTATATTTGAAGACCAATGTTCATGTAACTTATAAAACTTACTACTATTTGATTTCGTTCAGATCATATTACATAGGCCTTTGTCTTATCATCGATAATCATATACAAATATCGCGATCGATTACATCTAGAATTGATATTAAAATACATCTCCTAATCATGTTTATTAACGTTGATGGTTTCGACGTTTCAATCAAATTAATACTTTAAAAAAAAAAGAGAAAATCAACTCTAAACTATCAGAATTTATTTTAAGTAAAAGATATTGACTAAAAAACAGACTTCAAAACAATTTATCTTGACATAACAAATAGAAAAACATACATATAACATGCTGACAAAGCCATATTAAAATGAAATAAATGACATGAACATATTGAATGGAGAAAAAAAAATATTTTACGTATATGCAGCTGTAAGTTGTTGAAAAAGTTTTTCTTGTTGTAGTGAATTATCATTATCAGACATTTTTCTTGTTGATCTCATAGCCAAAAAAATGTAAGCACCAATAAATTCATGTATACATTTACTATTAATATCATATAATGGTAAAAATTCTATTGTTTCACTATCAAATTCAATAGTTAATAATTTATTTTCCCAATTAACATTCCATGAACGCATTCGTGATATCCACCATGTTTTTATTGTCTCACCTGTCATTGCCATACGTAAAAGACGATTTGAAGCAATGCCAAGTAATTCCTATACAAGAAAAAAAAAAAGAAAATGAAAAGAAAAGAATTTATTTTCTTACTTCTTTTCTATTTGAATCATTAAATTTAACAACAAATGTTGAAATGCCAAATTCAGGTAAAGATTGCCATAATTTTAAATATCGTAATTTAGCTTCAGTGCCATCTAAATTACTTACAGCAGTATATGATTCAAGAATACGTTCAGTTAACTAAAGTAAAAAATTAACATACGAAGTTTTTTTTGGTAAATGTAATCATTTGTTATTTTTCTCGATATTTTTTAATGGATTAAAATATCAATCTTTAGAAATATTATTCACATTTTTAAAGATAATACTTTGATATTAAAAAAAAGAAATTATCTTAAAAGTAAATTCATCAAATAACATACTGAACATAACTATAGTTATGAACATAACAATTCAATTAGTAATATCATTTATCACATATGGAATAAAAGCAAACTATTATAAGCTTCTATGTAAATATTCGACTATAAAAGAGCATAATAGTCGAACACAATGCATATTAACGTAGTATTCAATTACACATGCAGTAAAACTTCTCGACGTGAATACCTCCTTATATTGAGCAGTCTATAGTCTATCCAAGCAAATTTAGCTAGGAATGAGCCTGTACTAATTCTAAGAAATGTACACTTATTTCTAGTTCTATGAGCAATAACAACTTCTGTAATATGAACAACATATGTTCTGTCACTCACATACCGCTAAAGAAAATAATCATGTTATGTGTATTGCGTTATTAATAAATCATCACATGATACATACGAAAAGAAAATGGACTAGTTGCGAATATTTAACAGAAAATAGGCAATATTAGACAATACCAGCCGTGCTTGGTTTAATCTCTCGTTCGTTTTTGTGTTTTAATGGCTAATAAAATCAAATCATGTCAATATGCATGTTGATTTACTTCTCGTTAAAAAAGTTGAATTAATTAATTGTTGAAAAGAAGAAACTGAAAACTTCCTCAACAACGAACACCTCCATAAAGTAAACACTTTTGACCTGTCTCGATGGTATTTTGCTATAGTATGTTTTGAGTATTCGAATGAACAAATAGCGAATATTAACTAAATTATTATTGTTTACTAGACGATACATTAAATGTTTTTCTTTTTGTTTTTCATTTACGATTATAAGAATATATTCTTGTTATCGGCAATTTTCTTTCTGAATATTTCATGTTAACCTTATTTCTTGTTATGTTTGTTATTATTTTCTTTATTCACAAGAGAAATAAAAATATAATTAATGANTTATAACTCGAAAAATTGATAATTTCTGTGAGAAGTAACTTGCAGCTTAGCCTATTTAGATTATTTCATGTTCAATTCAGTTATACTCTGTAATCATCATAAGGTATGGGAAAAAAGTTCGCGACATTTTCTTACCGATATTAATAGAAAAATTTCTAAGCACTTTTTTTTCATATAATATACTAAAAGATCCAGCGTAGAAAGCTCTACAATATATACAGGTAATGAAAAGATAAAATAAGAAAAAAGATAACTTCTCGTTCGTGCTATCTTTTCGCAGCGTCGAAATTTGGTCGTTCGAAGTTTTGACGATTTTGAAAACAAAAAGTGCAACTGTAAAAAAAGCGGTCTTATGCAAATTGTAGAGCTTTTCACGCTGGATCTTTTAGTATATTATATGAAAAAAAAGTGCTTTGAAATTTTTCTATTAATATCGGTAAGAAAATGTCGCGAACTTTTTTCCCATACCTCATGATGATTACAGAGTATAACTGAATTGAACATGAAATAATCTAAATAGGCTAAGCTGCAAGTTACTTCTCACAGAAATTATCAATTTTTCGAGTTATAAAGAACATTGTTAATTTTGGTTTTAAATCTGAATTTTCTCAAAGAAACAAATGTGTATTGCAATCAATAATCTTAATTATCAAAAGATGTCAACCTAGAAGAATAACGATTTCAAATGAAAGTAAAATTTTTTTCTATATTTTAGTAACTTTCATTTTTTATTGGTTAATGACAAGAAAATTCGCTTGAACAAATTTTACTCTAGAGTAAAGAAAGAATATCTTATTCTCTAATCTTCTTATCGATCTAGAGAGAAAACTCTAGTAAGAAGAACGTTAAACTCTCTCTTCTTGTGTACATGCGCGAGTACCAAACAAAAAGAACAAGAGATCACGAGAATGCAGAAGGGCCTCTGTTACACGTATCAATTATGTCAAGGGTTATGACATGCCTGCAATTTTTCAAGGAATTAAAAGAGAAGAAAAATAAATTATAGTTCAAGAATATGAAAACAAAGACAAAGTAATGCATCCTACTTCAAGGGATAGATAATGAATTAAATTAGCTGAATTACTTCTGGAAGGAGCATCTCAGAAATTTCTATCGCAATTATCACTTATTTTATTTCATGCAGAAGTGCTTATTATAAACGACTGTTTCCTATACTTGAATGAGTATAGACGAGAACCTCGTATGATTAAGAGGATGAAACTACTCATTATAAACTACCGTTAATCAGATAATTATTTTGATGATGCATGTAATAATTGAAAACCGAACTCAATTAGAAAAGTCTTAACAGTTGAAGTTCCAAGTATTACAATATTGGTCGATGAGGTACTAGAGAATCTTTACACATGTTGAAATTCGTTCGAAAAAGAACCCAACAATTGAACGATATATACTTAAAACTGACTTTTTGAATTGAATGCTAGTTTGATTTAAAACACTATGAATCATGAGTCATAAAATTTTCTTTCTCTTGAAAATCTTATCTTTTTGAGTTAAAACCTTTTGATAATGAAGATTACTGTTTGTAAAAAATTTAGTGGAAAGAACACGACTGCATAAAAGTCATTTTTGGCCCATCTTCAGTTTTTCTCCAATCATAACTTACCTGATGCAGAACGTCAAGAGTTATCAGTTAGTAACGAAACAAAGCTACTTCTGAGAAGTTCACAAGCACTTTTGCTCAAACTATTGATACTTTTTGACTTTTCAAAGATAGTCTTTGTTATCCAGAAGAACTTGACTTTTGTTTAGATATCATTTGTTGTATTTTTAACTGATGTTTAAGAAAGTTCAACCATACAAAATATTCTCGAAAATTTTGCTGGAGACTTCCTCCGTCAGAATTCAACAATGAAGTAACTATAAGCAAAACACCATTTTGATTGTTTAGTTATCTCTGCCTTTGTCTTGAAAGTCTTTTTTTTTTTTTTTATTGAAATCTATTAAATATCAGGCAAAACTGCTAGAAATGGTGTCTAAACGAACTCCAAGTTCTCGTAAGTAATACAAGATCACTTCTAACGTAATGGAAAAATATGTCGTTGTGCAGTGACTCTTTTGAGCTTTTAGAGTCGGTTTACAAAGCCGGTCGGTTTCTCTTTCCTTTCTCGAGATATTATGAAAATAGTAACCAGAAGTGACCAGAGAACTATATGGTTTTCATGCTCATTTTAAACAATTTTTTTTCATTACTCAGTAACACATCAACCGTTTGAGTTGAATTTATTACTTAAAAAAATGTAGGGAGAAGTTTATACAATGATGTCTGATACTTCTACGTAAAAACTATACAATTTACAGTGTAAAAATAAAAATCCATTTTTTAAGCCAAACTGTTTGTAGACTCTTCGGAACTAGCTGTGTTTTGTTGCTAAAATATTCCTCATGAAATTCTGTATTAATTTCATGATAACCCAAAACTGACTTTTTTTGCGTCTGTCTTCTTTCAACTCGACATGGTTTGAGTTCTTCAAGAAAGCTCAGATTCAGAAACAAAATTAGACATTTTTCTTATTATTTCAAAAATTGATAATTCCAAATTATTTTTTTCATAAAATGTACCATCAAATGTTCTTCTCGAATTGCAAGTTGCAATCATTATAGCTGTGTTCCAAATTTCAATAGACTGTTACCATTGAAGACGTGTGTCATCGCGCTATTTTCCACAAGAAAAAGTCGTAAAACTCCGTATTGTGATTGACGGCTAAGATGTTTTCTCATCAGGTCAATGCTAAATACAATGGACTGTCTCAGGCACTGTAAAAAACCAAAATGTTCACAATTCTACCAATATTTTCTATAAGATCAGTATTGATTTCTGATCAACGTATTTTCTTCATCTTCAATTGAACATTGTATTGTTTTCTTAAGCTAAATTCTTTTTTTTTACTATTTCTTTCAACAACCGAGGAAGTTTGACTTAGCAGTGTGTGCCTCGAGTCCACTATTTTTAGAAGATGTATTTTAAAGCAACACAGCAAAAAAACGTTTTATTTCAGGACAAAGAATCTAAATCAATTGATATAGACGTTATTTCTTACTTATATTTGAGATAAGGATAAGTAATAATTCTCATGTTTTGAATTTCACACTAGGTCTTTGATTAGCTTCAAAAATTATAGTTAAAACGAATGAATAATATTCAACAATTGTTGACTTTCTCTTCTTTTTCTTTGTAGGAAACAGCAGAATGATATACATATTCAGTATTAGCAGTTTATTAAAATATTAATAGTAGCCATTAAAGCCTGATCTTGTGATCCAAGTAGAACATTCAATTGTGTATCTTTCGAAAAAAAGCGATGAATGTATTATCATGTTCCTGAACAGTGTTACATGCCAAATAAAAAATGTCGCAAAACTTTTGCTACACTCAGTATAAAGACAACTAATCTAGATCGATAGACAATTCAGTCATTCGGACACCGTTCAACACTGAGAAAAACTGTTAGTACAATCCCTGTGGGATTAAAATATAAAATACGATATAGGTACACTTGCTAATTACAAGCAGATTATTTTATTCTATCTATTTTGGGACACAATTCTTCACCATATCACTATGTTGTTACTTAATCCTTCAGAACTGCAATAAGGAAGTACTTCATACATTATAATGAGACCGTATTGATATATGGTTTTTGAACATAGATCAACAATGTCTGTGACGGAGAGTGGGAATTTCGCTAAGATATTTGCTATGATTTCTGACTAACGCCTGTCATAGGATGCGCGTGAAACGAGGGAGTGGAAATTTTTGCTCTATTTACTTCAATACTCCTTTCAGATCATATTTCATCAAGCTATTTTTATTTCTATAATTTAACATCAGTTCTCTCATAGGTTCACTAAGTGCTAAAGAACAAGCACAATTATTAAGAAAACAATATCGTCAACTATATAAACGTCATTATCAATCAATCAAAAAAAAAGACAAATGTCTTTATTTTACGTTTCCTATTACTTATCCATGTCCAATGAAATTCAAGCGAAGGCGATCATCTATCATTAGAAATTCTTCTTTATCATCTCGATTATCATCATATCCGCTTCAACAATTACTACAAAGAAAAATGACTAATCAATTTTCAAATACGATGACTGGATTAAAATCAGCTGTTAGTATTTCATTTATTGATGATAAAAGTGATGATATATCAATAAATAAAATTCCTCAAAAAAATTATTCATCATCATTACTTAATATTCCATCTAAAAATAAATCGACTAATAAAATTCATTCATTAAATGCATGTTTAGAAAAACATATATGTCAATTATGTGGTTCAATATTGTCGAATGGTATATGTGCATGCATTGTTCAGTATTTGCTAAAATTAAACAAGACTAAAGAAAATAGTATTCTCGTTCAACTCCATGACATATTTGAGAATCTTACGAGTAACAATATAATCACGTAACATAAAACAACTAAAGAAAGAAAGAATTTTTTTTGGCTCGGTACGAAAAAAATTCATAATAATAATAAGAAGAAGAACAATCATTTTAAATTACAATAGACAACAAATTTTTGTACGTTTTTCTTTTGTTTGATTTAATGAAGTTGGTGGAAGAGGATTAATAACAACAACAGCTGGATCTTCGCCATTACCGAGCAAACCAGTTGCACTTCCTTGAGATGTTTGAAGAGGAAATAGCTTTGCTATTGGTGCATTGCTTACTGTTGGACCACTTGTACTTATTCCACCATCAGCAGTAAAACTATTTTTTTTAGTTCGACCACGTTGTTTTTTCTTGAAAAATTCTTTACTTTGTGATTTACTCATTGGATCCGGCTATAAGAAAAAATGAAATAAAATAAAAATTAACAATTTAAATATTGAAACTGATAGACTTCAGAAAAACGACGAAAACAAAACAGAAAAAAAAAGAAAAACTTCTAAATAATATCGCTTTTTCGATCAAGATCATGTGTAGGTATTGGATTCTGTGATGAACACGGAATAGTTAATGGTTTATATTGAGATTCAAAACAAGATGAACTATGTCGCTTGACAAGACCATGTTTTTGCTCATATATAAATGAATTTTTTATTCCTGTTGATGGACTAAGTTTTGAACGTGATGATGAATTTGATAATTTATTTGTTCCAGATGATCTTGCATAAGCACATTGATGATAAGATACTGGTTGATAAATTTTATGTGTTGGAAGTGAATGTAATGATGTTTTTATACCAGTACCAGTTCCACCACCTGTACAACTACTAACTGAATCTCTTAATTGCATATTTGCATGTTGTAATTGATGAAAAAAATGTGAACCTCCGCCAACACCATTTGAATAACTCAATTCACTTTGACGTCTTGATTCAACATATGACCAATTAAAATATCTTTGCCGAAATAATTTAAATAAACATTCATAAAAAAATTTTCTTAATTCACGACGAAATAATTCTCCTGTAAATGTATATAAATAAAATCCACAACCATGATCAAGATATAATAAAAATCTCATAATACCATCTAATAAAATTAAATATTTTTTTTCATAATTTAAATATGGTTCAATAACAGAAAAAACTCGTAATGGAAATGTTAATAATAAAAAAAGAAATGTTGAAACGAATAAAATATATGCTAATTGTGTATCACGTGGTGAACGTGTTTGTCTTATACCTAATTGTTTCATATATATATGTGATTTGCAAACAGAATGCATGACACTTGTATTTGCAATTAAAATAATAATAAATGGTATTAAAGAATTTATTAAAAATTCCATCCATGAAAAATAATAAATTAAAAAATGTTCATAATTTTCTTTTGATGATCGAATTAAATTTGAACTACACATAGCTAATATTTTATATTCAGTTTCATTATTTGGAAAATCTTGATTTCGTTCTTGTTTTGAACCAAAAAATATTAAATAATGTATATTAAGAAAAAATAATATAATATACATTATAATTAATGTACAATATGAATGTTTACGGCTAAAAACATTTTTATTCCAAACATAACGTTTTGTTACAGCAGCACGTTCAAGTGATATAACGCATAATATCCATACAGCACAATGAGAAAAATAATTGGTTATAAATTTATATGCTCGACATATATATAATGAACGTTGTAAAAAATACGATCGAAATGTATAACGTATTATAAGACGTATACAATTTAGTGTAATCAATATTAAATCCTAAAGATGACTAAATTAATTATGGTGTGCTTAAGAAATGAAAAAAAAAAATTATTATTTACCATAAAACTTTCAGCAACAAATAATATTGAACAACCAAATTTTTGAAATTTTTTTCGTGTAAATATAAGTATTGTTAATAATGATCCAATAAAACCAAATGGTAATAATAACCAAGGATATATACGATGAAAATTTATATTAAATTGAATTATTGAATCATTGGACATATTTGATGATATTGAATAAAGATAATAATATTCAAAATATTCAATATTCATTGTGTACTCCTTTTTTATATCTGATTTTATATCTAGATTAGTTTTGAGACCTTTTTTTTTTTTTTGAATAAAAAAGAAAACACGAGAAGACTATTGTCGTTCTCCGCAACCCTTTAATCAAGAGGTACTTGCCTTTCTCAATCCAATTTTAACTCAATCAACAACTTCCTACTAGATCGAACATTCCTCCTTTAGACATACAATATTGAGTTTTGTCTAATTACCTCATTTTTTTCTTGTTCTTTTTCCGGACAAAAATAAAGATGAGCAAATATTCAGATAAACAACAATGAAAGAAAAAACGAGGACAAAACAAAAAAATAGTGAGAAATGCATACACCTACAAATAGTGTTAATCCTAACGGAGAATAAATCTCAGACAAAATGATTTTTGATAGAAAAACATGTTCTTTATCATGGAAAAAAAAACTTAGATTGACATTAAAAAATAACAAGGAATTTTTGTAGTACGACATCGATGCCATCATGTCCTACTTAATTGCCGAGTAATAATAAGTCAACATAAATATACAAGAGTATATGAACACGTCTTTTGTCTTTTCTTATATATTCTACGCTATATGTTGTCATTGTCAATGGCTCTGTCCTTATTTTTCTTGCCTGCAAGGCATTTTTTTTTGTCTTGTCCTAATTAATGTCTTTCTTCTTTTTTTATCAATCGATTAATGTTGTTCGTCCATCCGAAAGACGTAAAAGAGAATGAAATATGTTAGTTATTGATATTCTCAACATGTAATTGATTTGTTTCCGATTAAATATTTGACGGATGAAATTGTTTAATTTCATGCTGAGAAAAGTTTCTTTTTTTTCTGTTTTGTTTTCTTTTCAACTATATATAACCAACGAATAAAGCAAGACAACAAAAAAACTTACTAAAATAGTATCATAAGAATGTTGATCATTTTTTGAATTCTGTCGAGAATCAGACAATAATGTTGAATCTTTTGGATATAATAAAGGTTTCGGTTTTATTGGTAACAAAACATTATATGGATCGGAAAATACTGAAAAATAATTAGAAAAACAAAATGAGATTTTTTTCTTTTGATCATCAGTGAGTGAACATGAAAACATACTTTGGCCGTGACGTTCTGACAGTTTCGATGCTTCACTGGACGGGATATTAAAAAGACTTAACATAGCAACACAACATGTATTTTGTAGAATTGCTGCACAACGTGCTGAAAACATGAACAAAATATGAACAGACATAAAACTCATTTAATTAGTTATCTATACCTCCAGTTTGTGAAACAAGTAATTTCGCAAGAATATGATTGAAATGAAATGCAGCTAAATGAATGCCTGTTATTGTTGACCAAGCTGAAAGAAGTCCATCTTGGGAAGCTTAAAGTGAAATACAAATAATAAGAACAAAAAGAAAACAGAATTTTAATTAAAATATTTTTTACCAGTTATAGCAATGTGACTACCAACAGTAAATGAGACTGATACGATGGTATTTTTATGTCTAATGAGTTTATGTACAACAGCACCTATAAAAATAATCAAACATTTATTTATTTGTATAAATCAACATTATTCATTGCCTTTATTTAACAATAGGAAAATTTAATTTAATTATCTTATAATCAATAACAAAGTGCTAACATATGTGAAAAAAACAATATATTCCTTAACGGATATGATGAGTTTTTTTGTCCTATTATTAACTCAGTTAGTCAATATTCAACTAACTGTTGTAGTACATAATTACAAAGTTTAATGAATGGAATACTAAAAAGAAATAATAAACTGTTTGGGTACATTAATCAATATTAGAACAAAGTCCGTTACATGTCTCATTTTAAGATAAACATATGATCAAAGCTAAACTTGAACAAAAAGTCACGAATTATTAAACATCAGAAAAGTTTGTCAGCGTAATTCCTGATAAACATAAAATGCAAATTTCTAAAGTCATCTATAGCATGAAAAAACATGGTCTAGAAGTGCCATCTTAGAATAATTAAAATCAAATTCACCGTTTACACTACTCATTCTACTACAGGAAAACTTAGAAACATACGATAGTTATTACTATCATCGAATGTTCTCTCTTCATGGCTATTATTTTCACTCGTTTCCATCTCTCTGAGGGAAGATAGAAAACTAAACATTGAATTCAAATTTTCCATTGTAAGCAATACAAAAAAGAAAAGAAACTCTTCACCATCTTTAAATGACCATATAATAGCTTGACCATCTTTGTCACCAGTAAGAACATGTTTTCTATCTTCGCTAATTACAACAGCTGTAATTGATTGTTCATGTTCAACAAGAACCTTAAAAAGAAAACAATAATTCATTGTATTGTTTTAAAAATGTCTAATCTTGGTTTTTACCTGTGTTAATTTCCCTGATGATAACTCCCATAATTTACAACTACAATCTTCTCCACCGGTAATTAAATATTGTGAATCAGCTCGAAATGCCATACAAGTTATTTTTCCTTCAGTATGATCTATTGAACGAACAACACGTGCATCATCCAAAGACCAAATTTTTAAACTAAATTTAATTTTTAAACAAGAACAACAAAGTTTCAATTAAATAATTCATAACAAAAGATTTGTATTACATATTATCTCCATTTCCTGATACGACATATTTTCCATCAGGAGAAACACCCAGCATTTTACACGGTACATTATACTAAAAACAAAGAGTCAAAAATAAAATATCATCATATATTGACATAATATTTTACTTACTGAATCAATCAATTCTCCTGTATTTGCCCACCATGTTTTAATATAATTTTGTTCATCACTTGATAAAATCTTTCGATTATCTTCTAATATACGTAAATGTGAGATTGGTGCTGAATGATCCTAATTAAATATTAAAAAAATGGAAAAAAAAAATTAATCATTAATAATATTCTCACAGTAAATTCTGCAACAATTTCTCCCATTTCATTGTCATAAACTTTAATTGTTGTATCTTTAGAACCTGACAATGAAAATAAATATGAATGTGACAGTGCAACTTGTGTAACAGGTCCGCGATGATCAATAATGTGTCCTGTGAATTCACCATCAACTAAATTAAATAATCGAACACTACCAGCTGCACAACCAGCTATAGCCGCATCACCTTCACGTGATATTGATAATGCTGTTATATAATCTGTTGATGATAATGAATCATCTGTATGAAAACCAGTAAATTGTTGTTTTATATTTAAAACATGTATTGCATTCTAAAAAACAACAAAATAAATTTTTACTATTGAAATAAAAGAAAAATTAAATTAAATACTTCAGATGCAGAAAAAAGAAAACAATCATCAATTGATGTATAAAGGTCATTAACAGCTGCATCATGCTGTTTTAATGATCGAAGAAGTACACGTGAACGTAAATTATAAACATAAATATATCCATTATTACAACCAACATAACAACATATAGAATCATTTGACATTGAAAGACTTGTTATTTCTGATGTATGTCCTTCGAGATTATGTACATCACTTCCAGTAACAAGAGATTTAACTTGAACTGTTGTATTCTCACATGCAACTACTATGAAGGTATCGTCTGATGATATAATCATATGTTTTATTGGTGAACCAATTGTATCAATTATATCGAGTAATTGCATTCCACGAAAAGTCCATCGTTTAATTGTTTGATCACGTGAAGCTAAAAATAAAGGGGTGTATATTGAAACAATGAACTTTTCCGGAGCTAATTTATATATGTTAAGTTAGTTACTCTAGATATTCTGAAAAAATTCACACTAGAGACCTTTATGTGGAGAAATCATCGATAAAAATCTACCGTTAAAAAGAAAATCGATTTGTACTTCATGTATTTCAGCTGAAAAAAAAACTCCGGATTGAGGTATTATTGTTAAAAAACTGAATAGTACATTTTATAGACAGCTACTAAGACTAACAATTTTCTGTTCAAAGGTTTATTTCTAAACATTCTTAGGTTTTTCAAAAAAATTGATTTACTTTTTGTTAGCGATGCGACAGAATATGACAAAGTCTTCTTATAACCAAATGAGAAATTTAGAAGCAATTTTAATCAGTACAAATCCTTCTTCAGAATCTTTGGATGATGTTAAGACAAAAATTTTGTTTAGGATCCATAGAAAAATGGTTTTTCAGAGGAATATTTTTGGAGTTCGATCTTACGGAAAACTTTACCTTAGATACGTTCATGTTTTAAAGTCTATCCTGAAGTTTTCAAATGTTTTCTCGTATGGTTAGAAAGATATTCGCTGATTACTTTTTTTAATCAATAGTCAAGTGAAACAGCTAACATATTTACATAGTTTTATGGTAAAAAAATTTATTCAGAAAAATAATCCTTGTAAAGGATTAAGGTTAAATGAAAGTTGAGTATGTTTCCTTCTGTCTGAAACGGCCTATATATATATAATTTTTGATTTTTATTAATTAAATAACAAACCAGAAATTAATAAAGCATCATCTTGTGTAAGTGCAATCGCAGTAACAGCATCTGTATGTTGTTCAATTGAATGTTCGATTTCACCTGTTTCAAGACGAAATACAATAATTAATCGATCACGTGAGCCTGTGACAATTTGTTCACTATTGTGTGAAATTGTCATACAAAGTAATTCACCTTGATGAATTCTATATAAAAAAATCATATTTTATTGTGGTTTATGTTTTTTTTTGTAAAGGACTGTGTCGCATTAGGTGATCTATTCAGAATTGAGAAATCATATCGATCGAAAGTATTTATAAGAAATTTTTCTGATATACAGTTTTGTGGAGCTTTTCACATGCTACAAGTTCATGTATTTAACATGTTGGACAGGCAGAAGCGTGGTTTTTCAATGATTGGCGACCGCTTTTCACTAAGGATGAGTCCTCGTGTCATCAACAGTATCGATCATAAAAGATGTGATCAGATGCTGAAAATTATTTTTGATGTAGCTTTACACAGCACATTATTTCGAACTTCTTCAAGATAAGCGCATGATGCTCAAAATAGCTTTGCATTGATAAATTTTTATCAATTTTCTTCTTTTAAGACTACATTTCAAAATTTTGCCTATTAAAAGTGAACTCTGTTACAAAACAAACATGATATTCGATATCAGCATAACAAACTGCATTGAGTTGCTTATATTTTTAACTAAATTTTTTTTGCGTTAAAGTTCGACCCATGGGAGACCACAGGACGATATTCAAGAACAAATAGTCGAGGAAAAGTATTGGTTGAATTTCGATGGAAAAAATATTCAGTTAAAATATAAACTTTTCAAGGCAGTTTTTTATGTCGATTTTGAATCTCATGTTTATTTCGCAACGGAATCAACTTCTAATAGTCAAAATATCGAAATACAGTATTAAAAGAAGAGAATTGATTTAAGATTTATCAATATAAGCCTACTTTGGGCATCATGCACTCATCTTGAAGAAGTTTCAAACAGTATGTTGTGTAATGCTACATCGCGGAGAGTTTCTGGCGTCTAGTAGTATCTTCTATGATCGACACTATTGAAGAAACCGAAGCTCAACATTAGTGAAAAACTGTACTAAATCATGAATATGAAAAGAATCTTACAAACACTCTCGATTGATATAAAGTACCACAATGATTAGTGACTGATCATGCTTTGGATGCATACTCAAACGACTTATTCTACAATATGGTAAATATGATTTCTCAATTCTGAATAAATCATCTAATCCGACCGAGTCCTTTATTTTAAATTTTTACCTGTAACTATTTTCTAATTCACCAGAATTTAAATTAAATAATTTGATTGTATGATCCGTTGATGACGATACTAAATATTTACTATTATGTGTCAATTGAATAGATGTTATCAATGATGTATGACCTAAATAAAACGACAAAAAGAAAATTTTATTATATATTCCTATTTTAAACATAGTCATACCAGTAAATTTTTTAACAAGTTTTTTTGATGGTATATGATACATCGCTACTTCATTTGAACGTGTTGTAGAAAAAATATGTTGATTAAATGTTGTTGGTACTATTTTAAATGCTCCATCATTACATGGTAATACAGTTATAATTAATGGTGGAGTTGTGGATATCCATGATGATAATGGAACAAATATTGGTATATTACATGATTCACACCAATTATGTGCTTGAACAAATAATGATTCAATATGTTCATTATAATGATGTTTTATATTTTTTAAACGTAAAATTGATTCACCAGCAAGTAAAATAGGATCATTTGTAACAATACTAACAATATTTTTTAATATTGTTTGAACAATAAGAACATCAACATCAAGAATATTACTACAAACTATATCAATTTCCCATAATAATTGTTCAATAGATAAACCATGAATTTTAGCTAATAGATACTCAAAACAACATAGTGTATGTTCTTTTAAACGATCAATATCACCTTAAAAACAAAAGCAAACAAAAGATAACAATGAGATTTATTATGAATATTTGATTAAGAAAAAAAAACTGATTACCAGAATGCATTAATTGATACCATAATTCACCTAATCGTCGATAATTATAAGCTGTTTCGGAATAGAGAAGCGGTTGTTGTAAGATAAAACGACGACCATTATCTCCTCTGTAAATAAAAAGTTGTAAGGAGACTTACTTAAAATGATATCAGAAATAATAAATCAGAAAAATTTATCTCGATTCAGGTTATTACTCAAAGATTTATACATTTATTTCGTGTTTAAAGAGTAAAGTAAATTTGAACGAGTTTTATTGTTTCTAAACGAATAAAAATATTAAAGTATCGTTTACACCTTAGAACTGATATTCTGAAAAGATATATTAGGAATTTACTAGAAGAAACTTAATCATTGAATTAATATTTTTAGAGATTTCTGCGTTTTCTTGTCAGCCTGTTTGTTTTGTAAAACTATAGCTTGCATTTTCACAAAAAATATTACGAGGTTACGATACACTTTCGAAATTTCTTCGTGTTAAATTTTCATAATGTAAATTTCCATATAGAGAAGACATATATATACTGGATAATCAATGTAAATGCTTATTACATATGTCTGTGTCTTATCAAGTTTTACACGAGAAAATTACGAAGTTCCTAAAACTTGAACAATCTATTCATGAAGAAAAAAAGAGCATTCCATTGGTGCTTTTATAGAAAATTTCGATACGATGTTTCATCCTTTTAATCAACTCTTGAAATATCTTTTCATTTGAAACAAGTAGTATGAAGTGCATATTTCTGGTTATTACAATAGCCCAATTATTGTATCTGAGTATAAGACTTGCCTATCTTGAACATAGCGAATGAGGGAACTTCCTCTAGGTGCCACATGGCTTTTCGATCGAGACAATGTTCATTGAATAAGTTCTGATAAATAATAGAAAAGTTTAAGATTGTTTGGTTTTTCGAGCCTTTGTTCTCGAATGGATTTTCAAACAAAAAACTATGGTTCTCCTCAGATCACATGAAAAATCGACTTTCACATTTCAACTTCAAACTTTGCACGAACAAAGTTCTTAATGAAACCAGTTGATTGTGAAAGTTTTAGGATTTCTAGTATTTTCTTTGTGGCAATGTAAATATGTACAAACATAATATGCTTTTACACGTGGGAGAATTTTGAATATTCAATATCTTAGGATAGAAAATACTAGAAAAGTTATGACTTTCTCAATGAACTAATCTGATTGAGAGTATTGTTCGTGCAAAGTTTGAAGTCAAAACTCAAAAGTCGATTTTTCTAAGTGATTTAAAGAGAGTGATAGTGTTTTTGTTGAAAAACACAGCGAAATTTCAATATCTGAAGAACGAAGGTCTAAAAAATCGAAACATTCTAGACTTTCCCATGACTCATCAAATCAGCATCGTCTCAGTCAAAAAGTGATTTGATACTTGGAGAGGTTCCTTTGTAAATTAATAATATTTTTTGTGCGACGTTCACATTATCATGATAGAACTTCAAATGACGTGTCGGCAAGAACACTCATGTGCTTAATCAATTTTCCATCTAGAATTTTAAAACTTTAGTACATCTATAGATAGCATCAATCAATTCTGTAGAAAGTACTATTCAACAAAAAGATGCTTCAGCTGTAGTAAAAAAAAAATGCTAAACATCGTTTGTTTTTTTTTTGTGTCGATATCTGCTTAAAATCCTTAGAGTACTTTTTTCCTGTGATGATAATCATTTTCGAATATGGCTCTGATTTAACATGAAAACAGTGAAACTATGCTTCATAGTCAATGATAATATAAACTAAAGACGTACACATCTGCCAAACCTCGACAAAAAATCCAGGACATTATGAACAAGTATAATTATATTAATAACCAAAACTGTGTACTCCGTATCTCTTGTTAGATATGAAAGAATATCTTACGAGTTGACTAAAAGGATGAAACTTCATATCAAACATCATGGTAACTAACTGGAATATTTTCTTTAGATAAGCCAACGATATGTCTTTTTTCATGAATAAATTTGTCAAATAGCACGACCTTTTTGGCATCGGTAATTATCTGGCTAACAACCTCAAGTCAATTAGGTGAACAATGTGCTGTATATAAATGCTTATCACCAATTCAAAATAGAATAGAACACAAAATAAAGATTTACTTATTTACTATCAAACTTTTTCTTAATTAATATTTTCATGAACATCTTCTATTTTAGAATAAAAAATAATATCTTATATAGTAGTGGACAAAATTATAAGAACAAGGTATTTTTGATTTTTTTCTGGTGCACTACATATCTATCTCAAACCTAAATGGTGATTTGGATAGGCAATAAGATGCTCAATCAGGGATACTATACATCACATTTTCATAGATGAATTAAGAGACAAAAGGTCCCAAAAACTAAAAACTGGGATTTGCGAAGTACCAGAAGGATTCGTTAGAGGCATTTTTCAACAGTACCATATTGTAGAGCGTAACATTCTCAGCAAAATGAATGATCACCGCATTTTCTACGGTCTTTTTTTGCAAAGTTACAAGCATCACAAAAAATGAAAAATTATGAAGTTTTGCAAAAAAAACACTGAAAAACGGCTCAAAAGTTCTATGTTTCATTTTTTGTGATGCTTCTAACTTTACAAGAAAAGATCGTAGAAAATACGGCGACCCTTCATTTTGCTCAGTATTGTGTACTCTATAAGATGGTACTGTTCAAAAATGCCTCTAAAGAATGCTTCTGCGACTTGAAAAATTCTGGTTTTTGGTTTTTAGGACTTTTTATTTCTTAATCCATCTGTGAAAATGTGGCATATGGTACCCCTGATTGAGCACCTTACTGCCTATCCAAATTACTATTTGGGTTTGAGATAGATATATAGTATACTAGAAGAAAATCAAAAATACTTTGTTCTTATAATTGTGTCTACTACTGTATAGACGGAGCGAGGCCGGTAGCAAAAAATTCTCCTCGTTTCGGTTTTCGTTATCAACTAGAGACTATTAGTACTTATTCGATATAATTTTTAATGTTATATCTTGCGGAGCATAATACAGTTAAAAAGATCCATACGAAATTTTCTTTTTTTCTTGTTATGATATAATACCTGATTTGGATATTTCGATTCATATCAACTAATGGTTTTGATTCAATAAAAGCTTCAAGAAAATAATTTGCAATATCTCGATGTGCAAAACGAATATCTTCAACTTTTTTTAAATATTTTTGTTTCATAAGTCGTCGAATAAATGAATGACTCCAACACATAACAATTTTTAAATCAAAATATTTTACAGATAAAAGTGGACCTAAACACACATATATAAATATATAAATCAAATGAAACAGAAGGATTTATTTCTAATTTACCTAATGTATATTTAAAAGCAATCCATAACGATGACGGAAAACGTAAATGTTTTGGTAAATCTTTTTGAAAATATTCTAAAAAAAAGTCATTATTACATGATAATATATCAATTAATTCAAGTTCATGAATGGCTGATTGTGATGAACTTATATAATTAAATACACAAGCACAAATTTTTGAGCCAAATTTTCTTTCGCAATGATCTTTAAAAAAACAAATGCAAAATTATATATTCTTGATTATTAATAAGAAAAAAAACAACAACTTTTACCTATATATGTATGAAATATTTCTTCCATATTTAATTCTGTTAAATCTAATTTTTTTTTATGTTGTGATAAATAACCAAAATAACTTTCATTTAAAACAAGACGTAGAAGAAAAAATATTTGCGGTTGTTTATCTATTTGTTGATATATACATTTTGAAAGAGCTTTTAATACAGAATCTGTTACATTTCGTCTTATTAAATTTAATTCGGATTTAATATATAAAGTTAAATCAGAAATATTAATTGTTTCATTTGTAAATGGTAATTCAATAATACATTCATCTTTTTCAATTCGTTCGATCATTTCACGTATTTGAGTATCACTATGAGGATATGAATGAATATTCCGACTAACAGATAATATTACATAAACCTAAAGAAAATTTTTATAAATTAGATTTTTTCTGTTGTTTATTATTTTGTCAAAGCTTTTACTAAACGAACTGAAAATGTTAAGAAGCATAAAATCTATGTCAAATTAAAAGTTCTAATGAGAAAATTAATCCATATGAGATTAACAGTCATGCTATAATACTCATCTTTTATAATATAAAAAACTATTAGAGACCTTTAGGCTTTGAATGACTTGTGATGCTTCCGACTGAAAAAAATATTAAAAGACATATTCATGCATCCCTGTGGCACGCCAGAAGTTCATTAAAAGAAAAAGCTATGACTTTCTTTCTTCACTATATCTCTGTTTAGTTCATCATTAATCACAGAATTGTCAAGACCAAAGATTGTCTTTCATTGTAACATAGACGCCTACAGATTTCAATAATATAACGCGAATGTTGCTAGTACTGAGAACTTCTACATCTTAACGCATCATTTGCATTTATATTAAAAATATTCATTAAAGTCAGTCATTTGTTATTAATCTTAAAAATAGATCTCCATAATCTTAGATTTACAGATATCTCAGATGGACTTGTTAAAGTTGAAATTTGATATGTTGTTAATTTAATCATTTAATACGTTCAATAAAACAAGTCAAGTTTATGTTATTCAGATTATTTATTGGACAAGAAAATGAATAGATCTATTTCCATGTACTCAAAGGGTTTACTCAATAAGCATGACATAATCAAACAATGTAAAAAAACATCTTTGAACAGAATCTTGACTACTTTTGAAACTTGTCACCTCTAACAAAGACAAAATCTTCTTTTTTTCTTTTCTATGTAATCCTACTAAAATTTAATATTTTAACCATACCAAAGATTATAAAACATTTCTATGATCAAAAAAGAAAAAAGAGAAAATGATTAAATACTTTAGGAGGAAGTGATTGAAGTAATGTTTGATAATAAACAACTGATGATGCAAATTGACTTGGCGGTGTTGCTTCTTCAATACCATCAATCATAATTATAATTGGTTTTTGATTATCTGATAAAGTTTTTAAAACAGTTTGATAATATTCCATATAATTAAGCTGTTGATCATTGATAAATGTTGGTGCATTTTGTAATGTTTGCATTTGTGTACATATTGAAGTAAATATTTCTGTTATATTTCGTGATCTTGATGTTAAATTAAAATAACGTATTATACATTGAGCATTTTTTCCTAATATATTTAATAGATAATGAACTAATTTTGTACATAATAAAGTTTTTCCTGATGCTCGGCTACCAATAATAATTAATGGATGATGATCATTTGTATTAGCTGATGATAACCATTGTTTAAATGACTGATTATTTTCAATAAAATTTTCAAAACCTAAACATGTATATGATGATAATTTTGAATAATGTGTTAACTGTATAAGTGTTTCATTATATAAAATTTTTTCATTATATTTGAAATGATTCGATATTGATAAATCAATATAACGTTCACATAATGATTTAATACGTAAAAATATAGCTGCATTTAATGTACGTAAATAACGTTGATAATCTGTATCATCTAATTGAAATTCTCCATTGTCTTTCCATGATACATTAAGTACTATTCGATTATCTTCCATTTTTAAATTATTATCATCATCATTTATTGATAATTTTTGTGTTATAGATTCACGAAAACGTTTTAATTTTTCTTGACGAATTTTATCCAAACGATTAGTGCCGTTTAGTAAATCAATATATGCTTCATTACCTTTACATTTTTCATTTACACCTAAAAAAACTTGGAAATTACTATATATATTTATAAAAAAAAAAGTCTTTAATCCATTCGAAGCTATGTGAGCCACCGGTGGCTTACACTCAAGAGTAGTTCAAGAGCTCATTTAAGTGCAGGAAAAATTTGATATCTCTGCCATACTTTGGCCAAAGAGGCTGATTCTTTTATCACTGATAAAGGAATGTTCATAGCTTATAGTCATAAGAGAAACGTTGATAAAATCTGTTTTGAAGTATTATAACTATCATAAATAAAGAAATGAGATCTTTCATGAATTATGAAAAAGCAATATTCATATTGTCGTAAATGAGTTAAATATCTCGAGATAGACATACTCGCTTTCGTTGAAACTTTCAGGACTATCAAACGTACGTACAGACAAAACTTCAGGTTGAAACTCTTTGTTTTGGACTTTTCGACAATGTATGCCTCTCACTAAAAAGTTTCATTAGAATAGCCATAAACCATGAATCCTAATTCTTTTAAACTTGACTTAGTCTCACTAAGACCTACTCGTAGTCATATAATGAAGCAGAACGACATTCAACAGTTGGATTTTTATATTGAATCCTAAAACTTTTGTCAAAAATCTTTTCCTTTCATATTCATTATATAGAATCTTTCTTAATGTATAGGATTAATAATAATAATAGAGAAATTTACAACACTTTAACAAGAATAGTAAACTAGTTCTAAGTATAGAAAAGATTGTCATCATTTAAGAAACTTCCCTTTTCAGCATTTTTGGAGAATGGTTCATTAGAAAAATTTAAAAGCTTCAGAACAAAGTTGTCATCATCTGAAAGCTTCTGGGTGCTTTTCTGTATGAGGTATAGAGATCACCAAAACGGAAAGTGTGTCCACATTTTCTCAGCTATAATACATATGATATGATAAAATATTGCCTCTTTTGTAATAATAGACACTGTTTGAATTGTCTACTTCTTCTTTATCTTTTTCATGCTCAAAAATACATATTGTTTAGCGAAAGATTTTTGTTTTTGTAAACTCTGGCAACAACTAGCGATACATTAAATTTGGAAACAAAAGACAAGTAGGCCTTCTACATGTTTTCTAGTATAAGTAGAAAAAAGTTTCAGCTCGATTAGACGCGTGTACTATGGTTGAGAAATAGAGTCAATTATCCACTTTTTGTTCTATCAAAAATCTCAATTCTAAACGTTCAATTTTTCCGGCTATTATAGTTACGCATTACTTTTTTTGAGATATATCTAGTAGATAGAGAATACTTCAAAGCCAATATAGAGTAGAAAAGAATTCGGTAGCATGGAGGGATTTCTGTAATACCTTTGTTTTTGTTATGACACAGCACTATTTTTATTTAAGATCACTGAGTTTTCTAAATAACTTAAGAGACAATTGTATTAATAAGACGCTATTGTATGTTCATAATTACACATTGAAAACTATCTAACTATATATAGAGTTCATCAACGATAATCCTTATGAAAATGATCTTGATTATTTACAGAATGATACGCTTTAAATTTTAATTGACAGGCTTTTTCTCTTTCTTTTGTCAATCAATAGTAGTTTTTTACAATTGAATTAATCTTAGCAAACAAATAGATGATATCTTTTGTCATTTCCATTAGTCTATTAACTAGGTTAGTTGAAAATTTAGAAAAAAAAAGAAAGTTAATAATGTCGAATGAAAATTTTAATTTGTTACTTATATTGAAATAATAATAAAAATTTCATTATCACTGAAATTAAATAGTACTAGTCTTTAACGTTAAACGGAAAAGATTTTTAATAATTTTTTTTTTCTTAGAAGTCCATTAATATTTTAAAAGATAGAAAAACACCATCAGCTTTCATTCTGTTACACACACTGAATAAAATGTCATGATAATAAAATCCATCAAACAGAAAAAAAAATTTATGCATGAATAAACTTAAACAGTTTTCAATAAGAGAAAAAATTATGTTTTGATGTAGCAAGAACTTTTTTCCCTTTCAAAATGACATATTCATATTACTAATTATTTATTCTATTAATAACTGAAATAATTAAGAGTATATCTTATCATCGAAGAAAAACGTATTCTGAACAGGAAATAAACTCTAAAGGTATACATACCATCAAATTGCCTTAAGATACACATGCAACCGGATGGAGATAGTTTAGCAGCGTAATTGAATAGTATCTCGACGCCGGAGAGTAATTGAATATCATATAGGGATGATATATCATGTTTAGATTTAAAATTTGACTTTTCATTTAGAACACTAATGAATAACTCAGCTAGTCCTGTGTATACATCATTCCATTCTTGACTTTCACGTGTACTTATATCATATGTTGATATTGTTCGTGATAATATATTTGAAAAATCTTCATCAGGATCTTTTAATTTATAAGCCGGCGGTAATAATTTATCATCTAGTAAATACCATCGTTCAAGCTGTTTAACATCTAATCAAGAGCAAAAAAGACAACTTTAAAAATAGGAGAAAAAAGATAATATACCTTTATTTAAATCCGATGCGACATTTTTTATATTATTAAAATCTGTTGTTGATAATTCAGCAGGTAACACAACAGAACCATATTTATTTCCAACAAATGCCTACAAATAAATGATTAAAATTTAATGTAAAATTCGTATTTTTTTCCGTAAATTAAAGCTTACTAGGAAAAATACACCAGTTGACGTTCTATAGGCATCATCAAGTTCTTTTATATAACGTAAGATATGATACGGATTTCGAGATAAATCAAGATCCCAGTTTAAATTACAATCAACAAAATTAACATAAATACCTTGTGTTAAAAAATACTGTTGTAATTTTGGTAAAGTTTCTGTGAGTAGTATATCACGTTCAATATCAAATTCTAAATAACAAATATTATTATTAGTTTTTCTCAAAATCTGTTTTTTTTTTGTGTATTACCATCTTTATTTGATACAATAAGAATTTTTATTTGATTCCAGATTAATTTTGGTAATTGGCTACCATGAAATAGTACTTTGCCTTGCATGACATTTGCATAGGCATCTGTATTGCTATTGTTATTTGGATGACCGGACACCATTCTTGACATAGAAATAAAGATTTGTTTTTCTTCTCGTCGTTAACTATGATACCATTTGTCTGTCACGTTTGAAACTATGAGAAAAAAAAGGAGAAAAGAAAACGTGATGTTGAGATTTTCCAAAATGATTTCTAAGATTATCAATCAAAGTCACACAAAAAGAACATTCATGTTAAAGAAAAAAGGTCTTGTAAATTTATGAACTTTTTTTTCTGCTTCTTTTTTTTATATAAGAAAAAAACAATATGAACTGATGATGTTATTCTTCTATTTTGATGGTCGTTACTCTTTTCTTTTCCTCTCTTCTGTGATAGACAACATTTACTTCGTTTTTTTTTTTAGTTGAATGTATCTGACAGATCCCAAGTGTATCATTAATCAAGATTCCAGAAAAGAACACTGTGACAATGTGTCACTTCTACATTTATGGGCGGAAATGAAGAGAAAAAAATCCCGGTAACGGAAAAAACGAATTTGTTTATATCTGTCTATATGAATAATAGTTGTTATTGTCGTGATGATAGACTGTTAATTGTATATTTTTCTCATGTTTTTATTAACTTTACTCAATCAAGCGATTTCTTATTCTTTTCTGATAGTCATATACTAGGTCTCAAGAGACTCTATGCTTTGTTCTAAATAGCAAACAGGGTACTCTCGAGTGTGCAGTACGTATGGCAAGAATGTAAGGCTTAGCGGGAAGTTAATCACGAAACTATTGAACATTATTGAAGACGGTAGTAGATGAATAATGGCAACAAAATTTAGATGAGTATATATTATTCCTCTCCCGTTACCAACATCCCTCATTTGTCTCTCTTCTATCTTCTTCTGACGTATCTCTCTTTTTCTTTTAAAATAGTCAGTCTTTGTCACTCCGTTTTTTTCCATTATTAACATCTCCGGAGCACAGTTGATAAGTAGCAGCAGCATAAGCTCTAACTTGAAGACAAAGTAGACGTTTTTATCCTGTGTTTGATTCGCATCTAACATTTTTTTTGCAGTTCTTCTCTCTTTCTCTTGTTTTTTTGTCTAGCGTCGATATGCAGAACGACATTGGTTACATGCGTGCACATTGATGTTGTCAATAGATAGGAACGGGAAAGTTCAAATGCTTACTACCTCTTATCAACATTGTATAGTAAATTGACGAAAATCGACACTATTTGTTGAAAGAAGTTTCTTATTTTCCTTTTATACTCCATCGAAACTGTTATGGTGTACTAGAGTGTGTAGAAAATAAATAGCAAGAGAATTCTTCTATCATACTACGCTCTTCTTTCTATCAAACGGATGAATCGATTATAATAGAAAATAGATACAACAGTATGACTCAATTATATACGTTTTTTAAAGAATTATTGTCGTTGTTACTGCCGCAACCACTAATGATGTCTTGGTTCTACCAAGCGTAGGAGAAAAAAAAGAAAAGAAATTTAATTATCATACTAGAAAAAAAATCGTCTATATTCATTTTGCGTCATTCAGTTCGGAAATACTGAAACAGTTTGGTTCCTTTGCATATATATATATATATATATATTATGAAACTCCAGGGCAGACTGAATCAAATTTGCCGAAAAAAGAACGAGCTTCATAAATAAGAAATTGTCCGTGCTAACATATATTACACTGGTGATTTTCTTAGCGCATTCGCATAAACTAAAATCATATTCTATTCTATAACACGCAAAGCACGTTCTGACTCTTTGTGCTGATTAGTATGATTGTTAAGAACAACAATCTCTATACGTTTTGCATATATATGTGTTTTGTACGGATGCAGTAGAAGCTAATCGAGTGTAATCAAGATCGAGACAGTAGAAAAGAATATGAAGCAACTCTGATTAAAATAAAAATATGCTTGGTTGAAATTTGTTTTTTCTTTATTTATCAAGCGAAAATAAAAGCAGCTTGTATTAATAAGAAGCTTAGTGAGATTCTATAGTAAACGATCTCGGGAAGTAGTGTCATCTTGAAAGAAACAATCGATATATTTATTTTCTTTACTATTCATTCATTCGTTTTCCATAATTTATATTGAAACAGAAAAAAAAATTAAATATATTAAAATTCTATTTATTTAATATTAATAAATATAAAATAATAGAACATCGAACATATTAATCTAAATTTTTAATTAGTATTATACATGAAAATTATAATTAGTCTTTTTATTCAACGAAAATTTTCATTTATAATAAAAAAAATAATTTTTATGATGACAAGCATATAAAGAAATGTTCTTATCTATTGAACAAAATCGATTTCGTGAAACTTTATGAAGCATATTCATGTTATGAATATAAAGATGTATTGAAGTTTTTATGATAATCTATAAAATGACTAACTACCAAGGAAAAAAAACACTTGAAAAACCAATTCTTGTGAATAATAATGTATATTATGAAAGCAATTATCTGTATCTATTTAACTAAATCATTCATATTGATATGAAATAAATTAAAAATAAAAGATTTTTAAAAGATATTGCATTTTAAAATTTTAATTATGTGTATAAGACGATAAGTTTTTTTAGACGTATGCTTGTTTTTCATTTTTCGAAATGTTACTATATAAATAAGTGTTTCTCCTCCACGGTTATGATCCGAGATAGTGTCATACTATTGGCTGAAATTGATGTAAGTTTAGATAAATAAATTCTTTGAGACAGGCAAAACAAGAAATTTTATTTGATAGCCATTATCAAAAGAAATTGAATGTATCATGTGCCTTAATACAGTTAATGATTCTCGGATGTGTATTCATTGTTCTGTTATTGTCTGTGCGAAATGCATTGAAGTATATTAATAAATAATCTTATTATTAATTTGAATAATTTATTATTATTATTTGTAGAGTTGGATTGATAAACAAAAATCGTGTCCGAAATGTTCGTAAGTCTGTATTTATTATGCGAATGTTGTCTTACTTTTCCTTATTTTAAAGTCATCCTGTTCAACAAACAGATTTTGTAAAATGTCGTCTAGCAGATAAATTAGTTGAATTTATTGAAATATCAAAATTAAATAGGTAACAAAAAAAAGGTTAAACTAATAGTTATTTTCTAATATTATTTATTTATAAATTAGTTGTTCTAATCATTCAAAAGAAACACCAAGAGTTTATTGTTCAACATGTAAAAAATATGTTTGTTTCAAATGTATTTTAATTAATGGTCAAGTAAGAAAAAAAGAATTTTTAGATCAATTTTTTCTTTAAAATGTTAAGTCTTTTTTAGCATATTGATCATGAGTATACATATATTGATGAAGACTATAAAAAAATCCTTAGACTTAATCATAAACTTCTTGGCTTCATTCGAAAAAGATGTAAAAATAATCAAGATAATCTTGCTGGTCTTGTAAGTTTAATTATCCGTAAAGAAAATAATTAGTTTCTTTTTATTAGGAATTAGCTATTCAAACATTACTTAATGATCACAGTGAAAATTTAAGGCATACTAATACATTTCAACAAACAACAGATTTATTAATCAAGGAAGCACAACATTTGTTCGATGATTATCAACGTAGATACCATCTATTTTTCTGACATATATGCATATAAATATAAACATATTTTTGTGTAGAGAAAAAACAAATCTGTATTGATGTGATAAAGATGGATGAATCGATTGTCAAAGATATCGAACAACGTCTTGATGAAAGCAAAAGTTTATCTGATCAAGAAGAAATCCTTCAAATACTTCAACAACATATTCCTTCAATTGTGGAATAGACAGAAAATGCTATATAATTTTTTTAAATTATATTGTATTTTGTTTTGTTAATGTGTTTTGCTATTTCTATTTAGAAATAAATCATTAGATAGTATCAGAAATTATTTTTCTGTAAATTGATAATAGACTGTCTGAATTGATAATAACAGCGTTGCCTTTTTTTTCCTATAATACTTTTTCTAATTTTCTATATTTTCTAGGAAGTCACATAAAATGCCTATAAAATAATTTGATAGGAATTAAAGTATTTTTTTTCAAATAGCTTATAATTGAAACAACACAAATGTAAGATTTTTATCATTGACAAGGAAAATTAAGACCGTAACGAATTATATATATAAGATTTCTTTTTCTATGGAAAGTTTTTTCAGAAAAACAACTTTCATATTCGAATTAAATTATCCATGAATTCTGGATTCGCTAAAGCTAAAACTAGATGCTTTAAAACATATTGTAGGTCTTTAATTATAGGGTTACATGTGTTCTGGAAGTAGAAAAATCTGATTTTCCAAGCCTAAACAATATTTTAATTTCAAAAAGACGAATAGAAGATCTTGGGAAACTTCTTTAAAGATATTGTAGCTTATAATTCACCATATTTTTATCCCTACTTTTTAACAATTAAAATCGTCAATCTCTAATCTTGTTTTATGAAAAGTTATTTAAAACATATTTTTTCTTCTTCCATTATGAAATATCTAATATTAGTTAAGTGTTATTTGAAAAAGAAGAACATTTTAGAACTCAATCAAACTTTCTTTTTTTTCTGTTTAAGTCTCTCTCAAAAGAAATCAACTTTCGTGAAGAACATAAAAAATAGGATAAATGTATGCGAAAATAGTTTGAAGTCTGACATGGTTTTTATTTGGCATCTTGTTTTTTTCAAAAATTTCCGTCATTTTCTGCTTGAAAAATATATTTTTTCAGATAAAGTTGAAAATCTTTCTCGCTTTTTCTCTGTTTTTGTTCTTTCGATCAGGCATCCCAGAATTCTCGAAAGAGCTCCATTGTAGCTTATTGCTTTTTATTTTGTCTGAAAGATGATGTCAATACGTACGGCATGATGTAGTTCGGTCTTTATTAGCTAAGTTTTATTACTATTTTGTAAAGTACACTTTAATAATTAGAACGTTCTTTTTTGAGAAATTTAACGTCTCTTCCTTTTCACAGCAAGAATCTTGAAAAAGAAAGCTCTGTCATATTGTACATCCTTACTTGCTCTTTCAAACTAAAACAGATTAAGTCTATGGAATGAAGATCTACAGAGAATTTTCGGTCATCAAATGAGCTATTTTTAGCCCTTGCTAGTTGAATATCTTCCGGAAACATCATGGAATAGAGATGAAGATTTTATCATAGCATATTTACTACAACTTCAACATATCCTGAAAATTTCATCCGATTTAGATGTGCTTGTGCCAAGATCGATTTTTGAAGAGAGTCTCAAAACAATTGAATTTAGGTTGTAGAAAGAAATGATTTTCATAAAGATATTTAAGTTATTAAAAACGAATGTAAACTATTGAATTTAAGTATTTTAATTATATCGATCGAAATAAATGATTAACATAAGTTTATACATTTGTTCATTTTTAATAAAAATATACGAAATTAGTTGTCATACAAAGAAGAAAACTAACGAGAGAACCTATTTCGATTTCAGTGGCTGCTGCCTATAAATACTACATAGTGTTCTAATCAAGACTCTAAAAGTATTTGGGTTCCTATGCGAATTTGACTAAGCTATCGAATTTCTTTATTAGAGGTTCCAGATTTTCAGAAAACTCACATTTTCAAATTTTGATCTGAAACTTTTCACATATAGAGAACTCATCTTAGACTAGCCACATTAAAAAATTTCACATGTTTTCAACAAAATCTCTTCGAGATATGAGACTTTCAAGATAAGATCCTTTTTCATAAATAGTGCATGCAACATGCGTTTTTTCAAAACTTCGGAATTTTTTTTTATGGAAGCTAGTCTAGTTAAGTTTCATATGTGCACAAAGGTTCAAATCGAAGTTCGAAAATACGAGTTTTCCGAAAACCTAGGTGTTCAGAAAACAGACATATTAAAAATTTGATAGTTTAGTCAAATACCAATATGAACCTAAATTCTTTTAAGATTTTTATTAGAACTCTATATAATATCTGCATACAAAATAATTCATTGAAGTCGAAAGAGAACATCTGAAGAGATTCTCTCGTAAGCAATTAATTTAGATATCTACGGTTTCTACTTTCACTTCTTGTTTTTTACTTGAGCAGGATGTTTTTTGATTACATTCGTGTTTTATACAACATACTAAACCACCAAGTATAATGAATAAAGCTGAAAGACAACCTGTAATAAACCAAATTAAGTATGATATTGTTCCTTCACAATGAGCAGTATGTTGTGTAGAACAAGTTTTCGACGGTTCAGGTGATTCAAGTCTTAATGTACAATCCCAAGCATCATGAGCAGATTCTATTAGAATATTTATATAACAATTATTACAAGTAATTATTTTATTAAAATAACGATGTTTTAAATCAACATCTGTGTAAAGTGCAATAGATGTTTTTAATGGATTTTGGCAATGTTTTGATATTGAAATATTAAAATAAATTGTATCATCTGTACAAAATGAATCAACAATGCATACTTCACATGATTTTGTTTGTTTTCGTGTACTGGTTTGATCAAAGATAATAAAAATTCCATAAAGTCGAAGAAAGTTAATCATGACGAGCATATCAAACTAATGCATTTGTGTTTTATACTTCTTGAACCTTTTTGTCTTGTTCTTATCTTAACAACGAAAAAGGTGTTCTTCATTATAATTTAATTCGTACTCATATTTAGAAAAGTTTGCTGTCTCATCTTCGTTGCATGGTAAAACATTTTTGACAGAATCAACATAATTTGTAGCTTCAAATAGTGTTGAATATGAATCAATAGGATTTATCCAAAGACATTCAGGTTTTTTATTATCATGTTTTGTAGATTTAGGTCGCCAACGAGCAATAGGAACAAAACCTTTGTCCAAATGATTTCCATCCAATGGATAAGAGGAATGTTGTTCCTTTGAAGCCTTTTCAAAAGGATCTAGGCATTAAAAAAAGATTCATTGAAAATTACGTTACATCATTAAGAAAAAAGTCAAATTATATTCTCAGATTAAATTCATTAAATATAATCGGATTTCACAAAGTTCATAGATAAGTGTTAACGTATTTACACTGGGATGCATCAGCACCAGCACAATAAGTAAGAGTAGATAATCCATATGAATCTGTCAACATAACTGTCAGCAGTATAATTTGTCCCCTGGATGGAACTGACATTAATACATGCCGAGTAGTATTCCGCGTGACCGTGACCTCAATTCGGTTACGGGTATTCAAATAGGCACATATCCTGTGTCTGTGTTAATTGTATTAGGTTTTATCACAATACAAACAATTTCATATTCTTAACTTATGAAGAAAAGTTATTCATTTTTTCTGAATCAAAATAACTTTCATAGGGGAAATTGTAGCTCAAGAAAATTTAAAATTTTTCTAGACCAAATCAAAACTTAAGAGTAAAACTTAGGTCAAAGTTTTATTTCTAAGAAAATTTTAAAGTTTTTCCCAATGCTAATTTCCCTTGTGACAATAACATTACAACAAGTTCAGAACATAATAACAGTATATAATTTGTTACAAATACAGTTAAACGGAAACATACTTATATATTACTATTAGAGTTGTGTGGGACCGAAAATAAAACTACCGGGATCGAGACTCAAATTTATTGTAACACATTCTATTATTTAAAGCAAACTATCTTATAAATCACATAAATCAGAACATAATTCAAGAGAGACGGCTCAGAAAAGTGTTAGTCGTTCACTAAAATATCAAAAACGAGTATTGAAGAACTAATTTAGATATAATAAGAATAAGTTCTGGAATAGTCTATTCTAGATCAGAACCAGGATCCGACAATATAAAATTAGCGGCGCTGACGCTCGAAAAACTAAAAACATCGGAACTAAATCAGGGCTACACCAGGTTTTCTAGAACTATGACTGAAATCAATACATAAAAAGTTATCGGTATCAGAACTAAAAACTTGATGCCGCCGGGCACTAATTCCAAGTGTCACATCTCGACATGTGCGAGGTCAACATTTTTTTGGTCTCGGTCCCAATGAGACTGGTATTTTCCCGGTCTGCACATGTCTACTCAGGTGCAACAGTTCCTGAAAACATAGATAAAGTTCTACTGACCTAAAATGATTTTGTGAATCAAATCAGAAAAGATCATCAGACGAGACAGCTTCTCCATCATGTACAGTGCACGTCAAAAGTCTGATCTAATTTTTTATTTTGAGTCGTGTATTAAAACTACACAACATTAATTTAATTCAATTAATATGTTTGGATAGCAGAGATCGAGTACTATATGTATATACCTGTTCAATTCGAAGAACTCATGAATATGAAATACCATAAGAAAAACAAACTTCAGTACTACGAAAGAAATGACATAAAAAACGTCAAAATGATATTGTTGTTATAGGATACTTCCATCGTCAGTCAACCACGAAAAACACAAAGTATTCAGAAAATTTTACATTCTATCAGACTTTGTAGAGCTTTTTTCACTTGTTGATCATTTTGGTAAGAAAATATTTTGAATTACATCGAGAAATGACGATATTATGGTCAAAATATTAAACACTGTGAAAGACTGGACCTTCCAAAATGTTTGCAACATTGTTTAGCGAATCTCTCTGCACAGACAAATGATAAAATCTTGGTTTTTTTTTCAAAAGATGTGCCACCGAAAGCTCTATAAAAGTCATATAAACAAATTCCTATTTCACAACAAAAAGTCTTCCAAACATTTTGATTATCATTTTGTAGTTTTTCATGTCATTTTTTTCTTAGTACTAAAGTGTGTTTTTCTTATTGTATTTCATATTCATGAGTTCTTCGAATTGAACAGGTGTAGACATGAAGTACTTAATCTCTACTATCAAAACATATAATTGAATTAAATTAATGTTGTGTAGTTTTTATACACGCCTCAAAACAAAAAATTTGAATCAGACTTTTGATGCGCACTGTATTCCAAATAAAAGTGTATTATCAAAGGATTTATTATAATCATGTCTACAAATTGGAAAGGACAATTATCTCGATATGATGAAGCAAGGTCCAATGAACAAATACAATTAGTGAAGACATATTTTCGTGTTCATAATGATGAAACTAATTATTTCTTTTGTCATATAAGCGTGTATATACTTGTGATTTATTTATTCATTAAGATTTAATATTTACAGATTTTATTTGTACTTATGTTTTCTTATTTATCATAATGTGTTTTTCTATTTTACAATATATTAGCATGAAAATAATAAACTGAGTTATGATGTACGAAAAAGTTCACTTGAAAAGTCACAGAGTCAAATATATCATATACTTTCGAATTCTGTAGTTCTGCTCCTGCAGATGTCTAGTTGCTCTACATGACAAGTGATACATATATGACTCACATGCTAGGGTAGATCATAAGAATGGCATGCAAGTCAATGAAGAACTTCATCCAAACATCAATTAAACAATATTTCTTCCACTTGAACTAACCTATTTTCGTATCGAGCGGTGTAAATGCTTGTGGTGCTGACTTTGTTGGTACTGAAGATGGTTGCTCATCTTTATCTGTTAATTGTGAATTACTGGAAGGTTTTTTACGTCTTTTTGATTTCGAGTTTTTATTAGTTCTTGTTCTTCTTTTCTTTTTTCGTTTTTTAGATTTTGATCGTTGATTTGATTTTTTTCTGTTCTTTGATTGAGATGATCTTTTTCTTTTCGATTTGCTTGAACTTCTTTTCTAATGAATGAAAATATTCATTCCATTATTCATTTCTCATTATAATTATACAAACAATTTTTCTTCTTGATCGTCTACGACGTTTAGAAGCATTCTCATTCATTGTCATATCAATATTAATTTTTCTTTTTCGCTTACGATCCATCCAAAATTTGAATAACAAATATCCGAAAACTACACATGACAAACTTCCAGTCAATAGAAGAATAAGAATTCCTAACATTCATTTACCCGCCATTAAACATTCATATAAATCGTCTTTAGTTATTCGTCCTTTTTTTTCAACATAATATCATCAGGAAGCAAAAAACGAGAGAGAGAGCAAAAAAGAAAAATGTTCAAATGACCACAAGAAGAACAACAGTGAAATCGAATAGTGAATACATTGATAAATTTTCTTTTGTCTATTTTATACAACAACAAAAAAAAGACAAGAAAAGAAAAGTAATCCACAACAACGGTTATGCAGTTTTAGAGAGAATAAACAAAGGAGACAATGACAAAAAAAAAAAGACAAAGCAACAGCAAAAAACTGTTCGATTAAGAGAGAATGTTTGAATAAGAGAAAAGAAAAAAAGAAAAAAAAAGGAAAATTCCTGAAGAAAACGCCTCATTCGGCAAATATGCTATTTTCATAGAAAATAGACCAAAAGAAAAAGAAAAAAAGCTTTATATGTATACACAAAACCAAAAGAATCCTTATCAATATGTTGGTTTGCTAATATGGACAGAAATACATGTGCAATAGCTACACATAACTTGATTTTGCATTTTATGTTTGATTTTATAATCGCTAGAGTGTCTGTTCTAATAAATACTTGTAGCAAAAAGAAAAGAAAAGAATAGTGTACTAGACTACATTGGAAAAGAAAAAAATAGCAGAGAGATCATGGCTGTTGTTTTGTCGATGGTTGCGGTTGTTGTTGTTCGAGAGATGGCTGTGTTGGTGGAGCATAGGAACGTATTATTGATTCATCTGAGACAGATATTGGATTAGCTCCAGGAAAATTAGCATAGCCAAAATTCTAGATGTATAATCAAAAAAGATTTGAATCCTTTGCTTTGTTTGTTATAAAAACTTACGGAAATATTCCACGTCGGTGCAAAAAGTTGAGGACTAATGGCAGTACCACTAGCAGCAAGAATTTGGGAAAGAAGTTCAAGACTAAGACCATTATTTGTCGGTACCCGTCCATTTTTTGCTAATGCATATGCAGCAGCAGCAGCTGTTGCTGTTACATCGATTTGTTCATATGATGTTGATGATGTTGACGTTGAAGATCCCGTTGTTGGAATTGCTGAAGAATTTGTTGACGTTGTTTGATGATGGGATAGAATATCAACTTCTGATGATATAACTTTTTTATTATTAGGTATTGTTGTTATATTTAATTTTTTATTTGTATTAAGAGTATTATTATTATTTGATGACTGTCGAAGTTGATTTTCAAGAAGTGATTGATGTGCTAATGAATTTGTTTGACGTGGTGATTTACTTTTTTTAATTGTTTGTTGACATGTATCATTATGTTGATTATTGGTGTTTATTGATAAACGTCTACGTGATGGTGATATTGCTTTTTGTTGTTGTAATTGTTGTTGAAGTTCTAATTCAGCTAGAAGTTTTTGTTGTTTAAGTTGTTGTTGTTCCTTACGTGGACTTGGTGGAACAGCAGGTAATACTACTGGTGGTGGTGGTGCTGCTGATGATGATGATGATGATGATGCAGATGGTAGTGGTGGTGATACTTGACTAATAGCTGCTGTTACTGTTGTTGCTGTTGTAGTAGGTGGAGGAATAGTATCATTAATTGGTAAAATTTCTGAAAGTCGACGTCGAAGATTAGCATTTGTAACACGAAGTGAATCTCGACGATGTTTTAGTTCTTCAAATTTTTTTTGTAATGAAGCATTCTCTGATTTAAATTGATATAAACAAGATAATAATGATGATACATCATGTGGCATTGTTTGTTGAAGTAGAAAATCACTTGACAGTTCCCATTCTTGTTCAAGAAATTCTTCTAATGTTTGTGGTGGAAATGTACGTTGTTGTTGATCAGTTGTTATTGATAATGTTGATGTATTTTGTAAAGGTCTTCGAGGATAAAAATCAATACGTGGTGTCGTTGTTGTTGCTGATGATGATGGAACACGACTACGTGATGTTTCTTCAGTTGTATCTGAAAAAAAAAAATTTTGTATTGATTAAATTTGATTTTGTTTTTTTTTTCTTTGTTTATGTTACCTAGAGAAAAACTTTGTTGTAGTTGTTCATCGGAATGTCCGCGTGGTTTAAAAACATCCGAATTAATTTGATTACCAAAATGATCACATGGATAATAGTGCGTTGAGCGAGACTTTAATTTAATTTCATTATCATTATCATTTTCGGATAGAGTCTTTGAAATATTTATTAATGTGTCATTTACTTTTTGTGGTTTCATATTATTATTTGTTGCAGATTTTGGTAATGGTCGTTTTATACCATTTGTTAATTGTTGTGCTAATAGGGTTTTTTTTGATGGTGGTCGACCAACAGGTCTCGGGCCACCTTCACTTGAATGTTGACGTTTCTTTCGTGGTTGTCCATCTTTATTTATTTTAATTGAAAGTCTACGTTTTTTATTTATTTCATAATCTTCATCATTATCATCGTCTCTAAAAAAAACGAAAGAGATAATTTTGTGTTTTTTGTATAAAAATAAAAATAATTTATTTTTTACTTGATTTTTGTAGTAATAGGTTTTTTTATGGAGCTTAATTTTATACTTGTCGATAATGTATCAGTTGAATGTCGTTGTTTTATAGAAGATTTATTATTATTATTATTATTATCATTCGAAGATGATGTTGGACATTGAGATGTGAAGACTTTTTCTTCGTTTGTTTTCGACGACGATTGATGATCATGATTTAGATTAGATGATTTTGAACTATCAGCTGTTTTTTCTCTATTACATAAAATAATTAAAAATAAATGAAAACATAATTATGTCAATTATTAATATAACACTGTGTGAAGAAAAGTATACAAGTTACAATAGTGTTCAAGAGAATCGAAATCTATGTTACAGAGAAAACTGAAATTCTCTTAACCATAGAATTGCTTGAGATGATACTTTGCATTTAAGATGAGACTTCAGCCGTTACGTGAGGCCTGTTGAGACTAGACAGGTGGATGTGGATCTTTGCTTCACTCACACTCTATAGTTTTAATTTGCTTGAGATTTTAACTACTTTTGTAACATATATTTAAAACTTCTATGTTACGTGAATACTTTTTGTTGTCAAGATACTGCACTTTGTCGAAATTGTTCAAACGAATGCCATGATCCTTCTCACAAAAACTGGTTTTCAAATTTTGATTAGAAACTTTTCACAGAGACAAACTAGAAAAGGTTTTTGTGAATTTTTCAGATCTTGTCGCTGTTTCTATCCTAAAATACAACTATAGTGATACTGTGTCTCTTACATTGCTGACATAAACCAGTAAATTTGATGCTCGTATTTCCAGGATAATAGCAAATCAAAAGATCTCAAAATCTGGTAATAAATTATTCTTGTTAAGGTTTGTCTCTATGCGAAGTTTCAAGTGAAATTTCGACAATCAATTTTTATGAGAGTAACTACGGTATTCGTTTAAAACCTACCGTACATTTGCAATATCTCCACAACAATCAGCTAAGAGTTCGAACTTCTCTTTTCAGGATATTCAAAACTGATTCGGATCTACATGATACACATATCCTCAACTCAAAAGTGATTTATTAGTTCAAAGACCGCCCTTGTGAGAGATCTTCTATTTCAACAAGAGTCTTTGCGTAGCGGACAGCTCCGTATAGTAGACACTTGACAAGTCTGAAAGCTTTGAAAACACCGCTATAATGAAAAAGTTTCTTTCTACGAAGAAACATTTTTCAAAAATTTTCTTTGCTCTCACAATAAAAGAAATCGCTTTATTTGGAATATATATATATATATATATTTGAAGAAACAAAACTACTATACGCAACTTTCTATTAAAAACAATTCGATTTCATCACTCATCGAGTAATTTTGATACTCTTGAAACTTTTTCATTTCGGAAACGCGTTGTAGTATAACTGAACTCAAACATTAACATATTGGAATAGATATATATTCAATGGTAACAGAAACAAAACCAATTGTATTATTCTCTATTGGTAAATAAATCACACAGCCTATGCATGAACTTCATGTTCTAATTTCCCAAACACAACAAACTTTTCTATAGCCAATAATTTTTGCAACACGCGTGTTGATACATATCGGTCCATTGTGCACCTCTGTCCTATACTATCGTTTCATAGAATATGATGGTCGTAAATAGCTATAAATAAACCCAGGACAAATAAGTACGATTGTAAACCACCATTTTTGATGGTTTTTTCGTCGTTTGGTAGGCACAATATTACGACTGTATTTCACAGGATGGTAAACGGTTGGATTCTCGATTTTCAAACTATTATTAACTGCATAACGGCAAGATAAAATACGACCGTAATACTGTGCTTACCAAACGTCATTTCATAGCTTTTTATGACTGCAAATTGTATGAAATAACAGTATAGATAACTGTTTTTTTTTCAAATCGGTGACTGCAATCATCGTCCTCGTGCGTTTAGTAGGCATAGTATTGCAAGGGTATTTTATCATGCTGTACGAAGTTGATAACGATCTGGAAATCAAGTATCCGATCATTTATAATTATCGTGAAATTTGATCGTGTAGAGACCGTGCTTATTTGACTCGGGATGAGAATGTTATAATCAGATGTTCAATATTAATCAATAAGATATTTTCTGGATTTTATTTTTTTATTCAAAGATAGTTTTGTTTATGAATTTATTATTTGATTGAAAAAAATCCTGAAAATATTTTTCTTGATTAATAAGATGAGCATATCTATGTAGTCCGAAATTTTCTATAATATATAATAAATCGAAGACAAACTTTATATCTGATATTGAAGAATCTGATTTGGTTGTCACTGTTGTTTTTTCTTTATCATCTGATTGATTAGGTAATGGCGGATGAAAATTTCGTTCGTCTTTATTTAATTGAACAAATTGTGAAAGATCATTAAGTGATCTATTATTGTTATTATTATTCATTTCATCATTTAATTTTGTTTTTTTTTGTAATGATGAATTCGATGATGATGATGATGATGATGAACGTGAATGACATTTTTGTTGTACAATCGGTGAATTCGGTGTTGATAATGATGATGATGATGATAATGATGAATTTGTATTTGAAGATGATTTTCGTTTTAACATATCCATACTATAAAAAGCACGTGAAACAGGTGTTTGTTGTTCATCACTTGTTGTTTGATTATTCGTATCATCTAATGTTGATGATGGTAGCAAATTTGTTTCACTAGCTGCTGCTTCAGCTGCAGCAGCAGCAACAAAATCAGATAATTGTGATGGACTGTCTTTTTCTTTTGAAAATAAATGCTGAAAAGCAAATGTAATATTTTATTTTAATAATAAAAGACTCTATTGGATACGTTGATCATTGTTCATTTGAAAAACTATCTATACGGTTTTCTTGAGCAATTCGTAGCCAATCGAATGTTATATAGGAAATTGCATTTTCATCAAGTTTTAAATGTGTTCAAATCAACTTGTATCCAATTTTTGTTTACAATTACTTCAATAGAGTTTTATCTGATCTATAATCGTGTATATCTCTAACAATAGCTTTCTTTCCGCCGAAAACATTATGATTTTTATTAGCTTCGTTAATCTTTGGTTTTTATGATATTTTAAATTATTCACTACTGCTCCTGCATACAAAGGCAATCAACCACACAACTTTCTCAGAGATTGAGTAACATCAAGTTCTATAAGTTTAACAACTATTTGTCTTCTGAATTGAAGCGTGTCATAGTCAAATCAGATAGTTAATGCCTCAAAAAGGTCAATTATTCGATTCCTAAGAACAGAAAACTATATTTGAGTGAATAAGTTTCTATCTATTAATAATAAGTTCATCATGCTCTATCATTTGACATATAAAGATGTTTCTAAAACGGGGAAAATTTTTTGCTTTCAGACTCATGAAGGGTAGTACAAGAATAGACTATTGCAAAGATTAGGTTTTATTTTATTTTGTTCTTTACGAATTTAGATTCTGACTAGCTGGATATGATTAGAATATAGAGTTTTATTTTATTTAATATATGTTCAGTCTCTTAGGAGAATTTAAAATGTTACATATCCTCATATCCTTCTTCAGATCTCTGAAAGAGAAAACTTTTTTCCATTTTCCAAAAGATCCATATATGTCAAATAATAGATCATGATGTGTTTATGATTAATTGATAGAAACTATTTCACTCAAAAAAAATATTTATCGCAAAACTCACGCACCTTTCTATTCTTATGAATATAATAATTGGCGTAGTTTTAGGTATTCAACGGTCGATGTGACCATGACATGTTTCAGTTCAGAGAAAGATCAACTGGTATATTTACAGAGCTTAGTGGTACTCAATTTCTGAGAAAGTTGTCTAGTTGGTTGCTTTTACTTTCAAGAGCAGTATCGAAGAATATCAAACGTAATAAAAGGTAAAAATTAACGAAACTAGTAAAAATCATATTGTTTTGGGTACGAAGAAAACTATTATTAGATATGCACGATTGAAGACCGGAAAAATCTCTATTGAAGTAACTTTAAACAAAATTTTATACACGTCAATTTGGAGATATAATGAGTTTTAATATTTATTCGTGTCACTCACAAATGCTATACTCGTATATATAGCTTCTCGGAATATTAAAATTTGATAAAAATATCTCTTATAGACCATTCTTCTAAACATGACGAGTTGCTCTACAAAACGATATAGGTGAATTTTCAAATGAAAGTGAATTGTTTTATCTGATAGGATCATTTTATTTTACTTGTCGTTTTAATTGTTCTATTGATGCTAAAGCATTCGGTGAATATTGAAAAGCTTGTATTTGTCGTATAAATTTCTAAAAAATAAAACAATAAAACAAAATACAAAAATAAAATTTTTCTTACAGAAAGTTTTGGACGATGTTGTTCACAATAAATTGGATATTGACAATTATTTTTTCTAACATCTTCACATAATAAACCATTTGCTTGTGCACATGTAACATGAAAGACTTGTGAACAATTTTTAAATGTACATCCACAACAAGCACCACTTGTTGCAATCATTTTTGAACGTCCATTTTGTGTACAAATCGAACATTCTTGTCCAAAACGTGTTGATGGAATTTTTGATAATATTATTGGCTCCATTGTGGCATCATCACCAAATGATACTTCAGGTATATATAATGCACATACAACATGTGCCCAACCACCATCTGATGTTCGTTTCATTGCACCTTCAATCGTTGGACATAAACGACATGGCTAAAAAGAACAAAATAAAATTATTTTTATTTTTTAAAATAAATAAATACTGCTTGAATATCACTAGCTTCACATCGACCACAATACCAATCACCGTCAGGTATTGTTACAATACCATAACATGCTGAAGAAAATATATTTTTCTATAGAATAAATTATTTCATAATGCTTTTTATTTTACCAGTATGACAAGCAACTGTACATCCTTTACCATCACAATAAACAAGAGCATTATTAGCAAAACCTTGATCATCTGAACAAACACAACAACCACCAACAAGTTCTTCATTATCATCTAAACCATTTTTTAATGTTGTTGTTATAGTTGTTGTTGTCAGATGTTCACCATCATTCCCATTCTCTTGTGTTTTATTTTTATGATGAAAAACATTTTTATTTTCTCCATTACCATTTACCATTGGTAATACTGTTTTTGTATCTTTCATTGAACTTTTTTAATTTAATATTAATTAAAAAAAGAAAAAGGAAAGACTAATTGAAACTTTTCGATCAATAAGAATATTGACAATAATACATCTGAAAAAAAAAGACAGAAGAAAAAAGAAAAAAAAGGTCCTTGACATATAGTTGATAGCAATAACTAGATGTCACGTTTTTTTTTTCGCTTCTTTTTTTTTTTCTTTTATCCTGTATTTTTTTAATCGAATAAAACAAATTGAATAGAACGATAGGACCACGATACTCAACAGCTAAACTTGTTTATTATTATTATTATTATTATTATTGAAAAAAAAAGAAGAAAAGCCACAGACAACCATTCGTATTAATAATAGCCTTGTCATTCATCATTTTAGAGGATATGTCGTCTGTTATAAATGGCCGAATGTCTACCGATGGTAAAACCTGGTCATGTATGGATCTAATCAATGTGTTTATTTCTTGACAACAGTAATAATTTCTTACGCGGTGTTTCTTTTTTTTTGTCCATATGGGCATCTATTATAGTCTGATATCGGTTTTTTCATCACCGACATCGACTAATAATCGAAATGTTCATTCAATAATACATATTAAATCTTTAAAAAAACGAAGACATCGTCATAAGCGACATCATTTATTAAATCATTTTTTCTTGGGTACAAATCATTTTTTTCTTAATAGACAAGCACACAAATGTCTTTTTCATGAATATTATACATTAAATTCAAATTCGGATATATTAGCACCGGTTAATTTAAATTTATCATTACCAGAATTAAATTATTCCACAATAATTCATCCTATTAAATGTACAATAGCAATAAGAAGAGATTCATTAAAATTAATTCATCGTTATGAAAATTGGTATTCAATTGATTTTATATTTGATGCTGATAGACCAGTTCAAATTTACAGTAGGATTTTTTCTTATGGAATTTTTCAAAAAGTTTTCTTCGTTTTATGAAGTCTATTTTATGGCACATGAAGTTTACGCAAATAATAATGGAACTTTATCATATATGTGTTGTAGAAAAGTAAATCAATTAGACAGGGTTAAGCAGTGTTATGCATTTACTCGACCAGCTGGTCATGGACAAATATTTTCATCGAGCAAACTTGACATTCTATTTCCTTTATCAGTTATGAATGAAGAACATTATGGATGTGCAATAACCGAACGATTGTATCCTATCGTTATTGTTTGTAAAGCAATCAAGGCCGATTTAATAAAGTAATTTAGATGTTTAGTTAGTCGTTACAAGGTTAGATTTACAGAATGTTTTTTTAGGAGAATCGAATAAAAACTCGTTAGAAAAGTAATTTTCATATGCTTTCTAATATGGCTAGGGCTAAACATTTTCAGAGAGATTTTTAACAAATGAAAGTACTAACAAACTTATCCTTGGTAGAGAATTCTGTTAAATGAAAATAAGATGTAACAGTGGAACGATATTTATTCAGATAATGATAATTGATGAGAAAAAATTGTATTCAAATCTACTCTTTTCAATATGATCTATTGGAAGAGCTTCGAACTTGATACTTCTTGAGAATAAAAAGACATGTCAACTTTCAAGGCTTTGTTATAACATCGATATCTAGATGGAAACAAATCGAGCTGAATTTGTACATTATCTTTTGTTGCTTATTTTTTCTATAGATTAAGAATCAATTGACTGAATCATATTGTATTCAAGTAATAACCATCCGTTTTCAGAAATGAGAATAAAGAGCAATGATCAACTTTGTTTACGAGGAAATCTTCTCAAGTTGAAAATCGCTTTTGAGTTCGGACTTTGTGCATAAGATAAATCCCTGGGAAATATTAAAAACTCTAACAGGAATAAGGACACCTAGAGTGGCTCTTCAGAGCTATATCTTCTTTTTATGAAAGTTTTAGCTCAAAAGAATCTTTTATGAGATATTGAATTTCGAAAGTTCACTCCTATTCAACCAAAGATTTGAATATCTCGGGAAGGGAACATTCTTTTAAATTGAAATTTTCAGGACATTCTAGTTACACGTAGGTCCATCGATGGGTACTTTATGTGCAGTTCGAAGTTAAAAGCGATTTTCAAGTTAGGAAGATTGCCTGTTTAAAAAATGTAGCAAAAGTTTATACAATTCATTATTCTATTTTATTTTTGATAGATTTACAAAAAATAATATTGAATATTTTTAGCATAGAATGAATATAAACTTTCAGGAAATCTTTTTCGAGATGGTATTAAACTATTTCCTTTTAATTGAAAACTACGGAAAGAGAAAATAAGCTTTCCGCTCATACCTTTATCTCTGTTATTGTCTCACTAATAGTTAAACCATTATTTTAATAAAAACAATATTTTTCAAAAATAAAACAATCGTATCTCTAATTAAAAAAAAATTTTAGGAGTCCAAAAACCATATGTGGTACCATGGTGGATCAATATAGCAATGTTACTACAACAGTCTTTCCAACATTTGATCAATATCATATTGTTTTAGCAACAGTAAAATATTTTCAATTAAATAATCGAACAACAACGATAAATTCTGATCATGCATCTATTGTTTTACTTAGTCAAAAACATGTTTATAATGGAATTATTTTTAAATTATTTGAATTGTATGGTATTGAAAATCATCAATTGAAATTTTCAACAAATAATCTAAATGATCGACGAAAAGTTTCTACAAGAAAAAAATCTTTAATTAAAATTGTTACAGCACCAACTATTTCTGAGCTTGAATCATTTTCATATACGAACTTAACAAATCGGTAAGAGCATACAACTTTTTTGTTTATACTTAGTTACTAACAAGGGAATCACTTGAGCTAAAACTCACCATTAGAATACATATTGGACCTACAAGTAGCTTTCGTTAAGTTTATTAAATAATTGAAATAGTTCGTCCAGATTGATCTTTGGAGCCGAGTTAGTATCGTTTTTCTGAATTTTCGACTCAACTGTAGATACATACCTTAAAATCAAAACAACAGAATTTCAGACGAAAAGAACGTTGTTATACGAAGATATCGAATTTCCAAAAACTAATTGTCTACAAACAGGCATGTTACAAAAATCAAGTTCTCTTGAAAATTCAATATCTGAACAAGAAAAACCACTTTTTTCAATTGAAACTTACAAGATATTCTATAAATTATTAGATCTACCTATGGGTAAAATTTTATATCAAAATTCTGCTTTTTGATTTTTCTTTATGAATCTAAAGCAACGTCAAAAATTCAATAAAACATGAAAGCTCTTTCATGGGGATGAACCCTTTAAGATTTTTTCTCGCCTCGCCAAGGCGTTCTTCTAGGCCCAATATAAGTTCAAACGGCGGGTATCGTTTCGGCTAGTTCTCTGGTAAGATAATCAATCAATAGTAGCATCATTATTTATGCAAATAGCAAACATTTTCTTTTTTTTTATTAAGTTTCAGATAAATCGATTATTTATCTATCAAACAGACCTTTTTCTAAGATTGGTCGTAATATAGACTAGACTAAAATGAATCCATATGTATATTTTTTTATGAAAATTAATCTTATTTTTAGTACCCATGACCTATCATTAGTCAATCAAGAAAGTAAACAAGTACATAAAACAAAAAGAAAGTCTTTATCATGCATGGATTTAATATTAAATAATAGAAATGAAAGTACTTGTGTTATTTGTCTAACGGATATACGAAATGTTTTACTTCTTCCATGTCGACATTTATGTCTATGTAAAACTTGTGCTGAAAATCTCAAATTTCAATCATCCAATTGTCCTATATGTCGTATACCATTTCGTGCTTTATTACAAATCAATGTTTTACGTCATCGGCAAATTCATCAATATGATAGTGATGAATATATATATGAAAATATATCAATTATTGAAGCTTTAAATTTAGCAACAACAATAATAACAAAAAGAAATTCTTTAAAACAAATTTATAATAATCATAAATCAATATCAACAAACGATTTTAAGTATTTTTGCAGTGAACATATTACATAATATCTGTGATAGATATACATTTATATATATATATATAACAAAAGTTATTTTATTCATTAATAGAGGTAGTTGTATTTTTTATTTTAATGAATTACATGTAGAATTTTTTCGTTGCTTTTATTTTGCCTAAAACAAAATTCTATTGATTATGATTATTATTAAAACTACTATTGATACTATTCTTTTTGTTTTTTTTTTCTTTTACCGAAAGAAAGTTTTATCAGATTTGATGATGTCTAGTGTCTGTTGTATGTGTTGTTGAGTGGCATCAAACAGTAGGAACAAAGATGATCGTTTATTCATCTATGCTTAAGAGAAATGAATAGATCTGTTCTTTTTTTCTTTCTTTTTTCTTCTTCTTATTATACGAGATGTGAGTATGATTGTGGGTCAAGTAATCATAATCATTCGCCGATGGGCACTCGCCGCCTATCTTGAGTAAATATTAATGCAAACGAGACGAAGAAAAGAAGGTAAAAAAAAAACTATTCTATATATTGAACATGATGTTTTCATGTAATACACCTTACCGAATTCAATTTAGTTAATGCTCTAGCCTGATTAATTATAGTTGACGAAAGATTTTGACCAGACATTGTGAATGTCTTGTTTTTTTGGTAAGCAAGTTTTCAAAAGACTGATGAAAGACATTCAATTACAGCTAGTGAATGAAGCAGAAAAAGATATGGTTTATGTCAATTTTTAATGATTTCCGATATAGTTTTCTTTTTTTCTTCTTTTCTCGAAGCATTGACTGACCATGCATTCATCTATCATTCGTGCATGATCGCAGTTCTTATATAAATGGTTTAGTGCTGATCAGACATCGGTTCTTTTTCTATCATCTGTCTTATATGTGTATGAAGAAAAAAAAAAAGCGAAATGAGCTACAGAAAAGAATGAAGATTAATTTCATTGTAGAAACGGGCGGGAGACCTCTTTAGGGAATCCTATGGAAATTGATTTCGGAGAAAAAAGAAGAAGCAAGAAGAAGAAGAAGAAGACGAAGCAGTGATGCTGTTATTGATGTGGTTGCATCAACGTCATCGCAGACTTCCTTTAATAACAAACTGTTCTGATGAAGAGAATGTCAGTGCAATTGTGAAAATAGACAAGCAACAACTTATAATAAGAAATATCATTTTCTTTTTTCCTGTTTTGTTCTTCCTTTGCACTTAAGTTTGTCAAAAAGAAGTTAACCAAAAAAAAATCGAAAGCTGTTTTTTATCATCTATGTATGTATGCGTATGATGTGGCCTGATTTCGGCATTCCACCACTGCTTGATTAATCCGACTGATTTTTCCATCTGTTGTTCCGAGATCGACTGCAAGAATGCAATAATGATAACTCTTACTGCTACTCGATAGACGATAGAATGAAAAAAGTAGTCCCAATAGAAGTGTTTCTATCGAACGCTATCGAATGATGGTTAAAAGAATACTATCATCTCATCAGTTCATTTATATATATATCTATATGTGCGTGTGTGAATGTTGATGAATGCCTGCTGTTCGTTCTTATACAGTTTTTCTTCATTTAATGATTGTTCAGTGAGATCATTAACACCGTTACACACGTGTCAGATCCTTTAAGTTCCCTTTGATTACTTCTTCTCTTTTTCGTGTGAACATGGATCACTTCGTCAAGTAAATGACATTTACATGTCTAATGGTATACAAAAAAAAAGATATACTAATATTTTATTTGTAAAGGTTGATGCTCTTTTTCTTTCACAATGTTAGTTTTCTTTTTATTTTTGTTGTTCTTCTTTACACGCATTTATACAAGTTTTATCAGTCACATTCATCATTACAGGTGAAATAAAAATGAGAATTATAGACATAGAAAAAGCCTGCATCATACCACGAGCAATCTTCTATCACACTATACTACTGCCGTTTCCTTTTTGGAAAAAAAAGGAATGAAGTCAGCAAAGCTCCTTTTTCTTCGTCGTTTTCTTTTTCTTTTTCTTCGTTTTATTCTTTTGCTACCATTCTGCCTTTTTCTGCTTTTCCTCGACGATAGCGACTGCTGCGCGACAAAAGAAAATGCATTTTTTCCATAACGACTCTTGTCCCGTTAACGATAATGATCCTTTATGTGATGGCGACGGGCAAGGCCAACAAGCCACTTTGTAAAGTCCACAATCATTGTCACGATCAGTAATTAGATTGTATTTCTTGTTTCTATCTTTTTATATGAAGTTTGACATATTATTTTTTTTCTTTGTCACATATCACATAGACACGTTGCTTAGCTAACGAAATAAAAAATTTCTATGAGGACGTCGATTATACAACTTAATAACCTTTCTTTCGAACATATAATATTTTCTATCGATTGAAGAGATACATCAAATGATCAGAAGTTTGTTGAGCAAGAAGAGGAAAAAAAATGCACGAGAGAAAAATTTTCGTATAATTTTGTTGCAACTGTCGTGCTTATATGATTGACTAAATGCGTAAGCAAGCCAACGGCTAACATGCGCGAAGCGAACAAGACGAAGAAGTAATAGTAGTAAGAGAAGAAGAAGAAGAAAAGGTTCCATTTGCCCTCTCTCTCTCTCTGTCTTTGCGTCTTCATACTTGTTGCCGTTTGTTCTTACTCGTCGCGTACCTTCGCATTCGCCTACACAGCTCTATCATTTTCTCGCCTTTGCTTTTACTTCTCGAACAGTATGAATTGCGACAAACGGCGCGTACTCGTTTAGATCATACGCATACAAAAAAAAAGAAACATGCTTATTTGTTACGATAAGTGTCGCATGTTCGATGTTGTTGTTGTCGATAGATGCAATACAATATATATGAATAGTATAAAAGAAAGTTGAGACTTTGTGAACTATCTACAATCAAGGCTAACAAGACATGAATGAGAAGTTCAATATTGAACGAAGTGAAGAAAAAACAAAAATAAAATCTAGAACAGATTGAAAACGGTATCGTTTTTCTTTCATTATTCTTGATTGTGTCGAGAAAAAGAACATAAGAGCCTAGATTAGATGCGTGATTGTTGATGAATATATCTGTTGAGTTTCTTTTTTCTCTTCATATACTTTTCATTTTTATTCTTAAGTATTTATGACTATTTTTAGATTTTATTTTGTTTTCTTCTTCTTGTTCTTTTCTTTTTTTGTTTCTTCATTTTGTTTCTATTCTTTGTTTAACATCATGTTCAAGTATAGCAAATTAATGGAAGCATTTATCATGTGTACATAAATTTTCATTTATAAGTTGTGTGTATGTAAGTAATATAATCTTTTAAATAATCATGAAAATAATTACTCATTATGATTTCTTTTTTTGTAAAGAAAAGAAACGCACGTGCTCAGAATGGAAGTTACAACAACATTATCAAAAACATTTAAACGATTTGCAATACCTCGTAGTACATCATCTATGGGTGCATTTACAACGACAAATGGTACTGCGACTAATGTTGAACAAAAACTTGAAGAATTAACATCATCACAAACAACACGAGATTCATCAATTAATGGTAATTCATCGTCAAATCATAAACATCCACCATTATCCTATGTTCAACATATACGACCAGTTCAACATCATTCACAACAAAATTTATCTCTATCGTCACAAGAACAACAACAAAAATATCATCTACCTACTCGACCATTAAGTGGAGATATTTCATCACTTATGACACGTTCATTATCAACTGATTTTCAAACACCGAATGACTATACACCAAAAGAAAATAAAGTATTTTATTTGCTATTTACTTCAAAAAGAACAAAAGTCTCTCACCCGTCATATCTCGGTTACTATATACGATGAAGGTCTAAAATACTGCACTAAGTACTTAATTTAGACTAATGAGGTCATACCAGTTGCTTACATACAACAAGAACTATGATGAATGGCGCCCGTCTTTTTGCTTCAAGCTGTTAGCCTTAAAAAATATTGTCTATTAAATTTCTCCTTACCTATTATCAAGTACATGACTAATCCCTAATACTTTCGCATGCAAGTAGAGCTCAGTCTATTCTCTTTTTTTCTAGTCAAAAGATTAGGTCTTTGCATGACTCTGATGAGGGAACGTTTCCAATTGACTAATCGCTTTTTCATCGAAAGCGAGTGGTATCGACTATGCTGATTTCGAATATAACTATCAGAAATCCCATTAGGTCTTAATATACTGTTTTTTATAGACTAGCGAGCTTTTTGCGAAAAATTTTTTTTTGGATCTGTTCAGATTATAGAGCATGTTGAATTGCTTAGAAAAGAGTAAACTTTTCTATTTCAAATCGTCCTTTTTTTTTTATAGAAAATACAGTCATTTTAACTCATATAATAGATACATATCAACGCTTTATTGTGAAAACCTTCAAGATGATATTATTTTACTTAAAAATCATATTTAAAAAAAGATAAGAGTATTGACTCAGAAACGACAACTCGAAACACTCTATAACCTGACTAGATCACAAACTATTTAGGCAAAATGTTTGTTAGGTTAGAAAGTCTATTTTCTAGAAATATTCATAAAATTCTTCTTTTTCAGACTTATGAAGTTAAAAGGATAAATAAGTACGATCCATCATAATTATCATTCCATTTAAACAATCGAGATAAGCTCATGTCTCTGATCGACATTCTTACAAGGCAAGGCCTCCAAGTGATAAATTGCTTTCAAGCTGGGACTATTCTCAATGTATAGGAGCTAATAAGTAGGTAAATAATCTAGATTGATTCGAACTACTGAACCGTTGGTGCTGAAATTTCGAATATGTAGTGAATTTTTCCTATGTAGAGCCCCTAGTATCCTAGTTTTCAAGCGAAATCATACTTTTAAATCTTGATCTAAAATTTTGCTCACACAAAAACACTGGTTAGGCTAGCTTGTAGAAAAAATTTCAAAATTATTTGACCAAGTGTCTCCAAAATATGAATTTTTAAAGTTATACACATTTTGCTATGATTATTGTAAAAAAATCATATCTTGGAGAGACTTCGTGAAAAAACTCTACAGAAAAAAATCCACTAAAAATTTTATATCTGAACAACAAATGTTCAACAGTTTGAATTCCTCTAGAGTATTTACTTATTCACTAGACCCTGTCGATTGAATATAGTTTCAGCTTGAAGCAATTTATCATTTGACAACATTTCCTTGTTAATGAAGTGTGTGCACACAAAGTTTTTTTACCTATAGCATGTATAATAGTCGAGATAGATGCGATGAGAGACTTTTTCACTATTATGCTTTTTTTTCGAATAATTTAGATGAACTCGTCAACGAAAAAATCTTTATATAAATCATCAATACAACGTGACATAAGTTACGATAATATAAAAAGTTTAACAATAATTGATGAAACAATAAAATCACAATCTGAGCAAAATTCTTCTCATTACTCATCAATAAAAAATTTATTCATAAAAAAATTTCATCCATTAACAACAACAACAACAACAGCAACAACTTCAAATAATGAAACAACAACTACTCAACCAGCAAAATTAAATGTTAAACAAAAAAAACGTCGTACATCTTTTCGACATTTTTCACAATTTCTCAAACGTAGTCATAGTACAAATACGGATTTATCAACTTTAGCAGCCAATAATACATCTAATAGTAATGATCAACAAAATAAGTTAACTGCTGATATTATATATCAACGTTTACATACAAAAAAAATTGATGAAAATGAGTCATCATTTATAACACGTTCAAATACAAGTATTATGTGTAATGGTAGTGGTACAGCATTAGTACCAATATCTGAAGAAGAAAATCCTTTACCAACAAAACAACAAAATAGACTAAAAGCAACAAATATTGATGATGAAGATTATTATTATGATAATACAACTCGATCCGATAGTGCAGCATTAACACATCAACAAACACAAAGAATTGCACCTAGTCTAAGTAAGTTAATAATGACTTTTTTCCTATAATAATAATAATAATACATATAATTATAGGTTTATCATCATCATCGTCATTTATATCTGCTCATACATCATCTCCATCAGGTATTTCATCAACATCAAATAAAAATCGAAATAATATATCAAATGGTAATCAGTATCAACAACGAGATGATCCAATAAAACCGTCCAATTCTTCATCATCAGTTACATCTAATATTGGCACAGCATTATCTGTTCTTGCTAATAACAATAATAATAATAAACATTATTTAACAAATTCAATTAGTTTACATGGTGATGTTAATACATTGGTAAATGCTCAAATGAATGATCATCATTTATCAACATCAGCTATTAATGATGTTACTTTATCTTCTTCAGCTAATACTACAGGTAAAAAAAAAAATTCTGCTTAAATTTTTTAAAATTTTAATTTTTATCTTAAGGACGAACTGCTATTCAGTCAATAACACCTGATAATCTAACAAAACAATATTCAACAACCGATACTGAAAATTCTAATCAAGAAATACCTAAAGTTAAAATGCGTGAACATAGCGCAAAAAAGAAAAAAGGTTTACGTGACCTTAAATCACGTATATCGTTACCACCGGAATTAAAAAATAGTTTTTCATTTACGAAACAAAATTTAACTACTACAAATAATAATAATAATAATAACAATAATGCTCAATCATCAGCAATTAATTTAACAAATAAATTTAAATTAAATCAACAACAAATACAACAACGTTCATCTTATTATCAAACAAATTCTTTATCAACACAAACATTAAATAATGTTTTAAATCAATCAAACTCATCATTAGTACATCGATCACCATCACAGTTAAATACAAGTATGAGTGGACAATTAAGTCGAAATGAACAACGTCTTTCAATGCTTGATCTTGGTTTTGGAAAAATTGAATCTTATGTTAAATTAGAAAAATTAGGAGAAGGTTTAATATTTATTTCAAATAAATATTTATTTATTCATTGTATCTTTAATAGGTACATATGCAACTGTTTACAAAGGAAAATCTCATTTATTAAATGGTTATATTGCATTAAAAGAAATTCGACTGGAACAAGAAGAAGGTATGCTTAATTACAACAATCCATAATAGATTTTTTTCTCTTCTGTAACAGTTTCATGAATGACTTATTCAAGATAATAGATTAATTTCTCAGATGAAAATTACTTTATTTTTTAAGGACTATTGATATATTGAAACAGTGTGAAATATATTTTTATAAATTTCATTGAATAAAAATTAATATCAAGTAGAGATATGCTGGACTAAGATTTTTGGTCGTGGATTTCAATAACTATTTTCTAACAATTTCAGTCCTAGTAATTTTAGTTTTTCGAGTCTCGATCTAGAGAAAATTATTCTAGAATTTATTCGTATGACGTCTAAAAAAATTCTTTAATACTCGTTGTGTAATTTATTTTGTCGACGACTAGTACTTTTTTGGGTCATCTCTCTTGAATTATGTTCTGATTTATAAGATAATTCGCTGAAAACTATAAAATATTTAATTATAATCTTTAGTTCCGGTTAGAACGACTTTTTCACCTAGTCCCAATCTTAGCAACTTCTTTTTTCTCTTGTGTTCGGAACATGTTTAGTTTTAAGTGAAGAAAAAATTAAACTATACGCACATTCAGGAAATGTCGAAGCAAAAACAAACAATTATTTCACTCTGATTGAGTATTGTTTAAGTCCTCAATTTTCATATGCTTAACCTAGGACGCGAAAGTCTTGACATAAAATATGAACTAAAAATTTTCTTCTGAAGTAAGAGATTCAATAACTATCGTCAAATTATTTCAAAATAGTAGTTGTACACAATGCATTTTTTTTTTATCAATTTTTCATTTCGATTATAACCTATAAAATTTAAAAGTGGGAAACATATTTTTATGACTCAGTTGCCTTTACAAAACATGCTATATACTTTTCTATATTATCTTGCTTGACATATTTTTAAAGCAGTTTTTCAAAACAACGGTCTTTTTTACCGATGCCGATTTCCATAGAAACTAATACGTTAGCGGAATGAGATTTCGCTTATTATAATATCTCATTTTATGCAGAATTTAATGTTCTACACTAATGTAAAATGGAAGCCATTCCAAGATAGAAACTAATTACTACACCAAAACTGTTATTTTGCTTTGTATAGATACTATTTTAGACTATGTTTACAAAACTTACTGATAGTTATTACAACTTAACACAGACGAAGGTCTAACACATATACTCGGAACTTCCTTAAAACTTTCATTGTGACTCGAACTATTCATCTTTTAGTGACTGTAGACTTTTCCATCATAGGTTACATCTTGCATTTCTTATTGATCGTGTTTCATTTCTATAGAATAAATAAAATTCCAATAAATCAATTGAATTTCTTTATTGTTGTTTTTAGGTGCTCCATGTACAGCATTACGAGAAGTAAGCCTTTTAAAAGGTCTTAAACATAATAATATTGTTAGTTTACATGATATTATATTTAATCAAACAACATTAACACTTGTATTTGAATATGTTGAAAAAGATTTAAAACAATATATGGATGATTGTGGAAATATACTTAATATAAAAAATGTTCGTCTTTTTTTATTTCAACTTTTACGTGGCTTAGATTATTGTCATTCAAAAAAAATTCTTCATCGAGATCTTAAGTAAAAAAAAAAATTCAAATCATCTTTTGTTTGTCATTTAATTGAAATAACTTTCTATTTTAGACCACAAAATTTATTAATTAATGAACGTGGTGAATTAAAATTAGCTGATTTTGGTTTAGCACGTATTAAATCATTTCCAACAAAAACATATTCACATGAAGTTGTTACATTATGGTATCGACCACCAGATGTTTTACTTGGTAGTACAGAATATTCGACACCAATTGATATATGGGCTGTTGGTTGTATTTTCTATGAAATGGCATGTGGTCGACCATTATTTGCTGGTACAAAAGTTGATGAAGAATTATATTTAATATTTAAATGTCTTGGTACACCAAATGAGAAAACTCTACCCGGTGTAACAACAAATCCTGATTTTCAAGCATTAAGATTTCCTTATTATCATGGTGAATCATTAAATCATTTAGCACCACGTCTTGATCAAAATGGAATTGATTTATTAGAAAAATTTTTACGTTATAATCCACATTCTCGAATATCGGCACATGATGCAATGATGCATAAATTTTTTTCTTGTTACCCATCAATAATACATACATTAGGACCATTACAATCAATATTAGATTTAAATGAAATATATTTAACAAAAGATCATGGTTCAAAGCTCATTACAGCATCGCTCATGAAAACGGCTATTTCGAAACGATCGAGTGTTCATCTGTGATGTGTTCTTTACGTTTTGTTTTGTTTTCTTTTTTGTTCTCGCCTTGTCGAACCTCGTTATATATTATATCATATGTACATTGTTTCATCGTCTCAATTTCTCGTTCTTTATCTCTTCATTTTTGCGGTTTTGTTGTTTTTTTCTTTTCGAGTCATTCATAAATAGGTCTCTTTTTGTGTGCGTAACACATTTCTATATATATATATGTAATGGCATTTTCCTGCTAATAACAGTACAATCTGAGCACGTGCAAAGCAATAAAATTATCTCTCTTGATGTGCGTTAAAACAAATAAAATGAAAAACCAACGATCTTTAACTCTTTTGGCAATACATATAAATCTTCTTTCTCATTTCTTTTTTTTTCTTTTTTGTTTCTTCTTGTTGTTCCAACGAAATGTCTTTCGTGTTTTGACAACATTATTACTGCTTCTGTCTTTATTTGTTGTCGATGTCATTTGTATGTGTATGCAAATGTATGAACGTGTGTTATTCATTAATTCTACTTTTCTTTCCTTTTTTTCTTTTTCGGAAAAGTTTTATTCGTATGGAATACACTTTTCGTTTTCTTTCTCTCATTTTTTTGTGCACAATACACACGTATGCTCATATTTATAAAAAAAAAAGACGACGAAATAAGAAATAGAAAATTTTTCTTAAAAAAAAACAAAAACTACGAAAAATCTGTAGATATTTTATTTTGATGGATCTTGAAAATATGCCATCACTTCCAGATGTATGTTATTTAAATTTTTGTTTCAATCAATATTCAATTTATTTTGTAAATAGGCTCATCAACAAATCCGTTTAGGTGATAGTCAAGTATCAATACAAAAATGGACAGCAGCTATTGAATATTATTCACGTGCAATCGGTTTGTTAAGAATTTCAAAGATATCAATAGAATTTATTTTGTTACGTTCATAGAATACTTTAAAACAATACAAAATACTCTACAAGATAATAGTCTGATATCAACTATTCAAGCGCAAATAGTACAATGTGAAAAAACGATTCATTTTTGTCGCTTAAAAGATCGTTCCGAACAGGTAAAGTCTTATTACTAGTACTTGGAGTTTAAATCAAAAACAAGTAATAATAGAAGTATTCTAAGAATATAGCAAATATTTCCTTATAGAATAGCGTATATAATTGTTGTTTTGTGTACGAACTATTAAACATCACGAAAGATTTCTCTAAAGATTTTAGCAAGAGAAATGACGATTCTCACTAGTTCTGTTTATTTGATAGAATACGATCTTTATTTATGCCACTCTTTATGTTAACAGTAAATAAGATTAAACAATTAATTTTTGGTTCATTTCATTAATGAAATATTATCCTTAAATATAAATTTAATTGTATTCTCTAAAACTGACAATTAGCAACCGTCAGATTGATCCCGGATTCGATGGACTCTAGTCGTCTGAGAAGTCTAAAGGGAGCGCTGGTCACCGAATACAAAAACCAGAAAAAAGTTATCTCGTATCTTTGGTGTTCGGATCCGAAAATTTTGGACCCGACGGTAGAGCCCGTCGGGTACAACATTTTTGGACCCGAAACCGCTCTGTTGAACTTCTTTTGGCCCGGTACCCGGTCTTTAAAAAAAATTTCATACCCGAACCCGGTAAATAGAAAATTTTCGAACCCGGACCCTACCCGGACCCGATCTCGCCTGTGTCTGAGATCAAAGCAACGTATTTTATTGAACACAAACAATTTATTTTTAACACTAGCAATCAAAAGCAAGTAGATATTCAGAGAAAACTGAAGATCAGTAAAACTTCCAAAAATATTCGCATATGCATCAAAAATTGCTTTAGACCCGGACCTGCTTTATAGAAAATTTCCAGACCCGGACCCGATTAAATTTAAATTTTTGGGCGCGACCGGGTCCGGGTCTACTCAACGAGCTCTACTAGCAATAGGAATTCTTTAGTATCAAAAGCTATGATATGAAAATCTTGATTTTGTATTTTTTTTTAGGCAATAAAAGCTGAACGTCATTCAACCATAACTCGTGCGCATTCAACATCTAATGCGAAACCATCAACAAAAATTAATTCATCAATGCCACGATATCATACACTAGAATTAGACAATGTTGTATTACTAGGTGATCGTGGTGGTATAGATTCATTTGCAGCACTTATATTTCCAAATAATAACTCTGAAAATTCAACGAAGAACTTATCATCAACAACGGCAAAGAAAAAGAAAAAAGATGACTCACAGAAAATGGAAGAATTACAAATGAGTTATGAAGCATTAAAAACTCATCTAAAAGCAGCAATTGATGATATTGAAAGATTAAAAAGTGAGAATAATGAATTACGTATGCAAAGAGCCATCGATAGTTCGCAACAACAAATTGAGTTTGGAATATTATCAACTAGTCATGAAAACAAAGATAAAGAAGAGTCAGAATACGAACTTGAAGTTACACTATGATTGTATATTGGTTTTTTTTATCGTCATTTTTTGAATATATTGTTAAAAATAAAAACTACATTTTTCAAAGTTAAAACCATGGCATAATCTTGAGCATGAGACAATTTTTACTCATAAATTTTATTTTCTAAATTAGTGAATTACAATGAGAACAACAATCTTTTAATGTTTACTACTATCGGCAGCAGAAGTTCAGGCACTCTAATGTTTTTCTTATATGAATAACTGACGTGAAATACAAGATAATAACATTTAGTTTTCAGCAGTCGATAGCTAAAACTCTCAGGTATGTGTTCATTATCAAAACATCTTATCAGAAAAATTGTGAAGATTGATTACTCAGACGCTTTAACACTTTCATATTGTTCATTCAGACATCTTCAAGTAGGCATAAAAGACCAGATTATCAATCAGACTGAGTCTTATAACTATGTTAGTTTTCAAAAAATACGCAAAAATCGTATGGAACCTACAATATATCTGCAAAGTGCTTCTTGATTATTTCTATAAGACCTTCAAACCTTTTTAATTCTACTAAAATATATTAGAACTATTTCAAGAAGTCAAAATCAACTCTATTTTATGTGCAACATACTATCCAATTCAACAAAGGCTTTAGAAACCACTAGAAAACACTTTCATTTTTTTTTGAAAATTGTCCAACAACTTTGCCGATCAGAAGAATATGTTTTATTTCTTCTAAGTGCAGAACTATTCGGAGCACATAAAAAGGACTATATTTTGATTTCTTGGAATAATTCGAAATCATTTGGGTAGAATTATTAAGATTTCAACCTTGTAAAGAAACAACCAATAACCGTTGTGCTGACTTACTGCAGAATTTCATATAATTTTAAAATTTTTTTTGAAAATTAACTTAGTCATAAGACTCAGTCTGACTGATAATCTATTCCTTCATGGTTTTCACAAGATGCCTAACCGAATTATATGAAAACCGTAGTGTTTTTGAGAAACCGATCTTCGGAATTCTTCTGACAAAAACTTTTACTTATGTAAAGATGCTTGAAACTCTTGACTATCGATTGGTGAAAATTGCATGTCATGATTCTGCACTTCACTCGAATTATTCAAAAAACATTCGAGTGCCTTGACTTCTGGCATCAACAATAGCTAGATGGATGATCACAATTTTTCTTGATAATCTATATATTTTGAACTATAAAACTACATGATAGTGAACATAAATGAGAGTTAAGTAGTAGAAAAACAAAAAGTTCGAAAAAAGTGTTCAAATTAAAGAAAATACTTGTTTACTATTAGACCTATATATGATTAATTTTGCTCAAATTAGTGGTAAATATGTTCGTTATATTTGCAAAATTAGATCTAGATGTCGATCATTCGATTATTTATGAAATATTTATTCTAATTCATATAATTATTATTATCAAATAAAATAAAAACATATTCCATCGATTAATGTTTATTGGTTGGTTCACTCAGTATATGCAACAGCATATAAAAATCGTACCAATGCATTAGTGCTTATATAACTCGTTATAGCACAAAATGTATAGATGGTCATGTACTAACTTGGTACATGCTGATATTTCCCATGGCAAGTCTAATGGTTTTAAAACTCAAATATCTATTACCTATAATGGAAAAAGTCACTGCTTGCTGAAGTGTTAATTAAAAATAATATCTTTTCTTCGTTTACTTCGACAGAAACTTTGAACAATGATGCATGACTAAAGTGTAAACATGTTTAATGATTCTGAACAGTCACCGCTGAATTTTGCTTTTAAATACTGAATGCTGGTTACATTTAAATTGATTTTAGATTTAAAACAAATATGTTCAGTCTCTTTTCTTTTCATATTCTTAAGTAGTTATGAAGTTTGTTAAGACTATTTCATTGACTTTCTCAGTTACTTCAAATATTGTTCCTAAAGACCAGATTTTCTGATGATTATCAAATGTGACAAAAGTTCTGCGATATTTTGAAAAATCCTTCCATATGATTTCTTTGTGTGATAACGAGCTTATTTTATATGACTTTAGTAGACACTAACGTCCTATATCGATCTGATACATTATTATATTTTTTTTTACATTTTTTTGGTTGATTTCTACATATTTAAGAAGGCTTCAAAAGTAATTCTGAAAATATCAAGTGAGTGATCAATGATAGTTCTAAAAAATTACTATCGAAAAATTATTGTTCAAAAGTCAAAAGAAGATAAAAAACAACAAGAAAAACATGCAACCAATGGATTAGGAAGAACATCAAACATGGTAAATTGGAAAGAATGGTGTTTACTAATGAAAAAATGTTTACAAAAAATGGTTATTTTAGTCAAAAAAATGACTTTGTCTGAGCTGATAATCGATCCAATATCATTGAGTGCAGTAGACTGCACGAAACGGAAAAATATTTCATGTGTAGCATGGTTGTATTAGGTGCAACGTGAGATGGACTTACACACCCATATTTTTTTCAACAACGGGAACTGCTGAATGACAAAAGTTATTATGATGAATTGTTACTAATTCATAAAAGCTAGGATGACCGGCTCTTTGGGCACG